TGTAGGATACTCGCCCTAGACTTGGAGGAAGGTCCATATAAACCGTATTTTCTAAATCACCATTAAAAAACACATTATTCACATTCATTTGGAATAAACAATAGCCCCGAGTTCGCTGCAAGAGCCAAAAACAAGTGAACTACAATCTATTCAATAACATGACTAAAAGTTTCTTAGAGGTCATAATCCTCTTGTTGACTATAACCCTTTGCTACTAATCTAGCTTTATATCTTTTGATAGAGCCATTGACATGAAGTTTAACCTTATAAACCTATCTATAGCTTACTACATATTGACCACGAGGAAGAGAAACCACAATCCAAGTATAGTTGTGCTTAAGTATAGTAAGTTCTCGCTTTTATGGCATCTTGTCGGTGAATAGAATGCACAAGTTGATCATATGTATGAGGCTCAACAAGATGGGAAAGAGAAGCAATAAAAGAGATGTGCAAAGGTGACAAAAAATAATTAAAGACATAATTTTTAATGAGATATGTAGTAGAGTAACATGTAGATGCATTAGTAAAAGGCAAACTTGTTTGATAATAAACCAAATAACTAGGAAGTTTGCTAATACGATTGCTTTTCCAAACAATAATAGGAGAAATATGAAGAATAGAAGGATTTGATGAAGAAATATCTAGGGATAAAGAAGAAGAAGAATTTATGAAAGTTTGTTATGTATAAAAAACGGAAAGATAATCATGAAGATTTGTGGTTCCAAGAGTGATATCGGGTGTTTCAACAAATGGACTAGAATTTATAAATGATGAATGAGAAATAATATTAGGAATAGCAAAGAAAATATCATTAGGAATGATATTAGGAATATGAAGTAAAGTATTAGAATGGGAAAAAGGGAAAACATTTTCTTGAAGTATAACATCTCTAGAATTAAATACAGCTTTAGAATTCGGATCATAAATCTTTTATGCTTTTATTCTAATAGGATAACTAATGAATCCATACTCTCTAGCTCGAGAGTCATTTTTTTTTTTTTGTTATGAGAAAGAGTATAAACAAAGCAAAGACAAAAAAAAGCTCTCAAGTGAAGATAAGAAGGTGACTTATGAAATAACAATTTGTAAGGAGTTTTGTTACATAAAATAACGAGTTGGAACTTATTTATCATGTATGCTACAGCTAAAATAGCATCTCCTCATAAACTAATTAGTAAACAAGACTAGAATAACAAAGCTCTAATAATGACAAGAAGATGTTGATGTTTCCTCTCAATAACACCATTTTATTGAGGTGTACGTATACATGAGAATTGATGTACTATACCTTTCATGGAAAAGAAATTAGTGAGATTGAATTCTAAAGCATTGTCCGATTTATTTGTTCAATGGAAAAACCAAATTAGTTTTGGATGAGATTGAAGAAACTAGGAATGATAGATTTAACATATGATTTTGATTTTAACATAAATAACCTTATCATTCTAGTGAAATCATCCATTATAGTGAGGAAATAATGATATTTATCATGGGTTGGTTGTGAATAAGGTCCCCATATATCAACATGAATAAGTTAAAAAACGGTTGTAGTGTTTGATGAGTGAATAGGAAAGGAAAGTCTTTTGTATTTAGCCATTGGAGATACAATACAAGGATTTTTATTAAAATTTACATCACTCGTATACGTTAGAATAGATTTGATGAATAACATTCATCTTATCGAAAGGTATATGTCCTAATCTAAAATGCCAAAGATCAAAACAATCTTTGACAATAAAGAACATAACTAGTGTTGACGGTAGGAACAAAAGCAGAACTAGACTTATTCTTGTGAAAACTAGAAGGAACCGAAGATTGAGGAGGTATTGAATTTTTAATTAAGTAAAGAACACTTATAACCTTAGCAAATCCAATCATCTTCCATGAAGGAACTACCTAAATAAAACAAGAATCACCATAAAAGTCAATAAAAATTTAACCAAAAAAAAGTAAGTTTACTAACGGATATTATCTTGAATTTTAAGGAAGGAATGTAGAGAATATTATGCGGTAATAGGTTAGAAGACAAATGAATTATGCCGTAATATGTAGTAGACACCTTGGAACCATCTCACATTAACATCAAGACATGTTCAATAGATTGATAAACACTGAAAGAATTCAAGCAATAAGTTATATGATCCGAGGCTCCTATGTCAATGGTTCAAGATTTATCATCTAGAAGACATATTATGTGCTTTGTGAACTCTATGTAACGATAATGTGAAAACTAAATATGATTTTGTGTTAAAAAAATTTATATCTATCATGATAGATAAAGTAGAAGGAGGTAAAACAAATAAGGGTTCAACTAATGTGTTATGTCCACTAAAAAGAGTCATCGATCCCTAAATTTGATGTTGAGTTAATGAAACTTGTGACGGTGAATTTGTGGCAACATTGATTAAAGATGCATCACCGCTTATAATAGCACGGTTAGCATTCACAATCAAGCTTTCATTTGATCGTGTTGTCATTGAATTAACAACTAATTGATTAACCATGTTCTTTATAAACTTATTTGAAAATCTAATAAGTTGAAAACTACATACTTTAATATAACCAGCCTTGCCACAGTAAATGCAAACAAAAGTTTGTTTAGGTTTATAACGAAAATTTCCTCTCATTGTCATTACGAAAGAATCTAAAAAAGGTTGGAACTAACATTGCAAAATTTTTTGTGACTCCTCTCTTCCAATACATATCATATTAGTGATATGTTAGTTTTTGGCATTATTGCTTAAATTTTTTTTTTTTTAAGATTCAATTTCAAATCCCAAATAAAACTATAAGAAAATTTTCTTTTCACACAATTGCTTCTGATTTCAGTTTCATTTTCTGTTTTTGTTTCATATTCAATTCCACATCCAAAATAAAACTATAAGAAAAATTTTCTTCTTATTTTTTATTCGGTAATGAAAATATACTCATATCAGTTTATAAGCTAAATCTAAAAAATTTTCTTATAAATTCTCTGTTTTTTTTTCCTACAATAAAACTATACTTGGACTACGTTGCACGTAAACCAAAATACTTACTTCAAACGTACAAAAAAGAAAAAAAAAAACATCAATCACACAAATTAATTGTTGTTGCCTTTTAAATATACCCATATCATGCGTAACAAAACTGTTTCATTCCATCGTAAAGCGTGTTAAGGACACCACGAGATACACGGGTCCATGAATTTTAAAAAGATGGGGCGTAAGACAGCAGTGGAATCCTAGTAATTTAAAATTTAAAGTAAAAAGATAGAGCAGATGGTGCCATTTTTTGTTTAATTTGACATCCATTCAAACCATAGGATTAACTTTAGGCATTAAAGAAGAATCTCAAAATATTAGCATGGCAGTTGAAAACAGGGTTTTTCACCCTCCTGACGTTTTTGAGTTTTAATTTGAAGATTAGTATAAAAAGATTATTAAATTTTTCCAAATTTAACATGGCAATACAATAGTGTGTTTTTAATATTGTTTGAGAAAGTAATTTAGTTTTGATATATTTATAAATTTGTTCATGAATATTTTTCATTGTCAAATTAGAAAAACATTAAAGAAGGATATAATTTTCTGTCAACCAAATAAAAGTAGCAATGCAATAAAATTTCAAGGGAGCCTGGTGGTAAAAAAAAAAAAAAAAAAAACTATATTTCATGATTTTTTTTAGATTCAAATCTTGCAGCCACGATTCAAAAGAATTGTTACCAGATCCATCTAAGAAAATAATCTTTCTGTATAAAAAAATTATCTTTTTTTTCTATTTATATTTATCTTAAAATATAATTTTTCATCCAGATCAAAACTTTAAATAATATACTTTTCTTAATTAATAATAATTTTTTATTCTATTTTTCTATTCTCCACAAATAAAAATCAATATTCTTTATACTTTCTTCTTATGCATACAAATAACTATAACATAACAAATTAATTTTTCTTATTACATGACAAATATTTATTTTTATAAAGATTTTATTGCATGTTGAAATTTTGAGAGTAAAATATTTTTATTAATCTGTTATTTGTCCACATTTATTTTAAATTTAATTATTAATTAATTTAATGATTTTTTTTTTAATTTATCATCTTAATTTTGGATAGATTTTCTTCTTAAATTAAAATTTTGAATAGATTTTTTTAAAAATTAATATTGGTTCCATACAATGTAGAATTAAATTTGATAATCGATAATTTTAATAAAAAAATATTTTATAAAAATACAAATAAAAAATTCTGACATGGCATAATTTTATGAAAAACAAAAGTAATTATTATTATTTTAAAAAAAGAAGAGTAATTTTTAGCTTTGATTGAACCGCTAATATATTTAAAGATGACAAAATGAGAAGTAAAAATTTCGTGACGGGCGCGGGCACATCAACGTCACACGCAACCCCAAGCAGCTACCCTCACATTTTCCTTTCATGGTAATGTTTTGGATGCCACGAAGTAACAGGATAGGAGGTTCCTTCTACCCGCGAGAGCTAATTGCGTAACCAATATGCTTTAACTTAAATAATCACACCACACTCCTCTCAAGAGTTTAGTAAGTAACTGGTACCAAAATCAATAGGTTAAGATAGAGCGGGTTAGTTAATTTGATTGACAGAATTTATGTCCATACTACTAAGTGATTTTGGATTGAGTTACCAAGGGGGAGAAGACAAGATCATTGTAACATTTATTACTCCCTTTGTCTTAAAGTGTGAATCTTTTTTTTTTTTTATAACTTTTCATACAGTTCAAGAAATATATTAATTGACAATACCTTGTTTCTCGATTTTAATGACAAATCTATTGGATTAATTTTCATAAACTAATAATGTTTTTCAACTTGACGTGAAAGAATGTTTTTCAACAATTAAGTTGGCGCTGGATACTTCTCGAAGTTGAATCTGCAATGGGATTACTACTAAGTGGAAGAATAGCAGCAAGTGCATTTTCTAATCGAGAAAATATCAAAAAAAAAAAAAAAATCCATTAAATCTCCGATGGAAAATAATGTGGATCAAGATGTCCGAGAAGTTTCCTTATTCTACTTTGGACAGCGTTCAAAAGCTTATTTTGTTACAGAATTCGAAGTTAGAGGAATAAAAATCCAGTAATTCCCATCCAAACCAAACTTGCACAAAAAGCCGAAGTTGAGCTTGGGATTGATTATGTCACCGTCCACGTCCTTGTACCCACGCTGCAGTGACTTGGTCCTTGCAAGGCAAGGTTTTGACCAAATTAGTAATTCAAACAAAAATCAAGGGCTATAAATACTCCAGACAAAATCATACACCAGGGGCTTTCTTTACTTTCCATTTATAAACAAAATTAAAAATAATAAATGCTGCTACTACTAATAATAAATAAATATAAATAAATCGAAACTTTCTCTTGTGAGTTGTGATCACCACCACCACCATCCCCAACAAACTTCCCTTCCATCCCCTTTCCTCAAATTCCTATAGTTCTTCAGCCACCTAAGTTTATTCTCTGATCAATCAAGTCTGACAATAAATTAACAAAACCCACCTTTTGTGTTCCGTTAAAAAGTTTTTATTTTCATTTCTTTCTGTGTTTTCTTTGCTTGAAACTTAGTTTCAAGCACTGTCTTTTTTGGTTTCGTGAGGACCCTATTTGTGCTTATTGATTTTTTTTTTAGTATGAATAACAGGAGAAGGCAGAGAGGTGAAATTTATCAACATCAAGAGGTTCAAGGGACGACAAGATCACGTTCTAGAAAACCGCCTCCTCATGGTATGTGGAGTTCTTTTCATTTTTTCTAAGGCCTTGAACGAGGAGTTACTTTGTGATTTTCTTTAAAGATTAGGCACGAGAAATGATTTTGCTGTGGCTGCCTCTGTTTTGATGCTATTGCAATTTCTGAAGTTTTGTTTTCGTTGATTTTTTTCGAAACCACAAAGGGTATATTTCAGTTTGGGTCTCGATAAAATAGGATGGTTTGTAACATGTTGGAGTTATTTTTTTTCCTTCTGTGGCTTTGCATCAATTTTTTTACACTTTAATTTGTTTAGATTTGGTTGTTGTTATGTGGGGGTTCTTGATAATGTTATGATTTGATGCAGCTTTCTAGATTTTGGTGCTCCTTGTTAGGGTAAAGTGCTTGGTGATGTGTACAGTTTCTGTTTAAAGTCTAATTATGTTGATTTGTTTCACTTTAATATGTATGCATTTTTTGTGAAATCTCTGTTGCTCTTGTGTCTATTTTAGCAGCGAATGTTGATTTAGAGACACAACAGTTGTCTTTTAGTTTATGAATGATTTCTGGGATTTCGTTCGAGTTCTGAAGTTTCCTATCACACATCTACAGACAAGAAACTGACCAATTTGAAAATGTTAAAATATAATTGGGGATTCGTTCTTAGAAATGTATGCAAATTATATACAAATGGCCCCAAAATGGAAAACATGGCCAAAAAAGAATGAATGTCAGGTGTGTTTCTATGTAGCTTAATACAAGGTCTGTGTCGTATTTGTTTAGTTTTTTTAGCTGCCTAGAGATTCTTGCTGTCCTTTTATACAGCTTTCTTCTGTAACTATGTTTGGCATTACCTGTTCGCTGCAATGTTTCTTACACTTGTACATGCCTGCTATTCACTCTGTGGTTGTTCCTCTTTTTGAACCTCTTTGTTTTTTTTTTCTTTTTCTTTTATTGACTTTGAACCAATGATGCTTTTTTGGTGTTTGTATATGAATAGTTTACTTTATAATACTTTGCTCTCTTTGTTTTCAGGTAGTTGGCAGCCAACTGTACCTTCATGGGAAAAGAGATTCTGCTATTCAGTTGGTTCAATTCCATGGGGAAAGCTCCTGGAAACCAAAAGATCTATGTACCTTTATGAGAATGTAGTTCAGTGGAATGACTCTGCTGGTGAAGAGGCATTTCATAATGCTAAAAATCGATTTTGGGCAGAGATTAATGGCCTACCTTGCAACATATCGTTGCCTGATCCTGATATTTATATTGATCAAATTGATTGGAACTCCAATGTTGACTCTGAATTGCTTTTAGACTTGGAGCGCGAACCAAAAGATCACGATGAGACTAGCAAACGAGAGGAGGTTGTGATTATTGGTAGTTCTCTACTCATGAATCAGCCATTTTCGTGTGCTGGATGGGGGAAGCTGAGGAAGAATTTCAAAAGGTTCCTGATTCGGCATTGGATCCTGGACATGGGGTTTTCAACCATAAAGTCACTAATTATGAAAACCCCTGGGGAATGAATGTTCCTTTTCCCAATGAAGCCACGAACGATGATGGATGGAATTGTTGGAATGATTCATTTGGTCAGGGCAATGATGAGTGGGATGTTAATAATGACTGGACGAATGTTAATGCTGGAAATGGTGGTGATGGGGGAACATGGGATGGGTATGGCCAAAAGAGGGAAGATGCTGGTTGGCACATGTCAAGGTATAAAACCTCCAGGTTTCATGGTGATGAATATCCAATGGATCGTGGATTGTGGAGGCATGGAAGAGGTAGGAGGAGGGTAAATTTTGTTTATTGACAACAGCTTCTGGAAGAGACTCTGTTCAAGGCACTGGTACTCCAAGAATCCTTGTGGATTACATGCCTGAAAACAGGAATTTGATTGAATTGGTGCGTAAAGTTTTGCGAGTGTGAAGTATATAATACAACAACTTAGGTGGTTTGTGTCCCTATTGTTTTATTTGTTGTGTATCGAAGCATATACTAGTAGTACATATAATAGGATGATACCAACTTGGCAAATTCACTGTCATGTTGGATTTTATGCTGCAGTTTTGTAGTTTGCTTCTAGAAGCATGGGGCATAGTTATGCTGTGAGAGTGTTTTTGTTATCATATCAAGTAGAGGTATTTTTTATGTATGGTGAGGATTCTAATCCCAATTCATGGGGCAGAATCATGTCCCCTGCGTTTCTTTATGGATGTTATTAAGGGCATAATTATGCTGTGTGATAGTGTCCTGTTATCTGACGATGATTCTTGTATTTGAAGGTAGTTTTCTTCTTCGCCTCTTCAAACATGCCTTTTAAGAACTTTTCTATAGCGTTGTAAGTGTCAATTATTGTGAACGCAAGTCTCCGGCCATACCTAAACACCTGCAATTAGTTTCTGTGCTTTTGGCTGCCTCAAATAAAACAATGCTGTTTTTCTTGCCTTGAGAAAATATTATATTTGCCTTGACGACAGCAGCAGGCTGCATAAGGGTTTTAGCCACAGGATTCAAACCTGAAACTCTCTCTCTTTTTCAGTAGAGTATACTGAAGTATACACCTATTTACATCATAATCTACAGCATTATTTATGGGAATTGTGCTAATTTACTAAGGAAAAAAAAGTAGAAAGATTAATAAAAATGTTATGTACTTTTTTTAAGGGGAGAGAATAATAAAGCTGAGAGTGATCCCCTTGATTTTATTTTATTAATATTTATAATTTTTAGGTTTTAAGGGCTATGGTATTCTCGAATCTCAATTCTTTTAAATTAAGAATAGGTCCCTCTTGGGTTGAGCATGATGACTATATTATAGAGATTTTTTTTTTTTTTAATTATTATTCAATAGCAAGGAACTAAGGATGTATCCCTCTATTATAGAGATGTATGGTCATAACATGATTTTTTTTATTTTTATTTTTTTGTTTTCGGAGTGGAACCTACAATTTTAACGAAGATCACCTTTAAGTACTGACAAGTCATCTTCATGGTCATAAACATTTAATGAAATAATGTCGGGCATTAAAAACGTCTCACATTAGACAATAGCATAGGGTTAGGACAACTTCGTGATCCATTTGAAAATAATTCTCATCATGCAAATATACGAGGAACTTATTCTTGAAAAGTAACATTATCCATTGAAAATATATAAAATCTCGTCTCAAGCCCAATAGAACAGGTAGCTCTCATAGTTGTTCTTTTATGTACTTTAATTTAATAATTTTTACGTGGCTTCAATTCGACAGTAAAATATATTTTTAAATCGGTTTGCTTATATATATATATGAATACAACAAATCGGACATGAATAATAACCTACGAGAAATCAATCTCGTTGTTCGAATGTGAAAGCTGGCCAATATTTATGCTGACTATTAAAGCCCAAAAGAGAAATTTTGGAAGCCTATAACAAAGTGTTCTGGTTAAAGGCCCTCTAAAAAGGTTCGACAAAGCTCTTTAGGACTTAACTCTGATTATCAGTTTCCGCTTCTCCTCCCAGAAATACAGTTTTCTCTGGCGATATAAAGGTACTTCGATTTGTAATTTGTAAATTCCTTAAAATTCCCTCCGTTTCTCTTTTAACATTTCAGAGCTTAATTTTTAAGCATCAGAATCAGAGTTTTAAAGTAATTCATTCTTTAATGCTTGCTTTACATTGCTGCTTCTCTGCGTAGTTATTTAGCTCCTCGTTTCCTTTACGATGAACATTTGGGTTTCTGTTTGGTCCCCAGAAAAGAGAACTATAGAGTTTAAGATTTGCTAACTGGGTTTTGAGGTTTTTGTGTTTTAGCAGCCCTGACACCACCTGTTTGTTAAAATTCCCCAACGAGAAAGAAAGAAATAGTTTGTTTATTGATTATATGTTTTTTTTGTATCTTTTTCTTGATCTAATGCAATTTCTAACCAGGATAGACTATTGACATCCTTATTAATAGCTTGTTTTAGTTTTTTTTCGCGTTTAATTTAGGATGAATTTATTTGGGTGGTTTATGTTTGTTTGTTTTGCGAATCCTCATTTCAGTTATTAGATAGAGATGTTTTTATGGGTTTTAACTATTCTTCTATAAGCTTAACTAATTGTTTAGGTTTTTGCTAGTATAGGTTGTCATGGCAGCTGAAGAGGAAAATCCCACTTCATCAAATTTACCCGATGAATCTTCTGCTGTAGTCCCGGATGATGAACCAATGATTGATAACTCTAGTCCTATTCCACCAATCATTCCACCAGTACCCCCATCTTCGATACCGGCTGTGCCTCCTATTGCTCCGATACCTACAGTTCCTCCCCGCCCATTAGCACCTCTCCCCATCCGTCCGCCTGTCATTAGGCCACCTGGGGTGCAAAATGGTGAGATGAGAACTAGTGACTCGGATTCTGACCAAGAGGAATCAAGTCCCACTGGGACTACCATGGGATCAACTGGGGGTTATGAAGTTTCAGAAGCCAGCAGACTAGTGAGAGAAAGGCAGCAGAAGGCAATGCAGGACTTTATGATGAAGAAGCGTGCTGCTGCTCTGGCAGTGCCTACTAATGATATGGCAGTTAGGACTCGTCTTCGCCGGCTTGGTGAGCCTATAACTCTTTTTGGAGAACGAGAGATGGAGAGACGGGACAGGTTGAGGATGCTCATGGCAAAGTTAGATTCTGAAGGGCAGTTGGAGAAATTGATGAAAGCTCATGAGGAAGAGGAGGCTGCTTCTACTGCTGTAGCAGAGGATGCTGAGGAAGAAATGGTTCAATATCCATTCTACACTGAAGGGTCGAAAGAGCTATTGGATGCTAGAATTGATATTGCAAAATACTCTATTTCGAAGGCAGCTTTGCGTCTTCAACGTGCACGGAGAAAAAGGGATGACCCAGACGAAGATGAAGATGCAGAGATTGATTGGGCTCTGAAGCAGGCGGAGAGTTTGAGTCTTAATTGCAGCGAGCTTGGGGATGACCGACCACTCTCTGGTTGTTCCTTCTCTTGTGATGGGGAAATGCTTGCTACCTGGTATCTCTCTCTCTCTCTATCTATGATTTAACCCATTTCTGTTTGCTGCCACTCTCTTTCATGCTTGATTGTAAACAGTTGTTTTTTTTCTTCTTCCACAATCTGACAGATCACATCTGACAGCATGGTCAATCTTTCTTACATAAACAGTACCAATCACATAATAAAGTGAATTGCGAGTATTTTGTTAAGCAAACTATCCCTTTCCTGCTCTTCGTTACCACGATCATTCCATAATCCAATTCCTTGCTTTATTCTGCTTATGCAGTTCTTTAAGTGGAGTTGCTAAAATATGGAGTGTGCCTCAAGTAACAAAGGTTTCTACCTTAAAGGGACACACAGAACGTGCAACTGATGTCGCCTTCTCGCCTGTGCGCAATCATTTGGCAACTGCCTCCGCTGATCGAACTGCAAGGTTGTGGAACACTGATGGTTCTCTCCTGAAGAAGTTTGAAGGTCATCTAGACCGTCTTGCTCGCATTGGTTTCCATCCATCAGGGAAGTACTTGGCCACCACGAGCTTTGATAAGACATGGAGACTGTGGGATATAGATTCTGGTGTGGAGCTGCTTCTTCAAGAAGGTCACAGTCGGAGCATTTACGGAATAGCTTTCCACCATGATGGATCATTAGCAGCATCTTGTGGATTGGATGCACTAGCACGTGTTTGGGACCTCCGTACTGGGAGAAGTATAATGGCATTGGAAGGCCATGTCAAGCCGGTGAGAAACACTTTCCGAATCTTTCTCCTTTTGCTAATGGGAATCTTGTTTTTGTTTGTTCAGAAAGTATAGTTGTTAAATGGACCATTTTTATCTTTCATATAATTTTCAGGTTCTTGGAATCAGCTTTTCACCCAATGGCTATCATTTAGCGACTGGCGGTGAGGATAATACTTGCCGGATATGGGATTTAAGGAAGAAAAAATCATTATATATCATACCAGCACACTCAAATCTCGTATCACAAGTAAAATTTGAGCCCCAAGAAGGCTATTATCTGGTCACATCATCATATGACATGACTGCTAAGGTCTGGTTTACTTCTAACCATGTTGATTGTTTCATACAGCCGAAGGTATCATATTTGTGTTTAGTTTATTCTGTAATATGCATGTATTCAACAGGTTTGGTCTGGCCGAGATTTTAAGCCTGTCAAGACATTATCAGCACATGAAGCCAAAGTTACATCTCTGGATATCAGTGCAGGTAACTTTCCCAACTTAGTAAAGTAATATACGCCCAAAGTTTTGATTATTTTACCACTTTCATAAACTATTTATCTTTTGTTTGCTTCACCTTTATTTTAATCACCACAATTGATGTGCTAATATCGATATTAGCACCATTGCACCATTAACAGTGGTCCATGGTCAATCATCTTTTTTTTTTTTTTTTTGGTCTGCCAAAATTTTGGTTTCCCCCTTTTCTTGACAGTTTCTCTTTTGCTAAATAATCTTTGGGTTCTGTCAATTCCATTTATAACTTCTGTGCAACAAAAAATTGGAATCTTTGTTGCTTTTGTTTGGTTCACAAAGAAATGAAATGAGGCAGCAGTTATCTTTTGTAATAATACTTACAGATCCAGAATGCTTATGGAGTTTCGTTTGAAACGTCTTGAAAGTTGCTAATGGTTGTGTTTATTTATTCAGTTGTGGGAGCTGATCTTGAGATACTCTCTGTACAATGGCCTTCAATTTTTTGTAATTCACAGTTATAATAGGGAAAGCCAAACAATTCAGAATAAACTAATCCAGTTCATATACTAAGTTACTTCTTGATTCAGTGTTACTTGTCATAAAAAATTTGCTTATATGAATTGTTGTGTCATGGCTTTATGGGTTAACTATGTTCCTTGTCATTCTTGGTTTGCCATTTACTCAAATATAAGGTGTCATTTGTATGTGTGCGCCAAAGGTGAAGGCTTGTTCTGTCTGGTGATTACTTGAATTGTCTTTGAACTGATGTTTAATTTAATTGCTCTTCTGGAGAATTCATTCTGTGCTGCTAATTTATGAATTACCCTTTTCTTCATTTGATTGGATGAGTACTGTTGCTTGGTGGCAGATGGACGTCATATTGCGACTGTCTCACATGATCGAACCATCAAGCTGTGGTCCAGCAGAAGCAATGAAAAAGATGCTATGGAGGTTGAATGAGTTGGCTTTGGACTCTGTGGCAAACGAGATAAATTGTTGGCCGAATCTGATGTTATCAATTGAGCACTTCTAACTTCGCTTCGAGTGGAATACCCAACCTCAGGAAACTTTTTCTTTTTCTTTTTCTTTTCTCTAGGAGAGATGAATGCTTCTTGTAGGTGAAATTTGTCTTGTATCAAATGTCTTTAATGTGCAGTCTCCTAAATTCTCACTCTACAATTACAGTAGCATGTTATTCGTAATATCGATGATTTTTTTGAGGAATCCATGCTATTTTGCAGTTCTGTTTAGCTTGTCCTCCCAGTAACTATTATTATTGTTTTTTTTTTTTTTTTTTTTTTTTTTTCAGTGATATAGTTTCAAAAGGATAAATGCATTATGAGCAGATCGAATTTCAACTTTTTTCAATGGAGTGCATAATTTTTTTGTTACCACATTAATTTTTCTTGTTTGTTATTTTCAGAATACTAAATTATAAATATCTTTGTTTTTTAATGGAGTATATGAATTTTAATTTTTTTTTGAGTATATTAATTTTTTTAAAACTGTCAATAAGTATTTTTGTTATTTCTTTATTAATTGATGGTGTGTTTCAATATCAAATCATATATCTCTCTCTCTCTCTCTCTCTCTCTCTCTCTCTCTCTCTCTCTCGTTGTAAAGAATTTTCTATTTCAATTATTCTATCATTTAAAAATTGAACAAAAATAAAAATAAAAAAATGTTATTTTTTAGTTATAAAATTTCAAATTAAAGTCAGTTAGAGTTACTGTTAAAAAAAAAAACTCATTTAGGTTTTGGGTAGGAAAGTTGAATGAAACATAAACATGAGATTTTACATTAAAAATATTTTTTTGTATTTTTTTTTAAATTTTTACTCTTAAAGCTAACTGAGTTTTTTTTTTTTTAACAACTTAATTGAGTTTAATTTAAAATTTTATAATTAAAAATAATAATTATTTGTTAAATTTTGAAATAAAAATAATTTGAGGCCAAAGTTCCCTCCAAAGAAAAAAAAAAAAACAGAGAGAGAGAGAGAGAGTAAAAATTATAGTTGGTGACCAAAATGGGCTTTCTGCTTCCTTTTTTCTCAACATTTGCACCCAGTAAAGATGTGATTACTTGTTCATTTTGGGTTTAGGTTAGTGGGTTTATTTCTCGTGCAGTTCTTGCATTTGGGTTGCTTCTTTTCTAGGCCTTTTGTTATCGAGTCAAAATCGTGCAGTAAACATTTTATTACTGCATTGAGCTGAAATGCCACTGATGTGTCTAGACTTCGTTCTCTTTCCTCGTTTATGTCCTAATTTTTTCTCCTGAAAAATCAGATCTTATGTCGTGGGATTACTGTCCCTAGGCAAGAATGATATTGATGAGTTTGTCTGTGATTGCTTATGGATGGCGGCTATTCCTCCCCTCTCACTGGAGAGGAAGAGGACTAGCACACCAGTTTTGCAGGAGCACAAACTCTTCATGATGCATAGGATAGGATTATGGGTCCAGAAGCTTGACACAGTTGAGGATATGCAATGGATAAAAAAGGCAGTGTCTTGATAGCGATACTGCCTCTAACATGAAGGCTATGTTTGTAGTGGGAAAAAAAGAGATCCTAAAGAAGAAAACTCTAAACCTGTTACCAAAATTTTCAGAGAAAAACTACTCCAGCACCGAATCACCAGTTGGAGAGATGTACTAATCCTTGGTCCAATCTTCCATTGTTTTTCGAACATTACAGGTTCATTGATGGCTTTAAAGACCCCGTTTGCCCATGTAGCACCAGACCCTTCACAGAACTTTCAATTGCTTGAACTCCGATTTTAATGCGTTTTAGCGTTTTCCCCTAAGGATACCTTAAACATCGGTTCATGAGGAGCAAAACTAGTTTGTCAAAGACCAGTAATATGATACCATATTGTTAACTTAACCCCAAAGAATTAGGCTGATCGCTGGGAAGATTTAAGTCATTTTGGACTTTCTAGGTTCAAACTTAGAGTCAACACCTTTGAATGCACACAAATGTGAAAATGCATCCTTAAAATCGCCCATAGAATGACTAGTATAGCCTTACCGCGAAAAGAAAAAGAAAGCATATCTTTAACTCAATTGTAGTTTCCTTATTTCGTGCTATTCTTTAGCAACATGAAAAGCTCGAAACAAATTAATCCATACTTTCTAAGGAAAGAAAAATAGAGAGCAACAGTAAACAATAGCTGTTTTGACACATGAAAGCTATCTTTTTCCCGAAGCCAACAGTGTTTACAAATGGACACCGAAGAAAGAACACAAAGAAAGCACATGGAGTATAGTTGGTGAAACTGGAGAATCATCCTAAACAATTCAGTGATGACTTGAGAGCTAATAGGCCTCAACACTATCTATCTTTATTAAGTCTCTTAGCCGTAAAGATCCAAATTACAAAATTGCGTTAAGAGTCAAATCTCAGTAAAACCTCATGCTTCTTTTTAAACACATCCAGACATCATCTTGAAGAGCTTGTCCTGCGTCACCCGTATTTGCTCTTTACAGTATGATGCCAAATCATACAACAAAACGATGCACTCAGCAAAACATTTAGCATATTAATGAATACAACCAGAATATCGCTTCTTCGACCATTTTGCCTCATTTATACCAACCGGTAAGTAAATACCTTAGCCCAAAACATATGCAGCATCCAAGTGCCTGTTACCAGCAGGATATTAGTATACATATGCAATGTCATCACAATACATATGCCAATGTCATCACAACACAGGAGCTGACAGTCATTACACGACATATCCCAATAGACTATGTTACATGACACCTCCATGCCCAGAATTTGATTGGTACTAAATCATTACAATTGAAGTGTGGCTAAAATGTATTGGAATGTTCATCCTTGACGTTAGGAAGGCTAGGTAGGTTTGTTGTTGACAAGTTAACAACAAATAATATTTGTAAATAGATTATTTAAAAGATAAATAGATTTTTATGAAAACAAGACTTAAAAACCTTAAGAAAATCCTAATTTCTCTCCAGCATTTTTCAGTAACCAACAGACAACTTTAAAAAATAAAAAACAACCAATCTGGTACGAAAATACTCAGACCTCTTTTGTTTCTTCTCCAAATCTATCATTTCTATAAAAATCCAACATTAACTACAGCAGAAACATCAAAAATTTCTCATGGTACAAAAATTATAGAAACAAGTCAAACAAGATCAACAATATCAACAAGCTGCAACCATTTCTTTATCCCATCAAATAAATATACCCACCAGATATATCCATGCATCAATCGCCCTCTTAATCTTCAATAACAAAACCAGCCTAATCATGTTGCAATTTGAAGAAGCAAGAGGATGTTATTTGGGGTGAAGATGCTTGATGCTGAGATTGGGATTTGTGGTAATGAAAAATGACGTTTGTGATAATGAAAAATAAATAAGATGGTGAAGATGCTTGATGTGGAGAATTATTAAGTAAACTTATTTGTATGATTTGGAGGTTATTTACAACAGATAGAGGAAGCTGAAGGGAGAGATAAAGTAGGAGGCATCTCCTAATTCTTTCTGTGAATATCAGTACAAATTATGCAAAAAAAATTAATGCAGAAGTATATCTAAAAAATATCATGGAAGGGCCATATTAAGAAAAAATGCCATGTTTAGACACAAAAAGAGGGATTTTTTAGTTCAGAGGGTGATCCAAGGTAGGGTTAAAGTTCAGGAGGTAATTACAATTTAGCCTCAAAATTTCCAAGCAACTGGGTTTATATTTGATTTGCTTCGGAACCTACAGGCTTGCAATCAAGTGAAGCAACCTTGATTCAAAATGGAAAGACCCAAACTCAAGTATCAATGGTAAACCATGACAAGTTCAGCCAGATCTTCCTAGTTTTAGCTGAATGAGATGCTTATCTGCATCATACAAACATATTGGTTTATGTGGATGTTTCAGTTAGGAGTCATTATCAAGCGGCTTGGAACTCCTGCTTGGGGCCAATGCAAAATTGTGAGAAGCATGGGACAGTGAAGTCCAAACCCCAAATCTTCAATAAGGCAAAAAGCCCCTTCCCCACAGTGTACAAGTAAAAGGAGAAAGATAAAATTTAACTCATAAATAAATCACCTGAACAAGAAGAAGATGCACGCAAAGTGAATTTTCTGTCTTCCTGCCGAACATTCTTAAGTAAAAATTAACAAGTGTCCCATCATTTGTTCCTGTAAGAAGTCCTGTCTGGGGATCAAACCTGAAAGATATTTCATGTAATGTAAGACATCCATAGAAGATTCACATAAGAAGGCCCATGAAATTCCCTAAAGCACAAGCTTGCATCGAGAGAATGGAGAATCTACCTCGGCAGACGATGCCGTGGACAATGCCTGAAGCCGAAAAGCTGAAGTAGAACCATAAATTAGATGCCTTAGTGGGTAATCAGAGTATAAAAGCTTGTGGAAGAAGAGTTATGAGATCAAACCTGCGGGACTGACAGGAGGAAGTTTAATACTTGTGCTAAAAAGAAAATCAGGAGCGTTTCACTGTTCAAAAAATGGGGAAAAAAAATAATTATGAGGTTATGGATTGGCATATTGATGAATGCAAAGTAACTGTAGAAAAATCCAGTACAACCGATCTCTGGGATCTTTAAATATGACAACTTTTGTCCCAATAGCACAATTGATCAGCTATCAAATGATTATGAGATTGCATAATGAGAAAAAGAAAAATAGTGCATGGTTAAAATAGGTACAGAAATGTGACAATTATTTTCTAATGTACAAACTGACAAGTATGCCTAGTTTGAACAAGGAATTTATATTTAAAAAATATTTGTAAGAAGAATAAGCTAATGTCACAACATCCAGAGCGTGCACAGGTGGTCAATCATGTTCACATGTCAAAACTCTAAATGCATGTTCTAGATTTTTAACCCATGCATGGAGATGAGTTGAATGGATTAGAAAATTCCCCTAATATAGATTGTGCAATAAAAGACGCACCTAAAATGACCTAAAATCCCAACAACAGCCATTGTCATCCCTGCAAAGTATGTATAAGTATCTCCAACAAAGACCGAAGAAGGATACCTAGCAAAAATAAAAAACAACAGTAAACATTACTTGGGTACACATAAAGAGCAGTAAAACAAATCACCTGATAAATAGAACCAAGTGTCCATACCAATTGTAAGAAAGCAAAGCCAAGGAGGTTGCTAGTAAGGGTTGGACAAGATACACAGAGAATGCATGGGCCTGTTGATACTCAGGATCCGCAGATGCTCCAATTTGCATGACATTATGTATCAAAATCTATAAAATTGCCAAGCCATGTTAGATCCATAAAGAGTCAGAATCCAGTTGTCCTAGAAGTATTTATGCTTACCGCAGATGCAATAACAACTGTTTGACCAACTTCAAGGCCATTTATACCAGCATGAATGTTAATGCAATTTGTGCAGAAAATTGCCAAAAACCACATGTAAATCTTATATATAAATCCTGTCAAAAATAAAAGGAAAAACCATTAAGCATATTCTGGAATAAATGAGGCAACATGCCCTCGTACAAACATGTGTTATGTGGCATATGCCCTTCTGGCACCAAAAAAGCTGCAGTCAGCATGACAAGACAATAAGCTGAGTGAATGGTCCCATAAATTCCACCATCAGCAGTTTGTGACTTTTATCCACAGCATTTATAAGCACTAACTGATTTTATAATTCCCTTCCAGGTCAAATTACAAAAACTGAAGTTGGATACCACTCTATGCTAATATAGCTCCGGAAAAATCAAGGTTTTCGAACTCGTATATAAAAATTTGGATTCATCCATTTGCTCTTTCTCCTTGATTCCATTGGGGTACACACACTTTGAACTATAATTAAGCATGCGAATGCATCAACAATTCAGAATAAATGACAGACAATTTGTCCAATAAAAACTCCTATTTCAGATCTATGGAATGAACATTTTAATATCCCGGGCTCTAACAAAGGAAAAAAGAAATTAACAGCTAGACAAGGTTCATACTTTACTACTGAAAAGGTAGTTCAAGCTCATTGCCTGGATGGAGTGTTATGCTTAAATGACATATGAAGTGAAGGTACGGCACAATCAAGCCAGTGTTATATGTTGAATATATTATCACATTCACACAGACACACACACAGACACACACACACAGATATATATATTTGTTTTGACCATTCCTTGATAATTGACCTTATAAATCCAGCCACTTGTAAAGCTTTATCAACTTTCGTTCAACCAATGGTTTCTGTTTCTTTTCATCTAACTGACAAATGAAATTCAAGTACTGTTATGAAAAAATCCTAAATTTACTATGAAATTTGAGGTATGCTTTTTAATTAGATTGATTTTCATGATACAGAATCCTAGCAAAATAGTGAGATAGAGAGAGAGAACAATAATAATTATGGCATTCATTGATCTCACACTGTTGGAATTAGAAAACATACCCAGGTCCAAAACATTGAGCCCAATATATGGAACAAGAGGCTTTGGTATGATAATAGTTGTATGTCCAGCATATGCCATCAACAATGGAAGGGCAGCAATTGACGGAAGCAATAATTTCCTGCTCTTAGAAAACACAAGAAAAGCCATAAGGATCTAATCAAGCATCATTTTTACAAAAGCTACCAAGAAATACTCACACCCTCCATGGAACATCAAGGACATCGTCTATGAATCCAAGTAGAGTCATGAAGCAAATGGATGCTAATGCTGCATTGTACTCAACAAGCCACTGCACATTCACCAATAATGAACACAAATCCAAGACTAAGACTCCATGGAAACCACAAAATTGGAAGAAACATTCGGTAAGTAAACAAAAGAATGCAGGTAGAAACATGAAAACACTGACATCTGTTGTAAAGATATAAAACATGGTGTAAAAAATTGCAACCTAAGATTGCGAAAGATTCTTACATTGGAATCTGGTGCGAAGTTAAAAAACTGAAATACTATCGTCAAAACCATGAAGACTACCGCTACAGCAATACCCAATGACTCAGGCCTGGCAAAGACAAAAAACGGAAAATGTGATTAAGAAGCCAGTGGATTAACAGTTACGTAATGAATGTCTAAGTATTGTATCTTTTATAATGAAAAAACCAATCGTGCATTCACTAACTTCCATTCTGTAGTTTGGAAAAAAAGAAAAAAATCAATGCAAACATAGGAGACAATCAAAAAACCAAAATTAAATTTCAAATCATTAGAAATTCATCAGCAAGTGAATATTGAAGTCAAATTAAAAAATTAAACAATGATGAAAGAAAAACAGCCAAGAAAATTTAGCATTAACCAAAACACAGAATTAGCATTTACAGTCATCTATAGCAATAAAAATTGAAATCTAAAGCAAACCCAACTTCTCAATGTCTATAAAAAAACCTCCAGATCACAAATTTCCAAATAAACAAACCCTCTATCAAGACCCAAATCCAAAACAAATCCACATCATTAAATTAAGAAAAAACACAAATCAAATAATAAAAGACTCACACTTTAACGGTCCCTTGAGGAGTACCCTTCTTATTGATATCATAACCAAACAAATTCCTTCTCAAAACATATTTAGAAGCCACAGGAATCATCTTAACAGTAAGAAAAAACCCAGCAAGACTAAGACCAGCATTGATAAGAATAGGTTTTTTGAGGTCATGTTGGATCTGGGAGTGAAAAAAGAGTATGTAAAAGTATGGGGCTATCAGTAAAAGAGAGAGCTTAAAAATGAATCCTTTTTTTGGTGGTGCAATTGGTTGGTCATCAGTTATTTGTTGACGAGGTTTGGTTTCTTTGTTCTTTGTAACAATTGGTTCGTTTGTTAATGTCGTCGTCTTCGTGTCTGTTGTTGTCGGTTTTGAAGCTCTCTTTCTCGCCATGGTTTTGCTCTGTTCTCTCCTTCCCTGGTTCTCTCTGTTTTTGTTGAGAAGTATGTTTCTGTTTAAGAAGAGGATACACTGTGTTAGATGAGAAGCTGTTTTTTCCACATCGGTGTCATTCGAACTAATGAGATGTTGCCACGTAGCAAAACGAAGACAGCTGGACCCACTGACTGGTGCCACGTTGGCAGAAATTTTCAGGTTTTTCTCCGCCCTGTGTTACCTGGAGCTAATCAGATGTTGCCACGTAGGAGACAGTGGATTAGAACTAGTCCTCCAACAGGAAATATAGTCAGATAAATACCTGCTGTGCCTCATTTTTCTCTTGTGAAATTACAAGGAAAAGCGTCACATGTTTTTGTCTTAATAATAACGTTATTTTCTACCCAATTTTTATTCATTGAAATATCTATAAGAAATTTAATTCTTAGGGTTTCTCATCGAATTCGACTAAGAAAACATGAAGGATTATCGTTCACTAATTTTTGCACTTGGATAGATTAACTAGAGACTTCGGTTGTCGCAGCTAAGTACGATCCATATTTTTTTCTCCTGGTGCCATGAACTTGTCATATAGAATGGATAACTACTCGGGTCATAATTTCAAAATTTTTCAGTGGCCTTCAGGTCCCACCTGATTCAAAATTGTCACATATTTTCTATTTCAGTGCTGACAGAATTATGTTTTTGGAATTAACCAAAAGAAGGCCAAAACCATAAATACAACAAATCGCCAAGAGAACACAAGGAAGCTAGCTGAACACGGGGTTTGCCTTTGTGATCCGATCCCACCATCTGAATTGCTTTATTATTTGGAGTTGCTCTCCAAGACAAACTAATCCTTCTTGTATTCTCATGCAAACTACGGTTCTTGCAGAACTAAATCTTGAGTACAAGGCCAATAGGACAGTGATCACTCCCAATAACATCAGGGACAATGTAGGAGTCATGAACCTTGTTTGCTATGGATTCTGACACAAGAAAGTAGTCAAGCCGCCATCCTGTTTCAAATTTCAGTGTAACATATAAGATCAAAATGAATCGGACACAAATAGAATGGTAAATAGTTCCTGGTGCTAGTTCATGTTTGCCAAAAAGATCTGAAGATATGATTTAACCTTCTATGAGATATCATACAATAGCTCGGCAATTTTATGAATATTACATAAAAATGAATTCAGGCAATAACAATACTTCAAATATAGGATGGTTACTTCTATCTTCTACATCTTCTAGAGGTGAATCATTTTTTTCAAAATTCTGAAGGCATTAAAAAAAAAAAAAAGTGTTCTTGTCTGTGAAAGGATTTCTAGTTAGAAATATTTGGAATCCAAGTGGCGAGATACCTTTGTTAGTTTTCCGTGCACCATGTCGATAACCCCAGTAGGTATACCCGACAACATCGGGATGCTGCTTTCTGAAGGTATCTACAAATCCGTTCGACAAAAAGTTTGACCCAAATGATTGTCTTTCTTCTTCTGTAAACCCAGCACTTCTTTTATTTCCCTAAATATGCGTAGAAAACATGACAGGCAACTATTAGAATGTAATTATAGGTTTTTTTTTTTTTTGATAATTATATACAACAATTATGAAATCAATTGTCAGAACTCCAATCACCCCAAAATGCAAATGAGATAATAAATCTTATGTCTATGGTTGTAGTTTCAAAGTTACAGGAGGCACCTCAACACGCATTTGAAACTCATAACCTAAAATGGGGAATCCAACATGTTTACTGACCTGTTGGGAACATTGAAGAAAGCTTAGTGCAAATCCATGAAATTTAAATGACTTACAGCAGGATCGTAAATATCTATCTCCTTATGAGCACAATTCAGATCGCCAGTCAAAATGACAGGCTTTGACTTTTCAAGCTCCTGCATCAAGCATGCAAAGCAGCACAAGCATTAAATCAACCATGGAGATAGCATAGCAAGTATGCCTTCTACAGTACAAAACAAAGAGATCTATTGTAAGCATTCACTTAAAAAATCATGCTTACTTTCATGTAATTGCTAAGAGATGGATCCCATTGTGTAATCCTGTAGGACTAAAATTAGAGTAGAGCTGTCAGTCCATGAAAAACTCCACCTCAGAACAAAGAGCACATGATGATAAAAGTACATGAAATTGAAAAAAAAAAAAAATCTAGTATAGTGATGAAATAGAGCTACGGCAAATTACCAATCTCTTCAAGCCATCTCCAGAGTTAGGAACGTATGTATTTACTAAATAAAATGAATCAAACTCTGCCGTCACAACACGTCCCTCGCTATCATGGTCTGGGATGCCTAGACCATAACGGACTGAAAGGGGCTTTATCTGTCACACAAATGTTGACCTTTACTGGATAAGCAAAATTATTATAAAAGCAGAAGGCAAGTTAGCAATTCAAAAATCAGGATCAAAATACTTGTAGAGTCAACAAGTTCGACAGCTAACAAAAAGATTACAACAAACTCTTTAACATGAAGGAAGAGTATTTGGTAGTCAGAAATAGCTAAACTAAAATTCTATTCTCTAGTTTTATCAAACAAATAAAATAAAATGAAATTCTATTCTCTAGATCAGTAGATTGTAATTCTGTCATGTTAGCCTGTTGAGTAGCTAGAAAAAACTTTAGGTTGCAGTGAGCTTATATGTTCATCTATGATATTATTCCATGATGAGATATAATTTTATGATATGAATCAGAGAGAGAGTCATCTACGTCAGGGAAGCATATCTACAGAAGCAAATTTGATGCTCTATTACTCTCATGAAAATTTATGGACGGAACCAGAAAAGGATAAGCATACCCGAGAGACAATTGCAGTCCCAGAATAACCAAGTTTGGCATTGCTACATGTCCAGAAGCTATTCTCATAACCATCTATCAGACATTGTTTGAAGGAAGGAACATCCTTCTCCTGTTCCAAAATCAAAGGAACCAATCAAAGAACTGTCAATTTGACCAAATCAACCCGAGGTTTGAATGATTAAGCGCTAGATGCTAGAACCTTGCTCCAGCAATGAAAAAAAAATTCAGTCAACGAACTCTAATAAAAACCTCATGCGACCATATATGTAACAATATACTTGCCTGCAGTTTAGTCTCTTGCATGCACAACACGTCAAAGTTTTCCCTTCGGGCAAGTTCAAGGGCAGAGAATCCCTCTGCCTTCAATAATGCTCTTAACCCATTGACATTCCAAGACATTAGCTTCACCAAGTTTGCATCAGTTAGAGGTGTAGGCCTCATGGTTCTGGGGTTATATGGAATCCACCCTTTCTGTGGCTTTTTGTGTGCAAGAACTGTCCAGGGTTCAGCTTGAGGCGAAGTAACTAGATCATCAGTTTTAATTGAAAGCTTCTTCTTTGTAGTGACTATTTCAGTACCAACTTTGACAGTTTTATCCTCGATGGGGGATTGTTTCATCCTTCTCTTACTCTGTTTAAACCCAGAAACCTCTGAAACATTGTTATTGCTTATAACACAGCTTTCATCAGATGCACGTTTAGTGTTCTTTTGCAGTGAAATTTTTTCCACAGAATTAAAGGTAACACATCCTTCTACTTCCTGAGAGCTATCACCTGCACGTGTGGGAAGCAGCTAACTATCAGAATTTTGCAAATGAGGGAGGCCCCTTGTTCAATAGTTAGATAAAGTCTTCCTTCACCTTATAACAACAACCACTACATTGAGCTCCCAGAAAACTTAAAGACTTATTTTAACAATAGTATTGGTTACCATCTATCTTCTTGGCCATGAAATGCTTTAGAGCAGATACAAGTTCAGCTTTACGACCTTTGGCAGGGATTCCAAATTTCCTGAAAATCCGAAGTCAACATTAGACACCAAGGATCAACACATAAACAATTGCAATGTAACTTCAGCACAAAACATATGAACTTATTTTGATTCCAGAAAACCTAACAATTGTGGTTAACAACAAAAATATTGCATGGGGCTCTCTTCCTTGGCCTGTCTGCAGTACCATCACATGCAAATTGAAGAACAAAACGCTCAGAATTCTGTTCAACACAAAGCAGATGGTTTTTCAAAATATATATGACCATTTATGGTAGATTTCTCTTGTATAAGTGTCAGGTAACAAAAACAAACAAATATCAAGCTGTTTAGCAGCGATTGTTATTCTTCACAAATTTGTTACAGAAGAAAGGAATGTCTTTCACCCATAAATTGCAAGAGCTCTAAACGGTCCAGTTTCCAGTCAACACAAATTCAAAACCTACATACAAGAAATCGGAATTTCATTTACCTCAATGCCGTCCTAAGTTCCTGAACTGTCATCACCTCGATTTTTGCTGGATCATCATTGATACTTCGAATTTCAACTGATTGGACTTCCCGATAATTTTCCTACCATCCGGAGTTTGAAACCACCAATCTTTCATTAGTCACCCATCCATCACTCAAAACATCACAAAATCATATCAATTTTTTTTTTTTTACAAACACTAACCTCGACAACAGCATTCTCACAATCACCACCACTCGTTCCCTTAAGTTTCTTATCTTTCTTGTCATCAACAATTGAAGAGGCAGCGGGTTTAGATAAACTCAAGACACCTCGTTTAGAACCCATCACACTGAATCTCAAAGAACCCAGCTGTCCAATCTTCAAGCTCCTTGGCCTAGCTGCAAAACTACAACATTCTAGTTCAATTTCAAATTTCTCATTTTAAAACAACAAAACTTCTTATTAGTCATTACCTTCGCATTCAACTAACAAAACAATGTTGTATCTTACTCAAGTTGCGAAACTTTCAAGGAACCCATAATTGTAAAACCAACAAAGTTAAAGTCTTTGCTAACAAAATCAAATAAAAAGCAAAATTATGCAAAAGCCTCAGACTTTGAACTGAAATAAAAGAGAAAGCAGTAAAATTATGCAAAAAGTAAGTTTGAAACCTGGAGAAATTAATGAAAGACTTGAGCCCTACGTGCACTGCTTGAAGATTCATTGATCAAGAAAAGAGAGACCCATGGATGCGTACGTTATGCAGGGTTGGGGCGCAGGTTAGCATTAGAAGCGTATGATAAAGAACCGCCAATGTGGGTTTTGCTACGAAGAGAGGAATGGGAATAGGGCTATAGAACCCACGTCTTCAGACACACGTGCGCTTTCCCGCGGAATTTCGCACCATTTCTTTTTTCCAATACTCGATTTTTTATTTTTGCAGTTAATAATCTCACCTATTTTTATATAATAGATTAATTTTCTAATTTATTATATATTAAAATAAAATAAGTGTATCTTTGTTATTAAACCAAGTTTTTAATATATCTTTCCAATCAAAATTTTCTAGTCAAACTATAAAAAATATCACATGTATAGCACATAATTTTTTATTTAACAAAAATGACCCTTGCAATTGACATATTAAGTTTTTAATATCTTCTTATGTAATGAGTTGAGTTTCCAATGTGTATTTAATGCTAAAAAAATTTATTCTATTATTTTTAATAATTTTTCTAATAATACATTGCAATATAGTAAATTTTTTGTTAAATAAAAATATATAAAAATAATTAGTACATGCTAGTATATAAGTGTTCAAAGAATTTTCATTTAATATATTTTTAATGCTAAAGAGTCCATTATTTATAATATTGAATAAATTGGTATAATTTTTATTAATATATTAAATCATCTCTATAAAAGTAAACATGAGAATCGCTTGCGAAAACAAATAATTGTAATTTAAATAATTATTAATTTATCTCTTAAACATATAATTAAAAGAATAAATAATTACATTTAAATAATTTTTAATTAGTCTCTTAAGCATGTAATTAAAAAGAAAATCATTACATTTAAATAATTATTAATTAGTCTCTTAAACATGTAATTAAAAAAATAATTACATTTTTTTAATTACATAATTATTTGCTTTTTTGCACGCGATTCACGTTTTTTTTTATAGAGATGGTTTAATATAGTGGTAAATATCATATCAACTTACTCATATTATACATAGGTGAAATATTATAATAACAATAATATAATGGATTCTTTAACATTTAAAATATGTTAAATGACATTCTATTAAGCACTTACATACTAAGTTATACCAATTATTTTTATATATATTTAATTAATTAAAAAGTCACTATAATGAAATATATTATTAGAAAAATTATTAACAATATTATAATGGATTCTTTAGCATCGTGAACAAATTGAAAACTCAAGTCATTATATGAGAGCATATTGAAAATTAAATATATTAAGTCGCGATGGGCATTTTCATTAAAAAAAAAATCATGTGTAGGTTATGTGATATTTTTAAATGATTTGACTGAAAAAATTAATCGGAAGTGTACATAGAAAACTTACTTAAAGAACATAAATATAATTGACGCATTTTAAGATATAAGAACATATCGAAAATTCATTCCATTATATAAAAACATGTTAGGCTAAATGACCAAAACTCGACTTAAGTCTAAAAATCAATTTTTAATTTCAAATTTTGTATTGAACTTTTTTTTTTTCAATTATTTTTCATTTGAAATTATATTTTTTGGTTAAATTTTTATTACCTTTTTTTTAAAAAAAAAAACACAAGTGACTAGTACTGATTTAGGTTTTATATATATATATATATATATATATATATATATATATATAACTATTCCATCAACTAAAATATATGCTCAAGCTTATAGAAATTATGTTTTTTCTTCAAAACTTGTTTTTTTTTCTTGGTAAAATGTCATGTAATTGCTTATAAAAAAAATTACAATTAACGCTAAAATTGATAAAAATCTAATAAATACATCCAATTTCAAATGAAATAAAATCCAACTCAAAAATTAAAATTTGAAGAACTTAAGCCTTTATTATATATATGTATACACATAGTTAATTTTAGCGGGGACTGTTTATATGGGGTTGTAAAAAATACTCGAATGGACCTACAAACTCTTTCGTAAAACACATATTAGATGTGATAGTTTTTTTTTTTTTAAAAAAAAAAAGGTATAATCCCTACATACATTTAAAGAGCCAAAACTCAAAGACGATTTTTGCGAATAGAGTAAATCAAATATGTATCTAACATCACTCTGAAAAACTAGTGACAAAACTCAAATCTTATGCATCTTAATCAGTACATTAATATTCATCAGAAAAAAAAGAAAAAAGAAAGAAAGTATATTTAAGGACATTTTCTCTTCATAACTGCCCCTTAGATTCCAACCATGGAGAACAAACCTATTTACACACAAGCCAACATTTTAAAGGTTTCTTTATCTCAAGTTGTCATATATATATATATATATATATTCTATCTCGTTTTGTTCAATTTGTTAGTCCGGTTATTTATAAGCAATTATTGAAGTCGAATTACTCTTCCACCATCGATACATTTGTCTCCAAAATCTAATACCAGTACACGAGAACTTCCAAAGATTTTCACAAGAATAAATGAATACGCAACTGCTTAAGTAGAGGGAGAGGAAATGAATTGCAAGAAGCCATTAATTTCCAATGAATAACCACCTTCCGTATCATGAATGGGGAATGTATACTGTAGTATGTGTCCCCTCACTACTTGTGTAAACCAACAGTTGGTCTGGCATGCAGAGCTTCAGATTACAACCGCAGGCAACCAGAAATACTACCAAGAAGACAAAATTCATGAATATGAAAGTAATCAGAATCCCGCTCTACACCCCCAACTCTATAGAACCTACTATCTAAACCAAAATGTACACCAGCGCTTGGGTAATGATCGGGAAGAGCCCTATGAAACCGCACACCGAAGTGCCCCATCTCAACAGTCATAGCTGCTTTTCTTGCTCCCTCAAGTTCTTGTTCATCAATATTTTCAAGAACCATAAGTTCCTCTCCAATCAAATAACACGAGTGAAGACAAGGAGGGAAGGGTTACTGCGGATGTAAAGTGATCACCTCTCTATGCCAATATCTTCCAGGCCAGGAGGAGATAGCGGTGGAATTGCTGAAAAGATAGAAGCATTGTCAGGGATTTGCAAGACCCTTCTTGCAGTGGCCTGAGATTCTCCACCGTGACCAATCTTTCTTGAAGAAATAACTCCAGCTGTCATGGAAGAGTTGCTATTCTTAACAGATAATAAGACCTCCTTCTGTGCCGATGCTATCACAGAGCTGAAAACACCAGATTCCCTAAGTCCCTGAACAATGACCTGTATACAGAAAAATCAAGAACGGCCTCAGGAATATGATTGTCAAATAGTACACAGATCCAAACCAAATAACTCCTCTGCAGCTCAAAGATGAGCTAGAAACAAGGAGACTTTGGATGGAAAATTTGGGCAGTGAAACTCACCATGGGAGCATAGATGCGAGTCAAGATGCCCTTTCGCAAGAGTTTCAGGTTCAGTGCTTTGTCAGTCCACACAATCCGTTCCCGGTACCTGATGCAATGACAAATTGCATGGTGAGCGGCTATTTGAGATGTTGGTATATAGCAATTTACGACAAAAAACATCACAAATCAAAATAAAGCTAAGGAAGGAAACTCACAAATCATTAGATTTGAGAGAATAAGATCTATAACTTTATGATTACACAATGTTAATTGTAGCACATTGTTAGGTATTTAATTCATATATGAAACTTCAAGAGGGGTCTATGGATTCGTGTCAAGATTCCAAGACAAAACAAAGGGAAATGGTAGTATAGTTAGTACCAGTGAAGCATTTCCTCCTCTGTTGCTGTTGAAGCAATTATGAATGCCTGTTCAGTATAAAACAATGATAGAATGGTAAGCAAAATGATTCACAAATTATCAAGTCTTTTCATGCTCTTTCTTAGTTCTTTCACATACATATAAGCCTGAGTGATAAAATGCATTGACAGTGAGGGAAATAAAAACAACATATATAATCACAAATCATGACTAAGCCTTATAGTGCATGATCAAGACATTTAGGCAACCGATTCTGTTCCCACAAAAGAATAAGAGGAGCACAAGAAACTCGACAGGCAATAGTTCTACCTAGAAACAAAACAACCAAAAAAAAAAATTGCATGACTCACAGCTCTGTCAAATTCCAACATGAAGCATCTTTTAACATCTTCCTTTGTAGGCTTGCATCCACAACGATCACGTCTTGAAGTCAGATCAGAAAATTTAGGGTATGTGTAATGCAGAACAGCAGCCTCCTCCAGTTTAACCTCACTAGCAACATTTACAGAGAACTATTAAGTGAGAGCAACAAATAAAGAAATGATAAGTACAATTATGCATGCATCGACAATGTTAAGTAAGGATAGATAAAGGAACTGCTACAAAAATCAACATTGACAGTGACCATGAGGAGGCGACATGCTAAAAAAAAAAAAAAAAAGAAAGAAAGAAGATGCATGAGTGCAATAAAATGTATGGTCAGGTGACTCAGGTCCCATTCATCTAATAGTAAATTTAAGTTCATATATTATGCACATTTACATACAGAAAATACCAAAAGAATAGCACATAAACAAGAGAAGAGAATGACATGTACATGAAATTATCAGATAGAATGACCATACTTGGGTGTTTTCATGTAGTTGTGCCATCTGTGTGCGCCATTAGGACGGAGATGATCTTGAACACGAGCAGCAGATTTCCCATTCCCGTATGTCAAAAAATAGTTTGGATTACCACGAGTTGCTTCCTTATAATTGCCGAAGTATGTATCTTTGGGAAGATGGTCATAATTCTTCTTGAACATTGAGACCTATGTCCACAAAAAAATATGAACTATTGGTGAGAATAATTGTGTCTGGGGCAGGAAATACTGAAAATCGAAAAACACACTGATGCCTTAGCCTTCCCCCACCCCAACCCACAAAACACATATTAGGCAAGGTTTTATTTAAATTAGCTTAAGCTGTGAGAAAAATAAATAGTACCTCACTAAAAGGTTCCTTGATATCATCTCGCTCAACACTGCTCTCCTGAAATGAATTATGTGGTCATCAAATATCAAGAAGAGTGGTAGAACAAAAGAAGCCAATAGGTACACATTGGGATGAGCAGAAATTTTTTTGATGCTACAGCCTACAAATCAAGCTTGCAATGAGTAATATATCATATAAATTTTATAAAAGCAGTTCAACTCACGTAATTTGGAAAGATAACTGTATCAACATTTCCAGGCACATCTGACAGCAACTGTCTCAAGGAATATTCACGAGCTGCTGCAGGATGAATTAGCTCATCGGTGTCAAGATGGATAATCCAGTCCATCCCAGCCTCCTAAAATTGCATTGCATAAAATATATAAAGCTTTCATCAGACACAACAATAAGCAGGTAACTTAAGAAGCATATGAGAATGTAACATCCATACCCTTGCCATGACAATAGCCATTTCCATATTGAGGGATTGCTTCACAAATAACTCATAATTACATGGTTTGTAGAAGAAGCTTGACAACCAGGTCTCATTCCAGATCCGACTAATAACCCAAAACATAATAAAAATAACAAAATTTAATGAGATTTAATCAGATTTAAAACAGTAGATATGGAAGGACAAGAATAACCATATAAAAAAAGACTGGAAGAGAGAGAGAGAGGGGGGGGGCGCTAGTTGTCTTGATTTTAGAATAGAATGGTGAGAAGAGGAACATAGAATTGCCACCAAGCCTATTGGGACTGAAGCTGAGTTGAGTAAAGTTCTGCAATGTCTAAGTGAACCAAACAGTATCTAGTCAAATACTGCAAATCATTCATAAGAATGTATTTTAAGCTCATGGCCACTGCCAAAGGCAAAAATTTCACCACATGATGGCTAATATCTTCCGAAGTTCCCCTAACCAATAATTCTTGTATTATCTCCTAGAAAGTTAAATCATTGACAAACATATCCAAGGTTAAATTGTGATTTGAAAGAGTACACCAAGCCTAGAATCACAAGGCTAAAGTCAGTACAAGCTGGCCAACATTTCTAAATACAACCAATAGAAAAGATGATGCTGCCATCTTTTCTGTATATCATATATACGAAAAGAAGAAACTGGTGAGCAAAATATTTCAACTTAGGTTAATTAAATAGCGATTTCCAAGAGAAAAGGCACCAACCTTTTAGCTTGTTGTTCCTCTAATTCTTTTGTTCTGTATATAACTTTCACTCCCTGCAAAAGAAGTGTACAGCCCATCAAAACAAACATTCAGAAGATAACAGAGAAAAACGAAACCACAGAGGAACAAGCTCATGGCCCAGAAACGTAAAACAAGTTACAGTTACAACACAGATGTCATATCATGAAATTGAAAATCATCTCACCGAAATCGTTTCCAAAACTTTAGATACATCGATGGAGGCAGCTTTACCCTCCACAAAAAGAAAAAAATTCGAGACTCCCATAACCTTGTGATAAAATATCCATGGTAAAGTCTGTTCTAAGCCAGCAGAGGTGCTTGTCGTTATACATATCTGATGCAAAGCAAAATTACAAAAGCCAAAGTGTCTTAATAACCATCACATCACTTATAAAACTAAACATTTCAAAAGAACAAACAACTTAATTTCCCCAACATTCCATATAGCTGCATTTATCAACAATCGATTCAGTTGGTGAACTAACAAACAATTGAGACCGATGGAAAAAGTAGTTAAACTCCGAACAAATCACCACAAACCGGGGTAAGCAAAATGAAACTAAATCCAAGACTAATATACATTTAATTTGAATTATCTACAAAGGGAACGCTAAAATGATCAGGTCAACAGTTAACCAACTGTAACACAATCAACTAACACAAATATTCGTGATCATATCTTTGGCGTGATCAAGAGAATTTAAGACCAACCATGAATGCATAAAAATAATAAAACCAACTATTTTCAGTTATTACAAACACGAAAATATATATCAGCAATCAAAATTATCTTCTTCTTTTTAAATCATTACAGAAACGATCCAATGAAATTGAGCTAAAAAATATTAACTTTAATCAAAAACCGAAAATAAAAACCAAAATCCTTAAAAAAAAAAACAAAACAAAGGCCACCTACTTTCAATTTTTTTCAAGTCAAATCAATCTTTCAAATCGAATCCTAATCCTACACTATAAGAATCAGCATTTCCCACATACCCAGATACTAAACCAAACCCGAAATCCCAAATCCAACACAAAACCACCAAAAATCAATCACTCCCAAGCATCCCAAAAACTGGGGCAAAAAAAAAAAAATTACCTTGGGTTTCAGATCCGACCCGAACCCGAATTTCCAACCACGAAAATAAGGAAAGGAAACGGAATGACTCTGACCCAGAAGATCCGTACACCCCGAACCCGAATTCCTAACCGTATCCTTAGTCGAACCACTGACAATTTCCATTCCGGGAAACTCATGGTGATCAGGGGACCACCGGGTAGTCGGGTCGGTCAATCCGCCCCGCCATTGAAGAATAAATGCAAAGCAGGCAAGAGTTAATGGAAGAAGAGTTAGAAGTAATAATAAACGCGAGGTAAAAAGTTGCGCAGAAGATGTTTGTGATATTGAGGTGATGGGTCTTAAACCCGCCATTTAAAAGAAATAAATAAAGAGAGAGGAAGTTAGTGGTGCATAAGTGTGTGGATAAATAGATAAATGTGTGAACACTGACTCCGAGTGAGAGTGGATTTATTAGGAGAGAGATGGGGAAACGGAAGAGGAGGAAGCGTCGTTGTTGTTGTTAATGGAGGAGAGAATGTAACAAGAGAAGGGAGCAGTTTTCTGCATAAGATTTATTGTTGGGAGTTTTGTTGCTGTTTCGTCTCAAAATGTTGTTATTATTATTATACATTACAAGCAAATTTAGAGTTAGTTGTTTTCTGTGCCTAAATAGATGGATGTTAAAAGTTTTATATATTCCACCCTTTTTTTTCTTTTTTTTTTTTTTTTTTTTGCGTTATAAATTATGGTACATGCACATGTACACGTATAATAGGAGAATTTATTATAAAAAAGACAAAATGTGTCAAAAAATTTTTTCCCTTCAAATAGGACGAAATTAGTCACTTTTAATGCTAAAAATCCACGATTTTCAATCATTTTTTATGCTAAAAACGGACAGTTTTTAATCGTTTGTTTGTTTGTTTATTAAAACCTTTTTAATGCTCATTGTAAACGATTACTTTTGGTCATCTAACATGACAAAAACTCACCGATTGACATTTTCGAGTTAAAGCTACAGTTATAAAAAAACTATTGAAAAAAAATATTTGACGACACCATGACTGAGAGACACCATTTTAAAAAATATAAAGTTTTTAGAGATAAACTTAAAAAGTGAAAAAGTTAAATGACATAATATCCATTAAAAATTTCAGACTAGGGTTTTATAATTCGAACAATCAAATTTGAATTTCAAATTTTAACAATAATTTATTTATAATATCTATGTTAGTGGCTTTGTTAACCGTACATTATTGATTATTTACTTTTTTAATCGCTCAACTCAACCAATCTCATCTCATCTCTTTTTTCCCTTTGATGTATATTAACGGTACTTGTTATAGCTATTCATCCGTTCCCTTCTCTTTGTTTTTTTTTTTCCTTTGTTATTTCTATCATTGGAGCATTCTTCTTCTAATATCTACGTTATTAGAGCATTCTTCAAAAATGGCCGGAAATAAAACGTATGCATTATTTAAAAGTAAACCCGACACGATAAACAAGAAGGATTGGTCCGAAAATCCATCGGTGCAAATCTAGTGTATTGAAATAGTGTACTAAAAACAATATACCTCTTAGTTCAACCGATATGTCTTAGCATATTTTTTAACTAGTATGTCTTACCATGAAAGTATTGTTTGTAATTCATTACTCAATTGAGAATTCAAACCTTACAAGATAAAAATATGAAGGATTTATCTTAAATCTATTGCTTTAAATATTGTTGGTTATCCATCAGTATAAATATAGTGTGATGAAAAAGTGTGCTAAAAATGATATACTTCTTAGTTCAATTGATACGTCTTAGCATATCTAAGACTCGTTATATCTTACCATGAAAGTATTGTTTGTAATTCATTGGTCAATTGAGAATTCAAACCTTACACGATAAAAATATGAAGGATTTATCTTAAATTTATTGCTTTAAATATTGTTGGTTATTCATCGGTGTAAACTCAACGTGTTGAAACACTATGCTAAAATTAATATATTTCGTAGTGACTTATTATATATTAGAATATTCTTCAACAGCTTATTTCTTAACATTAAATATTGTTTGTAAGTAATTATCTTTCTAAATTCATCTTTATCATTAGCATAATTGAGAATCCGAACCTTACACGATAAACAAGGACTCGGTTTTAAATATATTGCTTTATATATTGTTTTCCTTCCAAAATTAAAGTGCCCAACTTTTTTCCCTAAAAAAAACACTATCTTTATAAAATTATAGTGACTTTTTTTTTTAATATCACCGATGTCATGTAGCACTACTCTAAGGTGTTGTTTGGTAATCAAGAATAGAATGGTGAAAATGAGAATGAAAGTTTTATTCTCATATTATAGTTATTTGGTTAAAATGAATGAAGTGCGAATGAGAATGAAGAGTGAGAATGGGAATGAAAATTTACACATAACCTTATTCTCACATAAGACGTGGGAATGAAAATTAAGGAATGAGAATGAAATTTTTTTTTCAAAATAATAATGTATGTTATTTATTTATCGTCTATTAACTATTTTTATTACCGCTACAACCACCATCACTAGAAGCGACACCGTCGTAACTATTACCACCACCACTACCACTAGAACCAACACCACAATAACTATCACCACTATCATTATCTTTATTATTTTTACAACTATAGTTTGATAAAATTATTTTTTTAATCATTATTTTTATTTGTATAAAAAATCAGATATTAAAAAAATTAAATTGTATTTCGATTTCTTATTAACATTTCAAATAGAGTATGAAAATACAAATAACATTTTGATTTTTTAATTTTTATTTTGATTCTTATATTCTCATTTTGAATTTTTCATTCTTTATAATAAAACAACACATAAAAAAAAATCAATTTTTAGCGTAAAATGATAAAATAAAATGGTCTTTGGGACTCACAATTATTACAGTGTTCGACCCGGCTCATACGAGGGAAAGAGATCTAGAAGCCGAAAATTCAAACCAACCCGTTGCGGCTCGTGGCATACCAAAAAACAGTGCAGGACATTCCACAAGGCAGGTAGGTTCAGACTCATGAAATTTCTGCATTACCATTCTAGCATGTCTCTGCTGCACGTTACTGTATAAAAATTAATTAATCCACCTAGAAATCATATTTTTTGTACTTTCTTTCTCTGTTGATTTAACATTCTTTGTTTTGTTTCTTGGCACCTACTTGAAGCGAAGTTTGTCGTACTGTTTGTGACATGACACCAATAGAATGATGAAGAGCTAGGTATATAAATTAAAGGTTTATCTTCGATAGAAGCACTGACAGAAATGTTATGGATAATCATCACAACTAATCCAACATTCAATCTTAACCATACGTATATATATAAGAAAATGTGTTTGATTTTAACTCAATTTCTTCCCACTAGACTTTTCTTAAATTAGCAAACTCGGAAGGTAACCCTTAATCTTCAGTATTAGGGCCATGTAAACACTGAATCCAAACTCAGTGGAACACAACATCCATAGTGGTTGTCAAAGGGCATCCCTTGATGGAGTGGTGTGACACATGCATTATCATCATCATCTTTATCTGAAAACCATTATTAGCTGAACCAATGGCACCATGGAGACATGGGCCTTTATCTCGAGTTCTATAAAAGGGCTTCCACATGGTTTAGATAATGCGACTGCCTAGTACGATCATAATGCTGCTCTAATTTGGATGTTTTCAAGTGATACGTTGAATCATTGGCTAAATACAGTAACTTCTCTCATGCCACCTAAAGAAAGCAACCACATTAGTAGCATGAAAGCAAAGGGGGATTTTGTAAATGGTTAGTGGATCACAAATGCAAGTTGTCTTTTTTCTAAGATGGCACAACCGTGCTGGATAATTTTGCTTTCAAAAGCTTAGGTACTTCCAAAGTTAGCTTGCAGGTCACGTGGATGATGATAAGCTAAGGGACTTAAAGCGTGAACTCCAATTGGCCCCAACTTTCAGAAAGTTTTCACCTTCATCGATCTAGCTTTGTAGCTCGGATTATCACTATTTTCCAATATCTATCAAGGGCACTACACCAACCCCGTAATAGATGATTCCTCAATCAGTTCTTATCTATTTGTGATACTTGGTGAAACATTTACAGAAATTAAAATCACCAAACCGGTTGTATAAACCTGCATCCTAGCTTATGAGACCTTCATTCCTTTCTCCAAGCAAGCTTACCAACATTACACTAAACTACAATTTTAAAACTCTTGTTATGGCAGAATGCTAGCATAGAAACAGTAAAAGGGAATACATAAAAAAAGTAAAAATCTAAGGTTTCCATTGCGATTATATCACCTCAACATTAACTTTTAACTCAAACAACCATAGAAAGATGCCTATATTAAGATTTGAGATTGCTAGATGGTCCGGTTAAAAATGGGTCGAGTGGATTGAGGATTTAGGACTGGAAGAAGGTGACCTTCATTGTAAAGCCTTAAACACAGGCCGAAAAAATAAATAAATAAATAAATAAAATAAACCAGCAGCAGTTCTTCTTCTGGGGGTGTAGCATGAAAGAGTAGTTACTTCAAAATAAGATATCTAAGCATGCTCTAAAGTCTCCAATATAAATTTACCGATTCAGCAGACAAGAGCAGATGCATAGAAGCATTTCCATTTTCCAGTACATAAGTTTTGTAAATGATAATAACGATACAAAATATTACTCACAAACAATATAATTATGCTGCCCATTTGAATAAGCATTATTGGATTGTATGATGATATAACGTGGCTGCTTTAAAAATGTGGACAAAAATCAATGTCGAAGAATGGTAAAGAAAATTTTGAGGACAATCTCAACTGGAGCCTCTTCTAATTTACATCATCTCCTTATTAGCTTGAGTACATCTCCAACCAGATGCAACGATCCAGTGACAAGAACCTGTAAATCAACCAATAGGAGTATATAGCATCCTGGTTACCACTACTGTTTGACAATCAACACACTCCAAATTTATTTCTTTTACAGATTGGTTGCATGAGAGAAGGCAGGAATGACTTTGTTTTTTCGAAAAAAAGCTATTTGATCGTGGCTTAAGTGAAAACATCTGTATCCACTTATTAATTTTTTTTTAAAAAAAAAAAACCATTGAAAAATGCTAGAAAAAATTCTCATTTCTAGAGCATTTTTACTAAGTGTTGGTGATTCAATCAATTGTGACAATCTTTTCTCAATTGATGAAAGAGAGAAATTTGGAAGGAATCTGTCAATTGGTACTGGTCTTCGTCGCCACCCTTGACAAACGAAAATTGTAACTCAATCCCAAATGGTAACATTATTTTCTCCATGCACATTGTTTGACATAATGAAATGAAACCATCTAAGAGAGAATTATTACCTGAAGCCTTAGGGAAGGATTCTCTCTAAGACAATCCCTCAACCATTTTATTGTCAATGGTAATGAAGGAATTACAGCACTGCAAGCCAAATGCCCGTCTGCAGAACTGCAATTAGAAGCATCCTCATAAAGGAATTCACGAGGCGGTAAGGTCCCCACACCAGCCATCTTGATGCTCTTTTCAAGTAAAGAATCTGTATCTGCAGGCAAATAAAAAAGAAAAAGAAAAAAACATAAGGTACTGCCTATTACAAAATGCAATGGCACCAAAAGAGGTTCCTTTCAACAAACAACAACACATTATTGTGGTATGATTTGAATTGCCTGAGCAGGAAGAACGTGCAAAAGTATAGTCAGGTAAACATAGTTGGAGAGTAAGAGTAAGCACATAATCTTTCCATTGCTATGAAGAATATGGTCCTGATTTCACTTGCAATGTACTTGATTGGTTAAATCGCACAAGTGGGTCAATTCATATTACGGGTAAAAATAACAAGCATACATCAAGCCTCAGGGTCGCTGCATTGTAACATCACATGCTGCTGCTATGCATGTAGCTCCCTCAGTTCACTCACATATCCATTCTTTATTGATTTTCCTTCCATACTCCTATAACACATAAATATGGGAAAAACAGAGAGACCATACAGTAGCCAGTTTAGGCTGCTCTCTGTGCATAGTGTGGCTTGTTTGCTATTTTAATGAAAACCAACCTTTCTCTGGTCATCAGTGTCTGTCATTTATAAACATAAGTGGAAGTCACACCTACATAAACAAAAAATCAAGATGTATAAGCAATTCAGGAGGTCAAGAAGAAGTACCTATCCCGTGGACAATCTTCTCCCAGTGTCTCTGCAGGCTAAATTGCCATGACAAGTCCTTGTTAGAGATATCAGATGGAATGACTGAGGTACCAGAAGTAACCTTGTTATATGTTGAGATACTTGGGACAAAAATGGCCTTTGAGAAGAAAGTACCTGAAAAAGATGAGAATCATCTTGAATACATCAGTGCTCTCAGTTTTTACTAATATGCAGATAATTTCTGTGCAGAAGCAAGACGGAAAAGAGAGACGGGGTATTTATTTCTAGGCATAGATCCTCAGCAAAGAGAACCTGGTTCCATTAGACATATTTGGACAACCTCACTAAATAAGCATCTCTTGTGCCCCAAATGGAATATTAGAGAATTAACATTCAACTGAAATTGGAATCATAAATCAGCTGAAGTTTGTTTGAATTGTCATTCTTCAGAACAAAGCATGAAAATTACCAGACTTTTGGTGCTTCCAGTGAAATCCACCTGATCTCTTGTGCATTTTTTCCTTAATTCTCTTTTCAAAATAAAAACTAAAAATCCAAGAAATGATTCTTTCGGCTAGAAAGAAACATATGAGAAAGCATTGTATGAGATAGCATTGGTCTTCATGACTTGCCATGCAATAAGAGTTATGGCTTAACAATCATTACAAAACAATGCTGCACAGACAGAAAGCAAATAGAAAACTGGAACCAATCTAAGTGGCATAAAAAGGAAGTAATGCATAATTTAGTAAACAAAAGATAAGGCAACATCAACAAAGCAACCTGACAAAACCAATGCACCTGTTCCTAATGGTTGTCATATCCCAAGACTAGGTTAAACTAAGAAGAAAATGGACAGAGAGAGAGAGAGAGAGAGATGAGTTTAGGGGAAAAAAGTACAATATAATTCGCTCAAAGATTCATAGCAGCAATACCTGAGGAAGCACATGTACTCACAAGCCGTGGAAGCAAAATCTGAGGATCTCTAACATTCATGCAGTTAAATAAAAGAATCTACAAGAAGGTACAAATATTGCTGAGTGAGAAGCTAATAAATGAAACCAGGATTGAACAGTCCAAAAAACTTATCAGTAAGGAAAACCAATAAACAATGATGGGATTGAATAAGCAGCCAGAAAACAGCTCAGCACATCAGCTCCCAAACTTAACCAAGCTGGTTATTCTAATATTACCTTCTTCGATATTTTATTGAATTCTTGAATGTTGCGTTTCTCAGGCAGCTTGTAACCATTTCCCAGCTTTTTGTTTATACTTTCATTGTCATGTGAAGAAGATGAAACTAAAGATGGTGATTGGTTCTTTCCTCTAACGGCACTAGAAAACCATTTGGCACAAACCTCCATGCTCTCTGGACTGTGAGCTCCATCCAAGTAGAAAATGAGTTCGCCTGAAGTTTCAGCTACTTCTGATGAAATATAGGAGCTTGAAGAAGAATCATAAACAATTTGAGCCCTTCCAGAAATATGTGCCGTAGAAAGACCTCTAAGAAATGCATCCGGCAAATTAGCCTCCCCGCTATCCTATCAACAGTTCACAAAACTGATTGGTCAATAATTAGTGATAAACAATAAGCCCTAAACATAGAGGATGGCTAACATTTATCATATCCTTAGATACTGGCAACTAACAAATCAGTGCAATCAAAAGGAGAAAAAGAGAAAGGGTACTACAATCTCAGCTTCCAGAAAGAAGATAGATATGAGACGGAAGGATACCCGGATGACCATTTGGCTTAGCGTATGTACACGTAAATATAGATTACAGACGCTCACAAGCATGCATGCAGGCACAAACACTGTAACTGGCATGCATCTATGTGTGTGTTTGTTATTATCAGAACCTAACATGGTTCAGTCCATGAAAAAGAACAGAACCTCTGAGTTTAAAAGTCTGACACTAGATTGATATATGATTTTACATAATACACAGGATGATAAATGGTCTGTAAAACTAACATTTTGGAATAGCTTCTCCCTGTTTCCTGTTCTTTGAAGCCAACATTTGCAAAGGGAAACAGCAAGGCCAGCGTTAGAGAACTGATGATCACCAGACAAACCAAGCTTTAGTCCATTCAAATCTTTTGAATCAATAGGTTCCACTACTTTCAGGGGGACCTGCAATCAGTAAGAAAATATTGATCAGCAAGTGCCACTGGCAATTCATGATCTCTCTAGGCATTTGCTCAAGCATGGATACAAGCTTTTGAAGCTTCAATAATTAATCTTGAAACATGATAGTGGAAGAATGAAGATCACAAATACAAGGATGGGAAATCATAAATAAGTATATGCTGGTTATGCAGACAACAAAAAGGTCAACTTTTATGTGATTTATTTTATTTTACAACTCACAGTCAACTCTGCAACTCTGTAATTCTGAAATTTGTAGGGGTATATCTGTAATTTTCAAAATATGTGGGGAAATTTTATAGGTCTACATTTCTATTTTTGTAGCATTCGAAGTATAAAATAGAAGGAGTAATATATGCTTATTTAGAAAGCTAAGTCTGTACTAAGAGTACCAGGAACTCTATATATGTGTAATCTTTCAATAAACACATGGCAATGTATTGAGAGAAACCCCAGAATTATGCTGACTGACTCTGTAATGAAATCAATCTTAGGTGAGATTCCTAAGAATCCTAGATAAGATGCTAAGGTTTTCATTCAGGTAGTGATTCCTTGAATCTACTAGTGTGAGCTGCCAGTTTTCACCTTGCTTTCTTTTATCATACATACTTTCGAAGGTGTTCAATTTTTATGCCCTGAACTCAATATATCTCATAACACTGACCTTACCTAACAACAATCATCCAGCACTTTCCCTAAACCTGTCCTGCATCAGTTTGGTAAAGAAAATCTTTGTCCTGGGATATGGTAAAATTTGATTTCTTGTTCCGATTTTAATCTATCCTCGTGCATTCAAGAATTATGCATATGTAAAAAAAAGTTGAAAATAATTAGCCTTGGATGGGGCATGCATATATCAATAGCCATCAACAATAGTTCTATTGGATCAGACGGATGCTTTTGCATGAAAATTCAAGTGACGTAGCCAAAACAGAATGAAGGCTACATCATATTTATGTTAACATAATTAATTTCACCAACAGATAGTTTACAAAAGCAGGAAAAAAACAAGAATCTGCTAATATCAAACTGAAAGCAATGGTTACCATCAGTTCTCGGGCATTCTCCTGAAGAACATCCATTGCTTCAGAAACTTGAGGCACCGTAAAGGCAGGAATTTGATGCTTTAGGAGCAGGGAAGACATGAATCCAATTCAGAAAATACTCGAAATGAATACTGCCAATTAGAATAATCAAAACAGAAATATTGCTATAAATAACTGAATAGCTAACAAAACGAAAGTTGTGCTAGTTTTAATTGCTTGCATATGAGTTTTATACCTTGAAAATTCCAGCCTTGTGAGAAGCAATCTGTTCAATGGTGTTGCCTGCATAATAGCAGTTTCTGGTATAAGAATTCAATGCTTCTTTCTGTACCAAGTATTGAACTTAAAATGCAAAAATCTTGGCAAAACAAAGAAACTGCAGAAAGTTTCTTTCATCTTAGTGAATTCTGATTCCAGCCAACAAAACCAACAATTATGCATGCTAACCCGAATTTGTATCTGCAGACTAAACATAAGTGCAAGAAAACTTGCTGAGAAGGATAGATTCCAGAAAATGATATACCCAGTGTTTCTGTATGATCCATTCCCAAAGAAGTAATGCCACAGACAATGGGATCTTCAATCTGCAAGGATTTATCAACGAAATTCCATCACCAAGAAATTTTTTAATATCATTAACCTCATTATTTCTTTTATCTTAGAATCCTCCAATAAAATGCTGAACAGATGAATGGCAGTTTTATTTTTTTGCCATCAGAGTTCATACTTTTTTAAAGTACTCCATACTAACAATTTTGTAAAATGCTGAACATACCACATTTGTTGAATCTTTTTTTCCTCCAAGACCAACTTCAATGATAGAAACATCTACCTGTAAAACAGGAAAAGAAAAACAGAATCGTTAACTCAGAAGCGATGAATAAACTGCTTCCGTAGAGCATGGATATAAATAAAAATAATTTGATACAAAGGACAGACTGTTTAACAAGGAACACGTCAATGTATACAGGCAGTCATGTTAGCTGAAAAGCTTTCTCATACAATTCAAAAACAGCAGAGTATCAAGGACATAGATCTACAAACATAATGGTAACCACAGAAGAATGTTGCCAGCAACTGAAACAGCTATAAGCTGTGTATGAGATTCATTGTTGAAAAATATACGATAGCTCAATAAAGATGCAATGAATTTAACAGTTAAGATGGATTCTTTTCTGAGATTTTCAATCAGCAAAATGAGATTTGTTTACAGTACAAGTGCCCCACCATTAAATTTCAAAGGAAAAATTCCTATGGCAGAAATCTTTGTCAATCAAATTCAGTATCAGTAGACAGGATTAGTGTCACACACACAATATCATGAGCTAAGGTAAATGGTATTTTTGGGATTTTCCATGAATGTGAGGGTCCGAGTCACTGGGGACATCTTATGCCTTTAGTAATGCAAACATGCATATGCAAATTAAAGAGTTAGAGATAAACCACTCATTGCAACTGCTAGGCTGGTATCTAAATAAGTTCCAATAGAAACTAAGAAAATGTTGCTCACCAGTTCGCAGACAAATATTTTGAATGCCAACACAGTTAGGAACTGAAATAGCGGGGGCATTGGCAGGTCCTCAGTTTCGTGTTCCTGAAAAGTCAAATTTATAGAATCAATAACTACCATGCATAGATTGTGAGTTTTGAAGCAGATGAAGGCATCGGATTGCATTGTTAGTATTCAAAGAACTGACAAGCAGTGGTCAAATGAAGAAGTATCACTGAAAACACCAATTTGAACCTAACTTCTAACAATCAAAACCAAAATTCAGTTTCAAGTAGTCTTGTTAAAACATCTCTTATCTTCCCTTCTGAAATTACGTGTTTGACTGTTTCTGCTGACTTTTATTTAGAAACGTGAAAGAGTTAATTAGGCACAAGCAACAGATCTACTAAACTCCTGCCAATTCCTTCTTTACTTCAAAGTATATAAAACGATGGATGCTTCAAAAGCCCAAATTTGAAGGTCATTGAGGCTGTAAAATGAACCAAAAAGCTTGGCAACAGCTTGAGCTAAACTTGCTATAACACTAGTTCGAGCTTACTCATTAACTCAGCGAACTAAGCTTGAAAAATCCCATGCTTGGTTGAAAATTTCATGAAGATTGAAAGTTTGGTTTGGTGTTAAACTTTATCAAAAAAGGTCAAGATCAAAAAATTTTACTTCATACATTACAAAAAACTACCACAGAGGGACAATAAATTACCAATAATCTTTACATATAAGTAAATGTTACTATAAGAATGAGATGCTACTAAAATAGAAAGATGGGTACTAATTGAAGATCGAACCAGAATCATGTATATTGACTTCATTTATTAAACACACGGACAAGCTTGAACTCATATGGAAAACTGATAGCGCAATAATGATACAAAAAAGTAATTTAAAGAACACAGCTCACTTTAAGGCAATAGGAGCAGACACAAAAAGAAGTCCAGAAAAAGTAATATTAAAGACCACAGTGGTGCCAAGGTCTACAACTCGCAGGCAAAATGATCTCTCCATAATCCAAAAAGTTGACCTCAAAAGAAAACTAGCTTATACAATATGGTTATAGCTCTTGGGAATCATTGAAAGCAATGAATTAGCACCTTCAAGCGATTCCAGCAATTCCAAAAATACAATAGAAATTTATCTTCAGATATGTCCACTCTGCAAATTTAATTAAAAGTCAGACATGAAACAAGATACTCGCAGAAACATTCAAATCAACCAAGAAAGTGATGTCGAAACTTAAACAAATCAAGATATATAAACATAGCTACATGTGTATCTAAATCTGATTCATATCAATGGATTTAGACTGCCATACATCTATAAAGACTGTTTTTCTACCATGGCACCTCCTCCTAGGAAGAGAAATCCTTCACCCAAGCTGACTGACTTAGCAGCCATATGCATCAAACTATTTCAACAAATAATAAAAATGGTGCTTGTGATCTTATGTCAAATTGGTTTGCTAATTCCACAAAATCCTTAAGTTTACCTCTCAATTGACATACGGACAAGTAAAAAAAAATTATCAGAATCGGTAGATGACTTGGAATAATATAGCCAAAGATTCCTGAAACCGGGGCTACCATTGCATAATGTCGAAGTGCATTTGACAACCCACTGGTTATAGAGTGGTCTCATCATACCACACAAAATGTAAATATCTTTTTTTGAAAAAAACAATTGGCATTAGATTTTCTGACACTCTACTGTTAGGGGAACTGTTTCTTGTAGAACTATTATTTTTGTTGTAGAACTTATGGTCATGGATACTTTTGTTTCCATGGAAGCCAGAGGAGTGCAGGGAAGGGAAGAGAGTGTGTCTGCTCAAGTAATGCACAACATAATGGAGAAGCAAAGATGAAATCAATCAAATACTCACCCATTTATCCGGAATCTTTCTCTAACATCAATTAGGTGAGGGGAAGTAAACAGCCCGGTTCGAAAACCAAATTCCCTTAAAATAGCCTCACAGAATGTGCATGTTGAACCCTGAGGAATGGGTCCATCAAAGGAAGATGAAACTGAGTTGCAGAAAGAGTGTGATAAAATATTATTGCATGGTTTAATATGATTCTCGTATGTAATATTGAACAAAATCTAGTAGCATAAACACAGATAGAAGCTGCCAAAGAAGGGACATTAATATTAATTCCATGCAGGACACCCTACAAATGAAGTCATACAACTATACTTCTATCCTCACACTGATATGCAACTCAGATTATTGAGTAATTCTGATGTGGCTCTCACCTTTCAGAGAATATGATTGTTTTTTAATAGTAACAACAACCAACATTTGATCACAATGCTTTATATAACGTTAAATCAAATTTCAAGGCATGGATTATGGTCTAAAACTGGTTAATTTGTTAAGCAAATATATTAAAACGGATCAGTACCTTCCCTTTAGTTCCAGCGACATGGATAATTTTGAGCCCAGCCATATGCTCTTCCAAGTCTAGTATCTGCAGAGAAACATTCACTCAATCATTCAATTTCAGGAAATTTGATTCAGGAAGAGAAACTAACAAAATAGGAAACTAATATCCCAATCTGATGAGGTATGGTAAAAACCTCAAGAAGCATTTCAATTCCTACTACCTGGAAAGGTTGACAGTCAAGGACACAAAATGTATTGATCACTTGCTTGTCAAACATAACATCAATAAAAAAGATAAATTAAGCATTATTATTGATCCAACAGCAAATGGAAATGGGCAGTCACAATGCTACTGAATTAACTTGTACAAAGCAGAGACATAGAGCTAGTTCATAGGCTATTGACCACATAAATATCTCCAGAATGGTGGAAGATCGGTAATATTGTTACCTTCAGATACATCTGCATCCTGTCCAATTTTCCATATTTACCACCAACTGTTTTCTTATTTCCGCGTTTTTGTTGTCTAATAAGTGAAGAAAGAGCTTCCATGGCTGCTTCATATGAAGTTGAAAGAGGCATTTCTGGTAAGTAATCTAAGATGGACACATCACTGTCCAGTTTTTCCATGCTTTGAGTTGACATCTTTCGATACCTCCTACCTGAAATGTTAAACCAACAAGAAGTTTTAAAATTAATAATCAACCTGTCACACCCTGAATCTAGATTATTAATACTTGTACATTTTTATTTCATATCGAAATTTGTTTAGTTACGCCTATTGTTTAAGTATCAACACATATTAAACAGCTGCAATTAAGATCTTACCTTTTTCCTGGGAATCGATTTTCCTGCGTCTACTCAAACTGTACGTGTCAACATGAGCTGGTTGGAAGGAAAAGCTCTGTGGTATTCTGATGGAGAATTGGCTCTCTCTCTTATGGAAGAGTGGAACTCCAAATATCCCACCTTTCAGATGAGTACTTTTATGAATGAGTGCAGGAAACATCAACCCTGCAGGCAAAAATAACAGGCAAATTCAACACAATGAACAAATTTTTCTTTCAAATTAAAAGTCAATTGTTCTCCAAAACAAGGTGGAAATTTTTTGTTCTTATATTAATAATTGATAACATATAACCATTTACTGAAACAACAATTTTCCTGTATTGTCAGTTTGTCATGGACTTCTCCGAACAAAGATCACACTCATACTGAAGAACAAGATACAGGGAATATCCCAGGTAACAGGAAAAATAAAATTAATGCATTTTTCAAATGTCCTTAATGTCAATATCCATATTCTTCCTCGTGTACTTTGAAAAATAATCTATCTTTATTTCAATTACTAATAAATTCATGCAAAAACAAACTTCACAGAAAAGGGTCCCAATCCTAAACTCTTTACAAGGATACCCTAGAGGGTAGCTAGATGCAAATTGGTGGCAGCACTCTTTATCACCAACCAATTCACATATTCCAAGTCCAGGTCCCCCACTGGTCTATCTTCATATCAGCTACTGCGAAGAAAATATTACACACGAAAAAATGGCTTCAAATTTCCATTTCTCTATTTCGTTATAAAAAAATACAAACTCCCAATATCAGATCATACAAAAAAAAAAAAAAAATCTCCCTGCTTGTAAAACAGGGGCCTAATAACAGAACATCCAACCCTCACCGTCTTTTGTTCCCATGTAAGAAGAAAAAGACAATTCAAAACAACAAAAACGTAGTAAGATTATTTCTTTATATCATTTTATGGCAGCAGACTCCAAAATAAAAGATAGTCAGAACTTAATTTCTCTCATTTCTCCTGAATCTCTCATTAGCCAATTTGACCATTCAAGAGGAATACCATAAAAGAACAAAAGAGCCCAATAAAAAGAAAGCATCTTTCTTCACTTTAACAGTATTTAATAACAAACGTCTCCATAAAACACAGATATCATCAATCTCACTTCAAGAAAATAACAAAACTTAGTTCCAAAATCCACAAAAAAAAAAAAAAAACAGCAAAATCATGTTCCTTTCTATGTACATGCATGTGGGTGGGTGGCAATTTTTACATAAAGCTGTTTACTTGTCAACAAAGTACATGTTTGTAAATAAAGACAGGGAAAGAGAGAGAATCACCAATGAAGTACTGAGAGAGGATGCCATTTTTTGGGACCTGGGCTTGCGGCACTTGTTTCTTAGACCTGTCTCCGAGGTTTATGGCGGTGACAGAAGATTTCATATCTTGTAGAGACTTTTTATGTCAGCTGTGTTAGAAGTACATAAGAAGAGGGAAATGTAAAATAAAAGGAAAACCTCAAAACAGTCCCTACCGATAGAGGAAATATCGATTGGGTCCTCAACTTATTTTTATCTTAATTGGGTCCCTAAAAGATCAATGGATTTTAAGGAAGTCAATGGTTTTTGTGGAAAAAGAAGAATCAAGTGACTGCTTAACAGTTTTTTTAATTGAAACTAATCCAAGAATTTGAATGAACTTTTTTTCGTAAATTGGAAACTTAATCAAGATGAAAAATAAGTTGGAAATTTAATTGAGATTGCACCTACATGCAGAGGACGTTTAGAACGTTTGATTTAATATAAAAATAGGCTAAATGAGTAAAATCTCTTTTAAACTTTAACTCATTTAAAATTGAGTACTTAAACTTCAAATTTAGCATTTTGAATTTATGAATTTTTAATTTTTTGAGATTTAACTTTTTTTTTAGTTTTATCCCAAGAAAATTACAACCACATAAATAACTCATTGATGAAAATAATTCAATGAGATTTATATGTAGTTTTTCAAAAATACTGGGATCATTTTTAGGTTATTTTCTATTTTTTTATTTTTTTATAATTTTTATATTTAAAAAAAAACATATATATATTTATCAATTTTGAAAAATTATAAGATTTTTTGAGAAAATGGATTGAATTTTTTCTAATATGTGTACAAAATTTTATCTCAAAATATTAAGAACTAATTTTTTTTAGAGAAGAGGATGATAATTGAAAATTATTGGATAGACTAAATTTTAAGAAGTTGAGAGTTTAAGGATTTTAAAAATTAAATTTGAAATTCAAAGAGCCAATTTTAAATGAGTTAGAATTCAGGTAATGTTTTATCCATTTAGCCAATTGTCTTGTTTCATATTTCTCTTTGCTTTCTTTTTTTGTGTTTCACCGTAGAATATTCCATGAACCAAGCAAGAAGCAAAATAGAACCTTTTTTGCATTACCTAATCGGTGATTGTCACTTGAATATTCAGCATTTCGTCTTTATATTTACTTTCTTTGTAGCTTTTTAGTTCCAATGAACACATATATATATATATATATGATCTCAAGCTTGTGATCAGTTAATTAATTTGAATATGCATGTAATGGTAACAATGTAAAACAACGTGGAAGAAGTTAATATTAATTTTTTTAACTTTCAAGGTAATTAACAAGGAAGTGAGAGTATAAAGGATCGAAACTCAATCCAAATGATATTTATACTCTATGGTTTAATGATATAATTTATCCTCAAACTACTAAAATTGTAGTTAAATAAGACTTATATTATTAATTTGGGTTATTTAGACCCCTAACTATTAAATGATGAGTAAATTTTATATTTTTCTATTATATTTGACAGTCAAAATATTTATCATTAACCGAAATGCTTAAAATAACATCATTTTAAGCATTTCAATTTTTTTAGAATTAAAATTAATTTAGAAAAAAATATGTATATTTAATAATAGTTAGTTTTAAAAAAGCGCAAATGATTTTATTGTTGGATATTTAATAATATGCAATGAAAAAAATAATTATTAAAAAATTAAAATACTTAAAATAACATCGTTTTAAATATGATTGTTTTATTTTTTAAAATATATTATTATAATTATTCGATCGATTATTTTTATAATTTTTAAATGAGAGTAGCGTAGTTGCATATATAAATTATGATGAGGAGGAGAGAGCTAAAAGTGTATTTTAGATAATTTGACTTAATTTTTTAAAAACAATAATCACTTAAAAAAATAATTTGACTCATTTTTTTAAAAAATTAATAATTAATTAAAAAATTCACACACACACACACACACACATATATAATCAGAATTTATCGAAACTAATTTTATAGTAATTTTTATTTAAATCTATTCACTTCGATATATTTTATACGATCTAAGTGGGTTTTTTTATATATTTATTTATTTATTTTATATGCTCCGAATCTATTAAGTACGACACACACACACGATGACATATATATATATATATTACCAATTAATGATCTTTTTTTTTTTTTTTTGGAAATTTTTCATTTACAATGTCACATGGTGACTTGATGATCATTGATTATAAAGAGTTCGAAAAAAAAAACTCAAAAAATAAAAATAAATTTTAAAAATACATAATTTAAATATGAAGAAAAACCTCAATTTTAATATGCATTGCACCTAGGAATTAATGCTCTTTCTAAAGTTATATATATACTTTGTTAAAAAATAAAAAATAAATCAAGTGTCGATAAGATAATAAAACAAATTTGAGTGGTTGAACGTGTATTAAGTAATATGGATTTTGAAATAAAATTTTAAAATATGATTGTTTTATTTTTTAAAATATATTATTATAATTATTCGATTGATTATTTTTATAATTTTTAAATGAGAGTAGCGTGGTTGCATATATAAATTATGATGAGAGGGAGAGAGCTAAAAGTGTATTTTAGATAATTTGACTTAATTTTTTAAAAATAATAATCACTTAAAAAAATAATTTGACTCATTTTTTCAAAAATTAATAATTAATTAAAAAATTCACATATATATATATATATAGTTTTGTTAGAAATTAATTATATCTCGCACACATAATACCAATTATTTGTTATTTATTTTTTTCATGTTCTAAAATCTATATTTTTAAATAAAATATTTAATTAATGTTTTGAAAGGATCTCTTAATTATTTAAATATAAATTTTTATATTAATATTATAAATTATTTTGTTAATAAATATATATAAATTAAATAAGTTCGCTTAATATATAAATTTGATTTACATTAATCTCCGTAAACAAAACTTTTATTCGCATCATACTATTCGAATCGTTAACCCTACGTGTATAATGGTTGGTCGACCGAAGTGTAGCGTCGGTATCTAACTTGTTAATACAAATTTTTATATTAATATTATAAATTATTTTGTTAATAAATATATATATAAATTAAATAAGTTTGCTTCACATATAGATTCGATTTACATTAATCTTTAGAAATAAAACTTCTATTTGCATTACACCATTATCGTTAACCTTACATGTATAATGGTTATTTAACCATAGCGTAACGTAGATATTTAACTTGTTATTTAACTAAGTGACGTGGGATCATATACGCAATGTTTCAACAATTACAACTCAATTTTATAGTTGTATTATCTCATTAAATAAGATAAAATCTACTATATTACATAATTTAAAATTATTTACTTGAAATATGTGCCACGTCATTAAATAAGCAAAATTTAGATAATTAATAAAAGAATTGGCCGAGAGGTTGTTTGGTAAAACGTAGCTGTTTTTAGCCGTTCCTGGTTCTGGAAGCAATATTTGCTTCCTGTACGTCTCAGTACTAACCAAAAATATACATAGCCTTTTCTTGATACCAATTTCTCCCGGCAATCACTTTCACTGTTTCGCATACTGGCAGTAAGTAAAATGCACTTCAAGTCATCAACCCTACCCTACCTTCCACTTCTAGCGGTCCCACCTAGAGATAAAAAGTTAATTTCATACCAAGAAATTGATTTGTGAAACCAAATGAGTGTGAGAAAATTAATTTCACTGAAAAATAACTTTATTCTCAAACTAAAAAAAAAAAAAAGAAAGGAACTATGAGTTTGGTCCAAATGGATATGCTTGGTAAGATCCTTATGCAGTCCTTACGAGCAATTTCATTGAACATATATGGTTTTTTTTTCAAAATGAATTAGTTAATTTTTTTTTTTTTTTTTTGGTATTGACCATGTTTAATCATAGTATTAATTTGTTTCAAAGAATGTATTATTTTCTCATCAAGCTTTCAACAATATCTATTTTTTATCTTTTTATTTTTTAAAAAAATAAATTGAATAAGGCATAAAATGGTTGAAAAAAATTAATTAATTAATTTTTAAAACTTAAGAAACTATTTAATTATTTCGGCAAAACCAGATGAACTAACTTATAATTTACTCATCCTTCATTATTCTTTTAAAGACAGGGGAAAAAAGAAAAAACATTTTATTGGACTTGATGAGAAAATAATACATTCTTTGAAACCGTCCATTATCACTCAACACCACTAAATAATTCCTAGACCAGACCTTGTGGAGTATCTACCAAAAGAAAAAGATATTGCTTTGTAATGACCACATGCTTTTGAGACAGCTTGATCAATCTATATTAATATGCAGAATAAGTCTACGGTAAAGTTTCTGGACCTGTCATCGCATAATCTGTCTACCGTCCTTTTTAATAGGAATATATCCAGTGATCCCCTTTCTGTTAAAAGTACAGATCCCACAAATTTGGCCAATATTTTATTTTACTAAAACTATTGTTAGCAATTAGGAGCATGCCTATCCCTTACCTCCTGCATAGGGTGTGAAGTCCATCCTAATCTTCTCAATTATTTTTTTCAGGCTTTAACTTGGCCACAGTCGAGATATATGGGTAGTGGTGAATTCCATTATGGAAGAAAAAAGAAGTATTTATATGATCTTTTTATACCCAAAATTTGATTGGGGCTTGTTAGCCAGCAAATTAATTATGGCCCAAATAGGATTTGATCATGGCTCTTAAGAGCCGCTAGTGCACTCAAAGGCCCAATCCACAAGAGCAGGCCCATCCAAAGAGGAGGCTCAAAAGAACTTTATGTTTAAAAGACAAGAATACAAGCGAAGAAAGTGAGAAACAAAGTCCTACCCAAAAGAAAAGACTAACAAAAAGATAACTAATTCGAATGACTAGAACCATATTAGTTACTATTCTGGACAGGAAGATGGTGAAGGGAGGAAATGCGACGGGTATTGATTTATTGCATTAGAAATATGGTCTTTGAAGAGAGATGGTATTGATGTAGTCATTTATGAATTGTTGGGAATGAGAGGCAAGTCAATTAGCAGAATTGGCAGCTTAGCTGGCAAATATGTGAGCTGACGACTAATTGTTTCTCTACTCGCTTCAAACAAAAAGCATGCTTCTCCTTTCTCAAACAAAGAAATATGTGAGCAAATTTCCAGATCATTACTAGCCCTAATAAAGTAATAGAACACCAGGATACCACTCTCTCCATCTACTTTTAACGCTTTCCTACACAAGTGCAGATCTTTGTGGAGTTACCTGAAGACAAAGAAATCACTGTGGAGGTGGAAAGCTCAGATAGCATCTCCAGTGTTACGACAAAAATCCAAGACAAGGAAGGGATTGCTATAGATCAGCAGAGTTTGTATTTCAATGAGCAGGCGCTGTCAAACTCAGATATCCTTGGATTATATGAGATGAAGAATAATGATAAGCTTTTTCTCAAGATTAATGCCGAAGCATATCAATATTTAGTAAGCCTATTTGAGGTACAAGAGGTGAGTAATTCGATAGCATTCTTCTTCAACATCAAAATCTCTGAATAATTTTAACCTGACAAGTCTGTCTGATAGTTAGACAAAAAAGGGTGTTATCTATAATGCACAAGACATCATTTTTTTGCAGTAGTTCCCACACATATAACACTAACCTAGTACTTTTGGTAAAATATGCTTTCTGCAGGCACCACCTACTCAAGACGCAATTAATTACTGCAGACCAAGAAAATTCAGGAGAATATTTACAAATTATAATAAATGCAACCAAATGTTAGGTTAGTAATTCACATTTAAATCTCTATTCCCAAAAGTAGTTGAACATGCATGCAAGTGTAGCGTATCAACTTCACCTCTGAAGCATACAAACTAGAACAAGCACAAACTATCGCATTCACCTCTGAGGCTATGACTGAGTTAACTATGTTTTTTTCCTTAAAAAATGCACAATCATTATGCATATGAAGTGATTTCATAAAGCTATGCTAAACAGTAGTTTTGGCCACCAAACCTTTCCATAGGGGCAAAAGTAACTGTAAGGCTCTTTGAAAAGTACATCTGGATTTGCTCCTTCCATAATTTCCTAAATTTGATCGAATTAACTCCTCTTGTGAGTATATACTAAGAAATAACTGCACGTTGACAATACTTTCTGTCTGATGATGTTGGCAAATAGAACGGAGCATATTATTGTTGGATTTGCAATGTAATATATGCAAACTAGAGCCTTTTCTCTCTTCATTAGCAGTTTAGAAATATGGGCTTAAAGAATCCAACGTAATAATTGCCATTTTTTTTTGTTTCAATACCTAAACTGGAGTAATTGTTCCATGTTAAGAGTTTCAAATTCACATGATAGCTAACAAAAATGGCCTCATTGAAGTACAAAGATACAATATCAATGCAAAATCAGTCTGTACGTCTAATATTAATATGAGCTCCAATAAGAGGATTAATATTCCCATCCAAAATAGAGTTTAGGTCAGGCAGTTCAATGCCAGTTTCTACATCTTTTACTACCTTGTAAGGGTGAGACACGTACCTCCTGGTCTCTTTTTGCCACATATCCACAATGTCATCTCTCCTGATGCTATTCACATCACAAACCTTTTGCTCCTCTGCAATCACAAGAAGCTTGGCTTTCAATCTATTGAGAGCCTTCACCTTATTTGCAAAGTGGCTCCTCTCACCTGCACATAAAAATATTCAACGTTTATCCCTCTCTTGGAAGCTACTTGAAATAATTATAGAACACACCGAACCAGATGAAGATAATTGCAAAATATATAGTATTGCATTAAGGAAGGTTGAAATAGCTGGGTGGTATTAGTATATGAAAAGGAATATGACAATATCACTTCAAGAATTGGTCCATGCCCCTCAAGAGAAAGTCTGGAAGAGAAGAGGGAGGTTAAGGTGGTTTAGAAGTGATTAATTCTCAATCATGATCTCTTAAATTTTCAAAGTGAGCTCAATACATAGCATGAACAAGTTTTATCTGTGCCTCCAATACACCTCTTTTTTATCATTAATTGGCATGTCAACTACATATGAGTAAAATATCATATAATTTCCCGAACCTACGACCTGGTAATTAACATCACATCTTGAGGTCTGATAAACATTACATTTACACTTGCATGTGATTCATTAGCATACAGGTAACTAGGTAATAAAGACCAAGATCTGAAAAATCATCTTAACTGGACAATGGAAGGATTTAAAAACCTTTTCTTTTTTTCCATGAACTTTTAAAGTGAGGGGAAGTAAAGTAACTAGAATGCATCCCTTTCAACATTTGAATTTTTCATCTCAGCTTTACCCTAACACACATGGTACCTGCTTCACTTAAAAAAAAAAAAAAAAAACCTGCAACTGCAAAGCTGCTAAGAAGTTTTCCATATCACACAAAGTAATTCAAACTCCAGACTTAAGACGCACAAGACTCTGGTACAAAATTGAATACCTGAAGACTGAACGCTTATGCCTGTAGGAATATGCTGCAGGCAAACTGTCAGTTCAGTATGGCTCTTCTCGTCTTTTAGCAATGACGGGGAACACGAGACAATCAATTCCTCATCTATTTGAATGTCAACACCTGTTCCAAGAAATAGTGGAACAACATCCACACATGCCGTGGTAACCTGCATAGTTTCCAATTTTCAAACAAATGGTTACAACATAGCAGAGAAATAACAAGTTGTAAAATAAGGTGGTGATTAATATGCCTCGGCAGAATTAACAGTATGTTATGATACGGCCAAGTCCAACAGGAAAACCAGAAGAAGCAGAATAGTACTTGTAACCTTGACACAAACAAACCAGTAAATGTACTAGCAGACATGCGTGGCTGAACCATCCAATAATCAAGCATACTGAATAGAGTTTTCAGGTCATGGGCTTAAAACAGAGGGTATAAATTTTACCAAAAACAACACTTTCAGGTGTCAGAAAAAAGGGTTAATTCTTATCAGGAAATGCAAAATCAGACAAGTTCTTTTTAAGGAAATACAAGTAGTCCTTTGAGTCAATGCTTTCTCAAATTTAGGCAGATGATAGCAGTTTGGACAGCTTACCTCATGGTGAACAGATCCATTTTGAGAATTTATCTTATGGTGAATGCCTCTCTCTCCAGAAAGATAGCCATAAGCGCACTCGAATTCGAATTCAATAGTTGCCAACTTGACACCACCTTGCATGGAAGCATGCTGCTCAACCAGCCTGCCTTTATAACCCAGCTTGGCAGCCCATTTGACATACATATTCAGAAGTTCTTCTGTCCATATCTGAGTGAGGAAATTTCTAATACCTTGTTAGACAGAGGGAGCACTATGATGTTAAAAAACATAGAGGTCAGTATTAACAAAACCAAACCTCAGGGTTAAATCCTTTAGATCCAGCTCTAATAACTAAACAAGCTCCCTGCTTGTCATACGGTCCCTTAAGCAGCCTTGACATCTCATACTGATCTAAGAGCTTCCTCACATCTAAAGATGCAATATATGCCTGCTTAAAAAGCGGGTAATTGATAGCTTCCATCTCCACCAACTGTGAGATCAGCTTTGCCTCTTCAGCCTAAGAAACATATATAAATTACAAAGATCTAAGCTGTTATCAGAAAGAAGGTCAATAGTTGAAGATAACATCTTTACTAGTTGTCAAGCCAATTTCGTGGGATATAAACAACCAAATAAATGCACGCATCAATTAAGTAAAATACTGTAGTGTAATGCAGAAAACCATCAATAAGCAAGCAAATAATGCAGGCAAAATTTAGAGGCCTGTCAAAGAAGAATGAATTACAATACTTCATGACTGGATGTCTTCATAGATTTGGTTGAGAAGCCACGCATTTTTTTTATCTCTCTCAAAATCAAAAGTTTTGAGTATTTGGTATAGATAAAAATATAATGCTTCATGACTGATGGCCTTATACAGGCCTTGAACTAAGTGTTTAGTCCCATGGCTAACATAACCAGCAGATGCTAATCTCATTGTATGCTACTCTGTAAAGATAAATGTCAACTCTATATATAAAACTCATAGAAACTGATCTCCACATGTATCACCTTGTATTTCAGGTCTTTGAGAGCATCAACCACTTTGGCACTACCAGCCAATTTGATGAGGATTTCATTGGATTTAATAGGGTCTTCCCATAAATTGCACTCACGTATCATTTCTTCCCGCTTGATCCGTCTTGCTTCCTCAAGTTCCAATGCTGTTGGTGTTAACATCTCAGCACGGAGAACTGTATCTTCAATCTTCTTTTTCAATGAAAACAAACCTAAAAAAATTTACCGCTTCAAAGTAAGACCTACAGCTGTGAGAAAGCACCAAATGTAACAGCATGCACCAAGACATACAAGCACTTGGACAAATAGTAACCACCATCAGATAAGGCTGATTCAAGATCATATTTCAGTTTCTTCTACATTTATATAACTCCATCCTTTGGTCATTAGTACAACTGAAAGCAGGACCATGACATCAATGAGCTGTGCTACAGTAATTCATTAAGTGACAAATTAAGAACAAGTCAACCTGAATTTCAATTTCATGTCTTAAAATCTTCCACTTTGAATATATTAAGGCTTTAGCCTAATGCATTATTCTCCAAAAATTCATTTAAACCACTCTTCAGACTGTCAATAAAAACAAATAATTGAAGTCATTAGACTCCCTCAACGAGCATTAAGACCATCACAATTTTACTATGAAGATTGAACATGACAGCATACGAAACCTCAATTATGTGAACAGCAATAAAACTTGTGAACAAAGATAAAACTAAGATTCAGCTTGACACCTGATGAATTATGTTAAAAACAAAGAAAAAGGATAAATGCAATACATTGCCGTCAATATTACTGAATAATCAGCTCGCTAACCCGAGATTTTAGTAAGTATTGTGATGCTTAAAGTGGAGTTTTTTACCAATGAACTATTTTATTAGCAATTCCAAACTACTTTTATTGGCTAGAGATAACAACAAATAACGAAAGCAACTTTATCCTGCAAAACCCAAGCAAAGCAGTTCCGGAATGCTAAAAGCAGTTACCTTCATGGCCTATTTTCAAAATTTCATCACAAAAGCTAAAAAACCTGAGCTTTCTAGGGAAACCAACCAAAAAATACAGAAAACAAAATTGAAATATCAATCTCAAACAGTTAAACTAGACATTTTAACATAAACCCATTTGATGTCTCCAATATTTAACCACAATTCAATTCAAATTCGAGCTCTAACCAATTCATTTTCTCAATTGGTCAGGACTCTCTTACAATTATGAACCCCCAGAGATATAGAGAGAAAGAGAGAACTAAAGAACTGAGAGAAACTAACTAACCCAGTTGTTTGTAGACGTTGTTTTTGTCATCAATGGAATATTTTTTAGAAGCTCTTATTCTTGAGTAAAAAAGAAGCTTAGCTTGAGACTTGTCATTGATGTTTCTTGTAAAAGACCGAAACTTTGAGTGGATATTTGTAGCTCTGCTTACAGATACAGGTTCTGCCGCCATTTTTTTTTTTGGCTCGACAAACTCGAATGGAGTGTCGAGACTGTGTCTATGCGTGCATCCACGTTTATTGTCTGTCTCCTCTCTCTGGGGTTCACCGTCCACTGCCTTATCCCCAAATACTCTTTCATCTTTTCTTCTTTTTCTTTTTCTTTTTTTAACGCTTTCTGGCAAGATGAATTTTTTTTTCTCATTTATTTTAGATGGAAGATAATATGTTTCTTGGATATTAAAAAAGAAGAAGATAATTTCATATTTGTGTCCATATTTTCATAAAACTTTGACTTCTATCCTTGTAGTTTAAATTTTATTTTAATACACTCATCTATACTGTTAAATTTCCGGTCTATCTCTAAATCTAAAAACGCAATTATTTTTTACTGTTATTTAAGCTAGTTTCTATTATATCTTTTCAATTAAATTTTTTTGTCAATTGTTATGTATTTTGTACATAATATGTTATTTAATAAAATTATATTTGATCTTTGACACAAGTGATTTATATCTACTCGCTATAAAGATTAGTTTCTCGTGAATTCGTTAAAAAATTTAACTAGAATAATATATTAGAAATTCAATTAAATAATAGAAACAGAATGGAGGTGCTTTTTAGATTTATGATCAAATTAGAAATTTTGGCTTATTATATAAAGATAGATAAGGATATATTAACACTTAAAATTTTTCAATTCAAGTCTTAGAATGATGAACTTACGTTTTGGATCTAATTTTTTGAGTTTCTTTTTAGATTTTATTTGTGATCTATAGAGATATGTACGGGAAGTCAAGAGAAAAACATGAGAAAAAAATATAAAAACCAAAAAGAAGTTGAAAAAAGCTGACTTTTTTTTTATATAGGTTTATTGGATATTTAAATGTGAATGGCATTATTAAAATTTTCCGAAACCGGAGTGGTAAAATTGAAAGAAAGAGTAATTAGAAGTATAGAAGTGGAACATTGATAAATTGATGCATGCATATCGCCATGATGGGAAACTGATTCAATTTGAAGTAAATTGAAGATTTTCTTAACTAGGGCTTGAATAAGAATGGGGTTATTTAATTGCAATGGGCTATGTTAGTGTAACGAGCTCGGAGGCTATGGCTGACGATCTATTGTCTTGGGTTTAGTGGGTCGAGTGTCTTTATGAATTGATGCAAGCATTTTTGGTATTATTCTATGGCTCAAAAAAAAAAAAAAGGGGTGACTTGCATAAGTTAGAAGAATTGGTGAGGTCATTACCCCATAAAACCATTGAAAAAATTAAAGAATAACCGAAGCATGAAAAAGCAATCCGAAAAATAGAAGTTGGTGAACAAGCGACAAGGGAGGGTTTTGCGAGCTTAAAACCTTGCTCGGTGCTTTAATGTCTTCTTCGACCAATAATCAAACATCATCCGGTGCCATACCTTTTAGCTCTACTAATACTCATTTACCACACCATAAAAGTGTTTAACCCACACTTATCAACACAATCCTATTTTACCTACACCACTTGCAACCATGACCCTCCTTTTCTCACATTTCTTTACCAACAACCAATACAAACCAGACAAGCCTTGTCCAAACTTAAACCTTTGCTTGCAAACTAAAAAAACCAAAGAAAGATTTTCTTATCTTTGATGGAGATGATATTAACAAATATGCCATCGCTTATTTAAGATTGAACTTATGGATGAATATTAAAAAGTTCGGTATGCTTACTTTTTCTTGGATGGAAGAGTCTGTGTATTAGCATCGAGCTTACACCCAAAGCTTGGAGAAAAAGATGACATGGAGTGAATATGTTCTTGTGATGACAAGTAGGTTTAGTGCTTAAGTTAAATCCATTAGATCGGTTGAAAAACCTTTCTCAAACTTTTGATTTAGAAACCTATATCCATGAATTTGATGTTTTGTGGAGCCGAGCTACCATTAACAAGCAACAAGCTCCGAGTATGTTTCGGTAGGCCTAAGAGAAGATATTCAAGATCTAGTATTTATGTTTGACTCAAACTTGAATCAAAGCTTATGAGTTGGCTAAAAAATAAGATAATATAAACTCCTACAATCGAAACACCACTTAAAACTAGCAACTCCTTATTTCAACAAACCATCACCTCCTTATTCCAAGTTCACACCGGTCACCAAAGCAATACAAAACACCACCCCACTCACCACACATAATTTCCCCAACAATCGTAAGCCAAAATATCAACCTATGACATTAACTAACAAGGAGTTTGAGGATAAAAAAGCCAAGAATCAATTTTTTTGTGTGATGAAACTTATGTTTCGGGACATAGTCGTAAGTAGAAACGAGTCTTCTTTCTCTAAGTAATTTATGAGGATATTGAAGAATTAGACCAAGAAGAGAGTCAACCAATTATCAAAGAATTTTTAGAGGAATCAACCCTCCTTCCCCTCTTCCTCCATACACACATACACACACATATTTTTATGAATACCTTACGGGGACATACTTGGATTTAAGACTTTAAAGGTCTCGGGATATATGAATAAAAAACCTCGTGTATATTTTAGTGGATTCGAGCTCTACCCATAATTTTCTTAACTTGGAAATAGCAAAGAGGTTGAGATGCTACTTCCAACCTATTAAACTAATTATTATTAAGGCTATCATTATAGGTATTATGCTATGCACTTCAATATGTAAGGTTTCTAATGGGTCATATAGAGTATTAATTTTTATATGAATGTACTTACTCATAGATTTATACAATAGTGATATAGTTTTGGGAATTCAATGGTTTTCAACCTTAGGTAATATTATTTCTAACTACTAATAGATGTGGATGAAATTTCGGTAGAAGGACAAAAGATTAAATTTAATGGACGAGAGGAAGGCTATTTTAGAGGTGTAAATGTAGAGGTTATTGAACAATCTTACTCAAATGGCTTTGGTGTAAATTTGTAGCATTATCATGTATGGTACACCCTTATCAAACTCATCTCTTCCATAGTTTGATTACGCAATCGGGAGCTAATTTCATTAGCCATTTCAACTCTACTAGATGAGTTTCGGATTATCTTTTCGAACCTAGTACATTACCTCCCAACAAGACACATGCTTTTTTATATGGAGCTCAATTTATCAGCAAAAGACCATATAGATATTTAGGATTATAGAAGGGTATGGTGGAGTAATTAGTAAAAGAAATGCTTATCGTAGGAATTATTCAATAAAGTATGAGTCTATTTGCATCAACTATAGTTACGGTCAAACGGAAAAACAACTCTTGACTATTGGGTGTAGATTATAGGGCTTTAAATAGTATCACTATCAAGGATAAGTTTTCTATTTTCCTAATTGATGAGCTATTAGAAGAGTTATATGGAGCCACTCTTTATTTCAAAGTGGATTTATGCTTAAAGTATCATTAAATTTGCATGTTCACTATTGATATTCCCAAGATAACATTTAAAACTCACCACGATCATTATGAATTCGTGGTCATGCCTTTGACCTTATTAATGCCTCATCACTTTTCGAGTCTCATGAATGATGTATTTCAAGACTACCGAGTGGAAGTTTGTACTAGTATTGTTTAATGATATTCTTATTTATAGTCAAAATTTAGAAACCAACTTATCCATCTCAAAATAATGATAAACTCTTAAAAACCCATTAGGTGTATGCAAAATTCAGAACATTTCCTTATGGATGATAAGATGGAATATCCAGGGCATTTTATTTCAAGCTGAAGGAGTATCTATTGATCCTAAAAATATCAAAACAATGGTAGATTGGCTCATTCCTAAGAACTTGAACGGATACGAGGGTTTTTGGATTTGATATGATACATGATACTATCGTAGATTCATCGAGGGGTATGGCTTAATTAGTAAACCACTAACTTCATTAATGAAGAAAGATGTCTTCTAATGGATTGAGCACTCTACAAATGCCTTTAACACCGTTAAGTCAACTATGTCTTCTACCCTAGTTCTTGCCTTACCAAACCTTACTAAAGAGTTTATTATTGAAACATATGTTTCTAATATTGGGATTAGTGCGGTTTAAATACGGTAAGGGCATCTAATTACCATTACCGGTAAGGCTTTTTCACCTCGGCATCAAACACTTTCGGTTTATGAAAAGGAATTATCGGTTGTTATACAAGTTGTAAAACAATTGAGGCATTATTTGGACTCGAGGCATTTTAAGATTAAAATGGCCATCACGATCTCAAGTATCTTCCGAAGAAAAAATTTTCTACATCTATCTAGCATGCATCGTTGGCTAAAGTTTTTGGTTTTGACTATGAGATTTTATAATAATAAAAAATAAAATAAAGGAAAACTTAGCCATTGGTGTATTGTCTAGACTACTTGACTATGAAACCCATTCTTTAACCATTTTAACCCTTTTATCGGACTTTAGCAAATCAAGGATTCCTAGGTAATCGACTCTTCTATTTAGCAACTCTTATCATATTTGAATATAAATTATGCAATTCATCCTTATTACAAATGGCATGATGAGCTTCTTACTCAAAAGGATAAATTAGTTATAGGCAACGACATCGAATTAAGGTGAAGCATTATAGGTATGTTTCATGATTCAACCTTAGGAGGACACTCATGTATGATAACTACTTATAAAAAATTAGGTGAGATTTTCTACTTGAAAGGGTCGGGAAGGGAATGTTAGATAGTACATCTAGGAATATTTCATTTACTAAACTCATCGGCTAGAGTTAGTGGCCGGACCTAGATTATTACAACCACTACCCATACCATAGATAGTAGTCACACTAATATCTAGATGGACTTCGTAGTAGGACTTCCTAAATCCATGGAAAAGGAAGTCATATTTGTGATGATGGATCACCTCACCAAGTATGCTCATTTCATGAGCCTTCTTCATCCCTACACTACCCAATTGGTAGCTCAATTATTCCTTGATATTGTCTTTAAATTACACAGATTACCGATCACATTGTTAGTGATAAAGACACGGTATTCTTAAGTAACTTTTGAAAAAAAAAGCTGTTTTCTCTACGAGGGTTAACCTTCACTACTCCATAACTTACCAACCTTAGTTAGATGATCGGACAAAAGTGGTGAACTATTGCCATAAAATATATCTTCGGTGTATGGTAGGGGACACTCCTTCGAGAATGTTCCAAATGGCTTTCTCTTACTCGAATAGTAGTATAACATTAATTTTCATTCCACTCGTCAAGCTGACATCATTCAAAACACTTTATAGGTATCCACCTCTAATTCATCTATCCTATATTTCTAAAGATTCCCCTATAGAAGCTATAGACAAATATCTCAATATCGGAAAAGCTCAGTCGACCCATCATAAGCAAATTATTTTTCATGTATACGACTATATATGCCAAATAGCAAATAAACACGAACGGAATGCTAATTTATAGTTGGCGATTGGGTTTACCTAAAGCTATAACTCGCAAACAACATTTAATGGCCAAGCATAAGTTCCATAAGCTTTTGCATGCTACTATGGTTCATATCTAGTAGAAGACAACGTGGAGTGGGTGGCATATCATTTGAAGCTAGGAGCATCGACTTTAATTCATCTAGTCTTTTATGCTTCTCTTCTAAAAAGGTCATTGAATCATACCCGACCTAAAAGGACCTACTTACTCTCCCTTTTAGTTGATTCATCTTATCTATTAGCCATTATTGACAAACGTATCGTTAAAAAGAAAAACAAGGCTTTAGTCGGATGGTTAATTCACTAATATGATCTTTCCCCTATTGAGACAATTTGGGAGTTTGTCGAAAAATCACTCATCGTTTTCTATCTTTCACCCTCGAGGACAAAAGAGTTTTAGAGGAGGAGGTAGTTAGTTTTAATTGCAATGGGTTATGTTAGCGTAGTAGGTTGGAAGGCTATGGTTGACAATCTATCGTTTTAGGCTTAGTTGGACAAGTGTCTTTGTGAATTATTATGTTTGGTTTATAGTGTAACAACATAGTATAAGGTTGTCGGATGAATGAATTATAATTTTTTTTCTTATTTTATCTCTCTTCTCTCTCTCTTTCTCCTTCTATCTTTGACATCAAGTAAGGTAACATATCCATATTAGTAACACACTCATATCATAAATCTATAGGGTTAATGTTATAATAAATAGCGAAAATAAGATAATTAATGGCAAATAATAACCAAAAGATAAAACAAAACAAATTATAAATACACGGGATTTATGTGATTCGGCAAATTGCCTATTCCATAAATGAAAGAAAATTTTTTTATTAGCTTGATAGCAAGTGAATACAAGAACCACTAGAGGCTCGATACAAAGTCTTTGTCTTTTACTCTATTTCCTAAATAGAGACATAAGGAGGTTTAAATACCTCATACATATAAAGAAAAAAACCTAATGGGATAAATATATTATTTATTGATAAAATTTAAGCCATATACAACAAATCTTTACCTTAGCTTGAATTACGTAAATCTTTAAGAGTTTCAAATAATTCCTTAAAACATACCTCTAAGCTTACGTGAGCTAACTCGAGTATAAGAAACAAGAGATATGAAGAGAGAAAATATTGATTTCAACGCTAAGAATAACAAAATTTCTTCTCTTCGATAATACTTCAACATGCACAAACAAATGTTTGAGGCATACGGGAAAATTCATGAGCGAGATGGCCGAGCAACAAGTGACACACTCGTGCTTCGGTCTCTAATTCAAAACACCACATGGACGGTGGCATAAGGCACGAACACAAGATAGGAGTGTCATACGAATAGAAGCATTAAGCACGGGTGTACAATAAATGCTGTACATGACCAAAAGCATGAAGCACGAGAGAAAAAAAAACTCACACAATCGTGCCACTCTCTTTCACAAGATCGAGCCCCTTCTTTCAACAAAACACTTTGATTTTCTTAACACCACTCGAGTCCAAACAATGTATGAATTTGTTTGTTGTAATAGGTTTAGTTAACACATTAGTTGGATTGTTTTTAGTGTGAACTTTCTTCACTATAATCTTCTTATCGAGAAAATGCTTCACGGATGAAATGATACACGATATCAATATCCTTGGTCCTCTCGTGATGCGTTTGATTTTTGGTTAAATGTACAGACACTCTGGTTGTCACAAAAGATAATTGAATTTTTTTTTATTGAAGACCAAGTTCCTTCACAAGATTTCTCAACCAAAAACCTCCTTCACGACCTCGGTTGTTACCATATATTTTGCTTCAATAGTCGACATAGTAACTAGCGATTGTAATGTTGATCTTCGACTCATAGTAGAACCTAAAAAGTAAAGATATACCCCGTCAAAGAGCTTTTTTATCGAGATCACTTGCATAGTCGGAATCCACGAAGCTCTATAGCATAAGTTTCGAAGCATTGCTCTTTTCAAAAACCAAACTCAAGTCCGTGGCATCTTTGAGATACACGAGAATCCACTTTCTTGCTTGCAAAGGTACCTTTCTTGGGTGAGGTATATATCCGCTCATAACACTAATCGCTTGTCCGTGGTGCCCAGAAAGGTACCTATAACATAAGTTTCGAAGCACTTGCTCTTTTCAAAGACCAAACTCAAGTCCGTGATACCTTTGAGATACCTAAGAATCCACTTTACTGCTTACAAAAGTACCCGAAAGGTACCTATAGCATAAGTTTCGGATGCACTACTCCTTTCAAAGACCAAACTCAAGTTTGTGGTACCTTTGAGATACCCGAGAATCCACTTTCATCGCTTGCAAAGGTACCTTTCTTAGGTGAGGTATATATCTACTCATAATACTAACTTGTTTGGGTAATGTCTAGACGAATGTAGGTCATAGCAAATGTTATGTTGCCTACTTGCATTAGAATATGAAATTTGTGACATTTCCTTCTCTTCTTCTTCATTTTAAGGTAAATGAGAAGCTAAAAGTCTATAGTGAGCAACCAATGGAGTACTAATAGGTTTGGCTTTCTATATACCAAAGTACTCGAAGCACTTTCTTAATATATCCTTTGTGTGAAAGATATAATTTTTCAACCTTCATGTCTCTATGAATCTACTATACCTATGATCTTCGATACTCTAAGATCTTTCATCTCAAACTAATCATCGACTTGTTTCTTCAACACTCGAATTTCTAACATGTTATTGGTAGCAATAAACATGTCATCCGCATACAATAAGAGCTACACAAAAGATCAATCTGCTAACTGTTTAAAAATACACACAACTATCATAAGTAGATCTTGAATAACCACGATTAAGTATAAAACTATCAAATCTCTTGTACCACTTACCTTGGTGATTGTTTTAGGCCATACAAAGATTTCTTTGATCCGCAAACATGATCTTCTTTTCCTTTCACCGAGATATCCCTTTGGTTAAGACCTATAAATAATCTCCTCAAGATTTCCATGCAAAAAGTCGTTTTCACATCAAGTTGGTCGAGTTTCAAATCAAATTGAGTCACCATAACAAGCAACGCATGAATAGTGATATGTTTCACAATTAAAGAAAATACTTTATTGTAATCAATTCCATCTTTCGACTATAACTCTTAGCCACCAATCCTACCTTGAATCTAGCATCTTCAACACTTGATATTCTTGCCTTTTTTTGTAAACCCATTTGCATCCAATGACTCTGTTACCTTTAGATAATTTCATCAAATCCTAAGTCTAATTTTTGTAGAATGACTCAAGTTCTTCGTCATTGCAATGACGAACTAACTAGACTCTTCACAAATCATTGCTTCGTATAAGTGAAAGCTCATGAATACCTATTATCTCAACTTTGGTGAAGGCATAGGCTACTTAGATCAACATAAGTATATTCTTTATGATAAATAACAAAAACAAGACAAGTAATGACAAACAATAATTAAAAAATAAAGATAAACAAATTATCAACATACGGAATTTACGTGATTCAACAAATTACCTACTTCACGGGCGAGATGAAAGTTTTTTATTAGCTTGGTACTAAAAAAATACAACTCGAAAGCTTAAAACAAAATTTGTCTTTCACTCTATTTCTTAAATAGAGACATAAAAAAATTTAAATATCTCACATCTATAAAGAAAAAAAAACTAATTGACTAAATATATTATTGACCATAAAATTCAAGTCATATACAACCATTAAAAAATAAAATTTGCATTTTAGCCGCTAAGTATTTTGTTTTGAAGCTGTTTGTAATTTACCTAGGATTTGTTTACGGAAAGGACAAAGGATGTGGTTTGTGCGCGCGTGACGTTTTAACTGTCAGATTCATCATTTTAACGGTCAAAACTCAAAGTTTAAGGTTTGCGATTTAAGAAATCTCTTAAAGATTCAAAAAGAACTCCATGGATAGCTATTTGTACTTGCTTTTCTAAGACCACAGTTTCCAACTTAAAAACGCAAGAGCAAAAAGTGGCAGAAAAAGGTCCAATCTTAATACATGAGTATAAATTAGTCTCCTCACAAGGACTCTGCAAATTGTTGTGCCTCCAGGTCCAGTTCTTGTCTCATGATGCAGCTCATCAACCAGTCACTGCTGAAAGTCCGTATTCCTTTCTTCGCAGCTGATAATGCTTCTTCAATGTCTTCTTCACAGACAACAAAGATGGTTTTTGATGCTTCTTTTACTTTATCTAGTCCAGAAATTACCTGTATTTGTTTCACCATGATTAGCAGATAATAAAGGATTCTAAATCAAGAAGCAGAACAGTATTCAAAGTCCACTGAAAGAAAATATGGTTCTGTGTTTCAGTTTTCTCATTGTAACCCATCTCACCACTACATGCATATGGATGATAAAATTTAGCCATGAAAACAAATACTATATCATTCACAAGCGCGCAGAATATATAGTCAAACTAGATGAGATTCTAAACTTACGTTCCCACCGGCAGACTCAACAATGGGAGATAGAGTTTGAAAAGGAGGCTGGATATGGTTTGCTATGCATATGCTATACCCTTTAAGAAGAGCTCGAGGTCTTGCTTTCGCTCTGAGAACAGCATCTTTTAACTCAGCTCTGTACTTGAGAACATATTCTTCATCGCACAATATATATGGCAATTCATCTGTACATTAGACTGGTTAAAAGGAGATTCAAGGATTTTCTATGTATTAAACACTTCAAAGCTAAAAAAATTCTGTTTTCAACGCACCCACAAAACTGCCTTTGTGGAAGCTTTCCTTTAACCAGTTTGATGAAACTATCCAAGCTCTGCTTAAAGGTCCATGCGTCCAGTTTAGCATCGAATAATATAACCAATAATTAAGTATGCACGTTCAAAATTGGGGATAGTTCTGATTTAGGACATTGAGCTATTCTGCCATGGCAATTGGATATACAGATTGCAGAATATCCAAATGTTAAAATAAGAAATGGTAGAATAAGGAAAGACTAACCCTGAAGAGAGAGCGGTGCAGAAATTCAAAGTTATTCTCACTTTCCCTGTGACAACATGGGTGCTTACACTTCCATCAGGGGTGACGGCACCACCAAGAGTTTCAATTACCTAAAAAAGAAAGGGACTAATTCTCAATAAACGCACATAAATACAACCACATTCCATCTAATAAGATTAAGCTACGAATAGTGGACATTTTAGCAGTGACATGAACAATCAGATCAAATATATAAGCCAGAAACATACTTCTTGTGGCTCTTACTTGAAACCTTACCTTCAGCCTCAGTGACATTATTCTAAATAAATAACCAGTCATGCCTGGGAGAAAAATGACAGGGACCAACACAATAGTTGGTGCATGCTCGACTTTACCAGCTTTTGCTGGGGGGAAAGGAGACAGGACAAAATCCTCTAGAAGACATTTGGTAATGAGTCGATGCAAATGAACTGTGTATGAGTTCAACTGAGTACACCACAGAAGCACTTCGAATTCCATATTCAAGTTTTGGAAACACGAATATTTATCTAGCTATTAATCAAGATAATGGCATAGCTACATGCATGGCAAGTGTGCACATAAATCATAGGAAGAATTTTGCTGTAAAATCATAAAGCAAATGGGAAAAGATGGAAATGTCCTCATTTAGTAAAAGCATTCATATGGGCTCCTAACTTGGACCCCAAAATATCTCAATCTTCAATCACAGCACTAAGAGTGTGAAACAAAGAAATTCTTGTTCATGCTTATATATGATTGTGGAACAAAAAAGATCGGATATACCTTTGTCAGATGCATTTTCTTATCAGCATCAGCAATATTCATCAACATGATTTTAAAGCATTCTCCTTTAGACTGAAATTCTTTGCTGACCAGAGCCTCTGATGTTGTATTACTTGATCTATCTTCTTTTGCATTTTCTTCCATGCAATTATGAGTCAAAGGATCCATAGAAGTAGCCTCAGCAAAAGAGCTGTTTTTTGAATTTCCCAACGAGCATCCCCTGAAACATGGATCAGTCTTGACTCTCTCTGAATCTGATCCATATTCAGGTCGATGGCTTCCCTTCACCTTCTTAGTCTTCAATGATGAGAATGAGGCTTCCCAATGCCTCCTCTTAGTACCTTGTAAATAACTAGAATTGCATTTGACATCAGCATCAGCTCTAACCATAGTTGATTCTGCATCAGTTATCATCTTGCTGCATTCTCCTCTCTCAAAAGGAGCTAATTCACCACAATCCGTACTCTGAGGAAGACCTGTTGAAAATAATAAACGAGGTAGAAGCCTGACTTAGTAACCTGTGAAAATTGCAGAAAAGGACAGGAGTAGAAAGTTGGATCTGAAGGTGTGAAGAGAAAGAAGAGATTGTTTCGCTTCATATTCTAAAGCATTTTAGCAGGTCTTATGCCAGATAATGAAATATGAAAAACATCACTGTGCATTACATGTTAGAAAAATAAATGAAAAGAATTCTTCTTACCACTCAAATTGGCATCTACTCCGGAAAATCCATCTTTTGTAAATCTTTCACGTTGAGAATTTTCTATCCTGGAAGTTCCTTGGTTTTTTGACTTTAAATTAGTGTAATCCTCTTCAATAAACCCAGAGGCTGAAGATCTATAAACAGGTGATGGAGAATTATTACGAGGCATTAGTGGAAAACAAAACTGCAGAGGGACCTCAGGGGTAGCTGAATTGTCCTCGTTTAGATGAGAAACCATAAGAGTTGAACCACCAGGAAAGCACAATGCTCTGCGGATGTTGGGCTTAATAGGCAGCCTGCGAGCTCTACCTTTGTTACCCACTTCTGCTATTGATGCAAAACCCTACATTTGTTGTCAATGTAATTACAAAAGTTAAAAATTAAAATCACATAGTGACTTCTGCAAGAGTGGACAAAATTACTGTTGTTTTAGATTAGTTCTATTGGAAAGCTTCGTCCAGCACATTCTGCTGCAGGAAAAGGCCAAAAAGGCTTGTTCTCGCTTATATACATTTTATACATTGTGGAAAGACATCTGGTATAATAAATCAAATCAGCGAGAATATATCATGCTCCAATCTGAATATATTCTCCAATGCGCTTTACCTGTTTAACCCAAAAACCTTCAGATTCGTTATCGCCCCAACAGTATATTGTACGAACACCAACATTCTGAAGTCTCTTCCTCAATTCCATGTACAAGAAGTGACCAAGACCCTAAGTAATCAAAGTAGCAGAAAAGTTCAGGGCAACATTTCCAGAACAGACTCGTATTATCAATCAATGGTTCAGAAGAGTAGTAATGTGTCAGCAGTAATAAGCAAACAATAAACCTTGTGTTGGTAGACTGCACTAACAGCAGCAAGAGGAATCTCAGCATACTGCATGTCGACAGGGATAATTTGATACGTAATTGCAGCTACAACCTGCATCAATAACATCAAACAGCTGAGTTACAAGGCCATTACCGAAAAATGCTAACTAAATTTCTTCACTGACGCAATCAATGGTTCACAGTAAACAAATGCAAATTTTTGCACTTTCATGATGTGCATGGATGCTAAGAATATCACAATTGATGGAAAAGTCAAAATGGGCACAAAATCAGGAATCCTGATTGAGAACCACTGATATTCTCTAATAACAATGCACCCTTGTCAAGATAACGGAAGTGTTTTTTATGACAACATGTAGATAGAGTTCACCACCTACAATAGCATGTGTACAATCTGATGCAATACCGCAACAGTAAAACCATTTACAATCAAGGAGAAGGATTCATGAGTACAATACTGCTTTTGATTTCCTTCTGAAGAACACAAATCAGTTTTCTTTACACAAATAAACACCGAAAAAGACAATCAAGGTTACCTCTCCAGGACCTTCTGTTGACTTGGATTTCAAAAGCAATGTACAGTATTTCCTGCAAAAGTAGTGTTAGTACATGAGCATTTCGAAACCACCAACGGCATATAAATAAAATAAACAAGAAAAGAAATATTCTATACCCATTTGAGACACATTTTTCAAGAAACATTGATTGTTTTCCAGTATTAGCAGCATAACTCATTGTTGGTAGTTCCCTTGTATAAATCTCTAAAACTTCCTGTAAAAGTCAATTCATAAACAAAAACCCATCATGTAAAAGTTCACCAAATAACCAAACATGCACACCCAAATGTATCAAAATTGAAATCACAGCCAACATTGCAACCACATACCTTGAGATAGCATTTGCTATTACTATCTTTATCTTTTGAATTTGCGACAAAAAACGTATAATCATCCTCGAATTTCACTATTTCATGAAATAAATAAATAAAATCATCAAAAACGAAAGAAAGCCACTAAATTTTTAGTCCTGATTAATTTCTCATCTAAATTAAACAAAAATTATACCTCTTTTTTCAGTATGTGATAATAAAATGTCGTTAAGCTCTTCCTTCACTGTTTCAAAGTAATTAACTCATTTTACACACAGAATAATAAACCCTACGATAGTGATTAAACTAAAAGATTCAAAGGAAAAAAGAAAGCACCTGAAATTTTAATTTTTGCTTTTCGATTGATTGAAATGTGCAGACTGTTTGGATCTGAATCGTTGATACCAAACTTGTTTGCTTCCACCGTAACCTCACAATTACCTGTAAAACACAAAAAAATAAAATAAAATAAGATCTTAGAAAAATTAGACCTGGAAATCGTGAATTTGCAGATTTGATCGGTGGAAATTAGGGCTTTGTCAAATCTATTTTATTTTTACCGATTTGGATCGGAGAGGATTTTTTGGCGCCATGATTTTTTTTAAGTGGAAAGAAGGGAAAGGAAGGTATTTAAAGAGGCGGGAAGGAGGTGTTTTCGTAATTTTGTGTGAAAGGCAATGGTATTTTCTTAGTTCCTTTGCGGGATTTTCTTTTCATTGGTAAACTTCATTTTTACCCTTATAGCTTCTCAAGTATTCTACCTCTACTCTTATATTTTAAAAAGTTGTTAATTTTACTCCTGTAGTTTTTCTATAAAGTTTCTATGTTTCCCGGATTGCTTAAATATAAAGGAAATTTTGTTTACCGTTGTCTCTCTTCTCTTTTTTGTATTTTCTCTTATTTTATCGTCTTAAAATTCGATATATGTCATAATATCTATCCAAAAAATGCTTTAAAATCCAAGAAAACTCAAAAAATAAAATTTAAAAAGGAGACGCATAAATAGATTATATTAAAAAATAAAATTTAAAAAGTAGACTCGTGATTGGATTCTATTAAAATTATTGATGATGGATAAAACGAAAAAAAAATTAAGATATAAATTTTGAAAATTTGAAACTTCATTTTTCTTTCATATAATTTTTTTTACATTATCGTATCAAGTTCAAATTAAAAAAATATACATATCAACAAAGTTTTTTATGAATACACGGATATGGTTATCAACAGTTACTCCGTAGCCTAACATGTGAGATATCGAATTTCAATATACAAAAGGGTTAAGAAAATATATGTATGTATTTATTGATATTGAGCAAAAACCAAATATTTTTTCACAACAATATTACAATGCCACCTCTATCTATGAATGGAACATAGATAAAATGTCCAAATACAATATCATTAAGTGTTGTTTAGTAACAATAAATGAAATGGTAGAAATGAAAATTGAAATTTTATTCCCATTTTGTAGGTTTTTGGTTGACATAAATGAAGTAGAAATGGAAATAAAAAATAAGAATAGAAATAAAAATTAAATATAGTTTCATTCCTATAGGAAGATGTAAGAATAAAAATAAGAAATGAAGATAAGTTTTTTTCTTCAAAATGATAATATATTATTTTTTATTTATTGTGTATCAATTATTTCTACCACTACTATCACATCCACCTTCACCGCCACCATTGCTACTGCCACCGCCAACATTGATAGTGGTGATTAAAAAAAACTATTATTATTATTATTATTCTACCATTGCCACCTCGACGGTGGTGGTATCAATTTTTTGAAAAATATATTATTGCTATTATTATATCACTATTACTATCATCACTTCCTCTTCCTCCTTCTACTTCAACATCACCACTATAACCACCTTTATCATATTTACTATTATCATAGTTTTTCAAATTATTTTTTTAATCATTATTAAAAAAATCTGATATTAAAAATTTTAGATTTTGAAATTTTAATTTTTATTATTAGTCCAAACATTATAGGTATGGAAATGTCATTTTGATTTTTTAATTTTAATTATTTTAATTCTAGACTTTTCATTTTTTGTAATCAAAACACACCTTAATTTTTTACAATAAATAACCACAGCAACAAATGCTTATAAAACACAATACGACATTTCTAAAAACGTAATTACAAGTTTGCTTATAGCGAGTTTTACTAGTCAACTCAAAGATGATGGGATTATCGCCTTACATCAAAACAAGAACTTGAAATTACAAAGTATGTTTGTGTAGATGAAAATGAACAACCCATTCTAGATGATAATGGTGAGCCCAAATAAGATACAACAATCACACTCATTTTATCTCGTTTCTTTACATTCCATAGGTGATCCATCTCATCTCAAAGGTAAAAAACTATATATATATATATATATATATATATATATATATATATATATATATTGAGCTTCGTCAAATCTTATATGTAAAAAGTTTGGTGATTTCAAATGATGCAAACACATCTTTTTCATTAGAATTATGTTAAGAGAAGATTTAACCTAATTCTTTTGGAAAGAAAAATTAATTGTTGGTCTTCCTCCTCTTTTAAGAGAAAAGGTTAGGAATAAAACTATATTAATAATAATAATAATAATAATAATTGGTGACCAAATTTCATATCATAAATTAACATATGGCCGAGCTTGTTAGCTTTATGCAAAAAGAAAGATTAAAAATATTTCAAGATTTAAAAATACAAAAACAATTAAAATGAGAAATGCATAAAGCTTAAAAGAAATTAGGATTCTTTTGCCAATAGTTTGACATTCCTAGTTCGGGATTTTGCACATATTGTAAAACCAAGTGAAAACCAACATATAAAGGCATTCTTAAAAATACCATAAAGGAGATAATGTTCTCTCAACATAAAAGTTTAAATTTCTATAACAAGTCTAATTACAAATGTGGTAGAAAATATCATATCTCTAGATATTATAGGCTTAATAAAAAACTACATAAATAACAACTTGAGAAAGAAATACTCAATAAAATCAAAGCCCTCCTTATTGAATCCTCCGATTCTAAAACTTATGATTTTGAAATGGAATCTAATAAACAAATTAATATCCTCATCACATTAAGACCAAAAATTTCTTCGTAATATCATTAACCATATCGAAGAACTTTAACTTCAAAAAGAATACTTCAACAAACTACAACAAAGTTTTGACCAACCACCGCCTTCAATCTCACCTTCAACCAATAATTACAACCTTGCCACCATTCTTGATAAAGCCAAAAGGTTAAAAAATAAAAAATAAAAACACCACTACTATACAAGATCTTCAAGTAGGACTTAAAACCATACAACAAGAACTTTACCAAGTACAACAAAAGCCAAAACAAAGTTTTTTTTAGCAAACCATCCATCTTTTTCAAAAATTAAAGAAGATTCGATAATGATAATGACGAGCAAACTTTAAAACTTTTTAATATAGAAAAAATTCCAAAACATTTTTTATGCATTCTAAAACAAATGAATTCCCAAAAGTATTTCGTAAAAATTATTTTAAGTTTTTTAAATGATTTTAAATTAGAAAATATTGCTCTATTTGATACAAGAGCATCTCTCAATTGTATTAAAGATGAAATTATACTTTTTTTTTTTAAATACCAATAAACATTTCAAAGCTGCAAAAATTCTTCTCTAAAAATCAAACAAAAAATGAAAGTGAAAATCCTTAATAATGATCTTCTCATTAATACCTCTTTTGTTATTGTAAAAAGAATACAACATACGAGTTATATTAGAAACTCATTTTATTAACATGATCACTTCTTACATAGTTAATATCATGATCACATTTCTATAAAAATTAAAATTAAAATTAAAAACAACAAAATAATTTTTTTCTATGTAGAAAAGCTAAAAATAAAAAATATTAACATTATTAAAGCTCACTCCATTTATGAAAATCAAATAAAACAACAACAACTCCAACTTTTACGAAAAAAAAAGATATTTCTTTTCATCGATTAAAAAACAACTATAGAATTTTGACTTAAAACAAAAAATTATTGATTTTCAAAACCATATTGAAAAAGAAATTTATATCGATTCACCGAATGCTTTTTGGTCAAAAAAACAACACATGATTGATTTACCTTGTAAAAATGATTTTTGTAATGTACAAATTCCTACAAAAGTTAGACCAATTCAAATAAATAAAGAACATGAACAATATTATAAGAAAAGAAATTCTAAATCTTTTAACAGAAGGTTTGATTTCGAAATCTAGATCTCATTAAAGTTGTGTAGTCTTTTACGTAAACAAAAAAAATATAAAATAGAACGAGGTGGTCTAAAGTTAATTAGTCATAAATTACAAACATCTAAATAAAGTCTTAAAATAGATTCGTTATGATCCTATCATCAACAAAAAAGGAAGAAACAAATATTACACAATATCCATATTTTTTAAAAAATTTGATATGAAATTAGGTTCTTAACAAATAGAAATTGCACCCAAAGATCGGTATAAAATTGCTTTTACTTGTCCTGTCTGGACAATATAAATGGAAAGTAATGTCATTTGGATTAAAAAATGCTTCATCTGAATTCCAAAAAAATTATGAAGATATCTTTGAACCATATTCATGATTTTGTATTGTTTATATTGGTCATGTTTTAATATTTTCTTCTTCTATAGAGCAACATTTTGAACATTTAAATACATTTATTCATGTAAAAAAAAAAAAAAAGGATTAGATGTTTCAAAATCTAAAACAAAAAATTGTTTTTAAGGATATTATATTTCACATTGAATAATTACTTCCATTGAAAGATCTATATCTTTTATAAATAATTTTATGATAAAATTATTGATGAAGTACAATTACAAAATTTTTTAGAAGTTTAAATTTTTATTCAAAACTAAACCGTATTATAATTAAAGAAAAATCATGCCCTTTGAACATAACATCACACAAATATATATATATAAACAAATTAAGATCATTTTGTCAACAATTAAACAGTTAGAATATTTTAAAGATATAAAAACAATTAAAATAGGAAATGCAAATTTTAATTGTTTTAGTATTTCAAGATATACAAACAATTAAAATTTGCATTTCCAATTTTAATTGTTTTTATATCTTTAAAACATTCTAATTGTTTAATTGTTGACAAAATGATGTTAATTTGTTTTTTGTTTTGTACAATATATACACACACTCTAGCATATATTTATAGGTAAACTGATATAATTATGTTGTATTTTTTGTTACCGAAATGATTATATATTGGAGATGTGAAGCCACTTACATAAAAATTATCCATCAATTTTGCAATTTATCTCTAATTCAGAAATATATATAATTATAAGTGAGGTATTAAAGTTGTAAAGTAGCATTATGAAAAATATTTTTATATTAAAAAAACAATAGAATAAGAAGATGGGATAGTAAAAAAAAAGCTATACTGTTTCATGTGCATCATTTTTGGATTAATTTTTCACTTTACAAATCCTTAACGAACTGCAGCTAGCAAACTTGCCCTGTATATCAGACTTGAACGAAACTTAAAAGAAATGAACAAGCATAAGAACACTCTCGAGATCTCTAAGCCCTACCAATGAACATATTTTCTTCCTAGAAGTTGAAGATGCGAAGACTCAAAACTTTTGCCGTTCAATCCTTAATAACAGCGATCCTTATATCCCCAACCCAGTCTACTTTTCTTCCCTTTCAAATTATCACAGAAAATTCTCCTCTAATTATCGTTCTGATCAATCACCCCATGACCTCCCGGCAGCAAATACACTGATTCTGACCTTTACAAACTCATAACCGAAAATATCGTAAACCATAGGCGCTACGTTCAATCCCAAATCACATACATTGAAAACTTGTCTCTAACGAAGTCAAGAACAAAAACCTTGGTGATGCAGAAATTTTCATGGAGCGGTTTGATGCTGTCGAAAACGATATGAAATACTTGGAAACTGAGTACAGAACTCTGCAGAAGGAATGCAAGCCCAACCTTGAGTCAATGAAGCTGATAAAGAATGTTAAAGAACTCATTGAATATCTTAAAGAGTCCAAGACGGTATTTCAGTCCAAGAAAAAGCTCCTGAAACCGCAGCTTTTGAGATTGAAAAAAGACCAGTACTGCTGAAGACAAGGCTCGTTTTTGGAATTCGGTACCAGGAGGATGGAGGTTCATTGCTTGTACTCATTAAACCTGATGATACAGTTAATTAAATGGCATGATCAGGTCGTGCACTAATTAATTATCTGTAGATTCCATTCATAGCATGTATTGATGGATCATGTCCTGCAGTTATATATGAGTTGATTAGATTTCCTTTTGTATTAATTGGAATAGGCAGAAGATAACGGTTAAAGTAGATTTTTCCATTCATAGACTATTGAATGGGGTTAATGGCATTATCTCTGTATATTGCTTGGAGTTCCAACAGTAATCATCCATAGGATTTCGTTAGTCTTATTTATATAAGACCTCAAATTTTCTATTTGCTTTATGACTATTTAATCTTGTTATGATGCAAAATATTAATGATAAAGGACGGAGGGGGGCTGTGGAGCTGAGATACGGCCTGAGGCTAAAGCTATGGCAATATGGCCATATTCCTTAGACATCATAATTTTTGGATTACAAAGAAGATGATGACTAAGAAAGTGAAGAAGAAAGGCACAATGCTCCTGAACTGTTAATTATCTCACCTTTCCCCCATCTGGCTACGAGCGCAGGAGCCGAAAGAGATATTTGTATTATCTGTTTGCAGTAAATTTCACATCACTCCAAGTAGCCAAAATATCCACAGTCACATCCAGTCCGTAGAATGGCAAGCTAGTTAACAAGGACACGTCCATGATAGAGGCAACAACACTTTCCGGCCAAGTCCCATTAATTGAACATAACGATATCGTGGAAATGCTGCACGGACCCATATACTAGTTCGGGGCTCTGTAAAGCTCTTCTTCTTGTTAAGTGGAAATCCCATTACGGGTGGGCATCTAGTGAGTTTGTACCCTGTTTCGAAGCTCATGAGCTTGTTCCAAAGCATCTCCAATGGACTGTATGAGGATACAAATTCAAAGTGGATACGAAATTGCACCCTTTAAAAATTTGTACACAAAATCGTATTATTATATGTGATGAGTTTGTACCCTGTTTCGAATACTTGGGATAGGAACTGTTTGTATTTCAATTAAACTGTTTTGCTAGTACTATGCTTTGAGCACTTAGGACTTGGAGGAGCTGTTTGTATTTGAGAGATTATACCGCATTAATTCATATGAGAGTGCTCCAACAACAAAACCATGCCTTTTTAATAAGAGAGGTGGAACGCCTAACAAAGATCACTTTGATGTATAGATTCATCTCTGCACTCTACTATATCATATCCTCTGCAGCATTAACATAACTGATCATCACATTCTTTAAATACAATTTTCGATCTCAAATCCTTCCTATATCATTCATTCTAAAGCATACTTCAATCAACATCTATATATACATATATAGATGTTCTCAACTGTTCATCTTATTCTAATTATCCAAAGTAACTAACATAATTGATCACACCCTGAACAGGTGAAACTTTCAAGAATTCTAGTTTCCAGCATCTCATGGACTTATTGGAGAACATAAAATGAGTTAAAAAAAAAAAAAAAAAAAAGCCCTTTATTCACCAACAAGAGGACTACAAAATTTACAAATCAACATGGTACAAGGAAATGTTGCAAGTACCTAATACCATCTTCAACAGTCACGTATCTCCAATTAACAACATTCAATATACCCAAACTTACCTTATCAACCCTAACTTTGTCACCACCATCTCTCCTATTACAGAACACCAACTTCAAATCTGCCACCATCCTGCTTGAGCCATCACTAGAGCAACACCGTGGTGATGGCAACTCCTGTGAAAACCATCCTACAGACCCCGGAGAAAATCTAGCTTTCCCTTCGTAATCCATCATGGTAAAAACCGCACTCCAGTCTTTCAACACCACATTCCATGTGATTTGTACATCTTCTAGCATCCCATTCATTGATGACGAACACTCTTGATTGCTCGCACCAAAATCAAATCTAAAAACCCCATTATGATCATGACAAAATTCATTACCAAGCTTTGCTATTTTGATAATTGTAGGATGATTTTTCTTGGTGCCCATAATATGGATGTCAAAGATGAGACTGTCTAGGCAAAATTGAGGCATGGAGGGACCTCTCACCCGTCGTTTGGCAGCAATGTATGCCATGCCATACAAACGGTTGTAAGAAACAAAAGGGTGTGTGATTTTAAGGTTAGAAAGAGAAGGGTAATGACTCATACAAATAGGCTGCCAAATGTGATCGGACGACATGGACATGTACCATGAATTAGACACACATGAAGCTATGGCTAAGGATTTAGGGTCAAGATGATGAGCAACAAGCACAAGAACCTCCCATGGTGGCGGCGATGAAGAAATTGTGGATCTAATTGACATTGCTTGGACTTGGAGTCTCTTTTGAGATTGCATATTCAGCAGTTTGGCATAAGATTTTATAGAACTATAATGTTGCATCTATATATATATATATATGGCATGCGTTTAGTAGCAATGTTTATGTCATGGTTGTGGTTAAGACAATGAAGCACGTGTTTTAAGGTAGTTTTCTGCATGGATATTTTTTGACGCGTTTACAAGGGTGCGTCCCCTGTGTGGTCAACACGTGCATATCGAGCTTGTACCCACGTTGAGTACACAGGTGGCAAATCCGGTGCGTTAAAGATGACTAGATGACAACTGCCCCTAATCCTTTTCTTTTAATAAATTGAGTCCCTGTACTCTTAAGAAACCCCTAAACCACTCTCTTTAATTTCAGGAATACATATTAATTTAATTCTAAGAGGTTGGCCTAATGCCTAATGGTAAAAAAAAGTTCGCTCTCTCTTTTAACTTCTTAAGTTCGAGTCTTGATATCACTAACCTCTTCTATTTATTAAATTTCCCATTACATACCAAATTGATGTCATAAATATTTTTAACTAATTAGTTTTTTAATATTCAGAACTTTTGATCTGACAGAGAAAGGCTGACAACCTTGAATTTGTTTTTTTATATAGATTCCAAGTATTTTTTTTTATATGCACTGTATCGAGGATTAGATAAAATATATAAAATTATTTTGAAAAAAATTTCGGTTTGATAATCTATGTTATGGTATAAATTTATGAAAATATATGAAATCAAAAGTTTTTTTTACTTTTTAATCAAAATTTAGTATTTAATTATTTCTTATTTGTGTTTTTCATAATTTTTCTGTTAGAAAAGGAGTTTATTCTTATTAATCCATGGATTATTAACTAAAAAGAAGATTAAATAAAAAATTTAAAAAAAACTTTAGCATTTCGTAAGATTGTTTCAAAAAACTAAAGTAACAATCAATAAAAAAGTTACATAGAATTAAACAAATAAAAAAAAATTATTTTTATTTTTATTTAATGTTGATGAGAATATCAATTTTTTGAAAGAATGTGAATTTAATTTTTATATATTTATTCACAAAAGAATGAATAATATTAAAATAAAAAAACTATATTAATTTTAATCATTTAGTGGTTAAGCCAAAACATAATTTTAATTATTTAATTTAAAATAAATTAATTTTAAAAATTCAAAAATAACTAAATAAATAGTAAATGCTTAATATAGTAATAGTTGTATAGTTAATTTTTAGAAAAAACAACGATTCAATATTTTTTTATACATCATAACTATACTAAGTGGATTCATCGTTTTCAGCATAAAACAAAAAAACTCTATAAAAAAAATATAAGGTTAACTTGTAAGGAATATATTGACTAAATTTGAAGTTAATAAACTAAAATAAAAATTATTACAAAATTAATTTCGATAAATTTTGATTATATAAAAAAGAAACAAATAAAACACATGAATTCTTTTTCCTTTTCTTTTCCTCCTTCTTAAATAATTTTTTTATTTCTATGCTATACATGGCTAGTCTTTAAATACGAGCCTCACATGCAGAGCAACCATCTCCTTTTTGTTTCTAAAATTTGACTTTCAATTATTATTTTACTAATTTGAGTTTTTTTAAAAAAAAATCGAAACAAATTGTTTGAAATATACTTTTAATCTAAAAATGTATTTCGGACAAACTATATATATTATTCATGTTACTTAATTTAAAAATTATATAAATCTATTTTTCAAAAGAAAATATAATCATGTTCTAAACATTTGTTCCATAATCCATACATATAGAAAAATAAATAAAAAATGTCAATAAATATAATTTTAAATTAATTGCTTGAGAATTTTTAAAAAAATAACAAATTAAAGTAGTAAATTTTAAATAATAAAAATAATTAACAAAAAATACTAAAATAAAATGGAACCAAATCACAATACAATTGAAGTTTGAAATTGAAAAACAAAATGTAAAAAAAATTAAGAACCAAAATATTACAATAATGCAATGAATAATGAAAGTAATAGTGATTTATGAGTGTATGAATACTTGATTTGTGAGTATATAAATAGTGTTATAAATAGTAAAATCTTTTTTTTAGTCTTTTTATAATTTTTTTTTTAAAAAAATCAAATCTTACATTTCCATTGACCAATTTTAATTTATATTTTTCACTCGTGAGAATCACTTGATCCAATGAAACAACGACACATGCTATGGGAAAGATACTCCTAGGCACGTGGACAAAAGCAATTTTTATTTATTTTTTGATTTCTTGATTATATTGGAATTTTTCAATTGTTTTTCAACAACCTTCATCCTTCTCCTCCATCTTCCACTAGGATTGTGTTTGTTTGGGGAAAAATAAGTTTCATAGAAAAATCAATTCTCGAGGAAGTTATTTTTTAGGAAATTGTTTTCCAAAAAACATATTTTCTACCGTTTAGCAATTACATGAAAAAACTACTGAAAAATATATTCCGAGCATTTGTTTGATATAGAAAATTAAAATGCAAAAATATATATGATTGATGTATCAATAAGTTTTGAGAAAATTTTAAAAAGACATATTTATAATTTCACAATATAAGATGCTTTTAGAAAAATTTAATAAATTTTCATAAATACTAACTCTTAAATTTTAATTCAAAAAATAAAATGTACTTTTTTAACCATCAAACCAATTCATCAAAATTAATTAAGATAAAAAGATTCTAAGTAATCATAGCATTGTTATTTTGATAACTCAATTAAGAATTGTTTTTTTTTTTGAAAATTAAACTGATAATTTAGTCTAAAAAATAGTTTTATAAATTATTAGTTATTATTTATAGATAATTATTCATTTGGTCTCAAAAGATTAATGTTGGAATAATTTGTAACTAATCATTTACTAAAACTACCAATAAAATTTTACAATTGATTAAAATTATAAATTATTGATTTGATTGCAAATGAATAATGTTAAAAAAATAATATATTTATTGATGAATTAATTAATTTTAATGTTTTTTTACAAAAAATTATAGTCTTGTAATAATCATTTACAATCATTTAAGTATAGTTTAGGTGATATTTGAGATAATAGTAAAAAAAAAAAAGAGATAAATTATTGAAATATTTATTATAAAAATAATTTTAAGGTGTAAAAATGATTTTTAAAAATATTTAATGTATTAAAAATCAAATATTAATAAAAAAGAAAAAATAATAATTAATTAATAATAATTGATAAGGAATAATTAAAAATTAATCTAATATATTTTAAATAAAAAAAGATGAAAAAAATTATTAAAATATATCGAAAGAAAGGTAGATGACGCAAGAGCAAAACAGCTTTTGAAAAAAAAAATGTTTTTCTCTTTTGAAACTGAAAAAACATTTTCTTAAAAAATTTTATTATTTTTCGTCGAATGAAAATCATTTTTCGTTAGTTTTTTTTCCTAATGTAAAACAAATACTGAAAAAAATAAAAAAAAAAACAAGTTTCCGAACAAACACATCCTAGGTTCAGCAGAGGAAAAATCTTCTCCTCTCTCTTCGACTAGGGTCAGCAAAGGAAAAACAAAATCCACAGGTCATGAGTTGATGGCTTTCTCTTTCCTTCTCCACAACAGTCAACCAAGCGTTGCTGAAAAAAAAAATACAAATTCCATGAAAAAACGAAAAATACACAGTACACAAAAGTTTAATCAAATAATTTAGTACTTGAGAAATTAAAAAGAGTAACAAACATTCTACTACATCTATTGGTTGAAAGAGAGTAGAGAGAAGTGAGAGAAGAAAATAAAAGAAAAGAAAGAGAGAACAGAGAAGCGATTGGGAAGGGGAAGAGTTGGAGGAAAAAAGAAAAGAGAGAGAAAATAAAGAAGAGACAGTGAAAGAGAAAGGGGAAGGGATCTAAATAATGGAGGAGAGACAAGAGAGAGATGAAAAAAATAAGAAGAAAAAAATGATCTTAGGCATTTAATTTGAATTTAGTTTTTTTTTTTTTTTAAGTTTGGATTCTAAATTGAAAAAATTAAAGTGAGACCTTCGTCCGTTTGACAAAAAATTTAGGATACAATAAAACCAATTAGTCTTTTTTAAGATAGTAAGGAGAGAAAATTTAATTTTAATTGACATATAAATTAATTTGAAAATATCTTTTATCATGAAATAAAAAATATAAATTAATCTATTTATTTGTTTTGACTCAATTAATTAATCATACTTATAGCAAAATATAGAATACCTAGGTTATGAAAAAACATGAAGTTAATTATTTTTTTATGTGCAAAATTGTTAATTTTTTCTATTTGAGTGTGTCACCTTTTAATCTTTACTATTTGATTTTACCAAATTGTAATTTTTTTCCTATTTGAATGGTTTCGTTGACTTTCATTAATTTTATGTTGATGCGGCTATTAACTACATACAAATACCAAATTATAGGCTTTCTTGTCAAACACGAGGCAATGAGAAAAAAAAAGAAAAAAGAAGAAGTTTGTTACATATATTTTTTTACAACTTTGTAAATTTTTTCTATTTGAGTATATGAACTTTAATTTTAATATTTTAATGCACCAACTTGTAACTTTTTTTTATTTGAATTATTTCGTTATCTTTACACCGATGTATCTCTTAACTACACACATTTATGTGGCACTGTCACTCCACTTTACCTAAATTATAACTCAAAATAAAAAAATATTTAACAAATAAATACACACACACACATATATATATCCATTTAGTCTTCTTTTAAGATACTATGGAGAGAAATTTTAATTTTAATTGGCATATAAATTAATTTGAAAATATCTCTTTTCGTGAAATAAAAAAAATAATCTACTTACTTGTTTTGACTCAATTAATTAATCATACTTAGATCAAAATATAGAATAACTAAGTTATGAAAAAACGTGAAGTTAATTAGTTTTTTCTATGCAAAATTGTTAATTTTTTCTATTCAAACGTGTCACCTTTTAATCTTTGCTATTTGATTTTACCAAATTGCAATTTTTTTCTATTTGAATGGTGTTGTTGACTTTCATTAATTTTACTTTGATGTGGCTGTTAATTGCACACATAATATCAAATTATAGGCTTTATTGTCAAACACATGGCGATGAAAAAAAGTTTATTACATATTTGGTTTACAAATTTGTCAATTTATTTTATTTGAGTATGTGAATTTTAATCTTACTATTTTAATGTACCAACTTGTATTTTTTTTTATTTGAATTATTTTGTTAACTCTACACTTATATATCTTTTAACTATACACGTTTATGTAGCACTGTCACTCTACCTTACCTAAATTAAAACTCACACATATATATATGAACCACTACTGCTCCAATCGCCGTCGACTTCCAACCATCGTTGCGAACGAGTTCTATCTATCTTAAAGCTTATCATTGCAACCCATTTGATCTCAAAATATAAATTGATCAAACCTATATCCTACAAATAATCTAGTATTTAATTTGATGCTAGGATAAACTTTGAAGATAAAATTTTTTTATGTAGGATTGGTGTTTAGGGTTTAGTTTTTCTACTGAAAACAAGAATGTATCGTTGTCTTGGTGAATGAACTCAGTCAAGATTTTTTTTTAATTTTCAATTATTTTTTTATATGGTTAATTCTAAGTAATTTGTGTGCCCTTTTTAAAATTTTAATTTTATGTAAAGCCATAAATATATGGTTGTTGTTATATAATTTATTCACCTTTTTTTTTTTTTGCTATCTAAAAATGAGAATGGATAATTGTTTTTAATTTTTTGTGTTGTCATGTGTCCGACAATGAGTCCACACAACGATACCACATGTGCGAGTTAATAAACACATTAGTCTAGAGTTAACGAAACTACTCAAATAAAGAAAAGTTACAAACTGATATAATTAAATAGTAAAGATTATAGTTTATACACTCAAATAAAATAAAAACAATTGACAAGTTTGTATACTAAATATGTAATAAATTATTTTATTATTATTATTGTCATGTATCTAACAATGGACTCCACATGATGCTATTATGTGTGCAGTCAAGGATCATATTAACATAAAGTTAAGGAGAGTTAACAAATTTATTCAAACAGAATAAAACTGCAACATACTATATTCAAATAAAAAAAATTAAAATTTATATACCTAAATAGAAAAAATTTACAACTTTGTACACAAAAAAAATATAATTAACAAAAAAAAACACGTTGACATATAGGGATGAATGTAACTTTTTCTAATAAATGAATAGATGTATTAGTTTTTCCAATAGAAGAAATTATCAGGCAACACCTGTCTATCAAATAATAAAAACATGACACGTGGTTAAATTTTTATATTATTTATGCATGTATCACGTAATTATTTCTTATTTATTTATTTCGTAAATCTACTAAACAATTTTCTAAAAAATTTACCGAGCTCATAGTTTTGATACTGGCCCACATCAATGGTCCTATTTAAAGATGAGTTAACAACATCAAGCCCAATTAAAGGCCCAAAGATCCAAACATGAAACCGTGCGTTTTGAACATGACCTTTTGTTGCTCGGGGCTCCCTTTTTCCTGCGAAAGACTCGGCTGCTTTGCCCGAAGGAAATGGCAGTTTTGTTATCAACAATAGCAGCAGCAGCTAAGCCAAGTTTGAAGCTTTTAAACAACAATGGAATTACACAAGAAATATCGTCAAACTCATTTCATATTTTCCCTGGTAAGTCCATTAGTTCACTTTCTTGCAGTTTTTTCAATCCTTTTCTTTTGGCGTTTAACAAAGAGAGAATGTTTTTAAGGCACTTTCTTTTTTCTTTTGTGTTTAGGATTGAGCTTAGAGAACAAAAAACACAAGAAGAGATTATGTTTTGTAAATTTAGTTGCTAAGAATCAAACAAGCATTGAAGCAAAACAAAGAGGCCATGCTAAAATAGGACCTAAAAGAGGAGGTAAAGACTTAGTTTTGAGTGAAGGAAGAGAAGAAGATGAGAATTATGGACCTATTTGTCCTGGTTGTGGGGTATTTATGCAAGATAAAGATCCAAACCTTCCTGGTTATTATAAGAAAAGAGAAGTTATTGTTGAAAGAGATGATGTAGGGGAGGATGAGGAGGAGGATGTTGTAGATGAATTTGAAGGGTTTGAGGATGTTTTTGAAGGTGAGGAAGAGGATCTAGAGGACGGAATTGAGGGTAAACTTGAGAAAGGGGTAGGTAATTTGGAAACATGGGCCGAGTTTGATTTGGATTCCGATGAATTTGAACCCTTATTAGAAGATGAAGAGGGTGGTGATTCTGACTTGGATGGTTTTAGTCCCGCTGGGGTTGGATATGGTAACATTACAGAGGAGATAATAGAGAAACAAAAGAGGAAAAAGGAGCAGAAAAAGGTTTCAAAGGCAGAGAGGAAGAGGTTGGCTAGGGAGGCTAAGAAGGAAAAGGATGAGGTTACAGTGTGTGCTCGATGTCATTCTTTGAGGAATTATGGGCAGGTTAAGAACCAAACAGCTGAAAATTTGATACCTGATTTTGATTTCAATAGGTTGATCGCAACTAGGTTGATGAAAGCTAGTGGTAGTGGCAACGCTACTGTTGTTGTTATGGTTGTTGATTGTGTTGACTTTGATGGCTCATTTCCTAAGCGGGCAGCACAGTCCTTGTTCAAGGCATTGGAAGGAGTCAAGGATGACCCTAGAGCTAGTAAAAAGTTGCCTAAGCTTGTTCTTGTGGGTACAAAGGTTGATCTCCTCCCATCACAGATTCCACCTACCAGACTAGATAGATGGGTTAGGCACCGTGCTAGGGCTGGAGGGGCGCCTAAGCTAAATGGGGTTTATTTAGTTAGTTCTCGTAAGGATGTGGGTGTGAGGAACTTGTTATCATTTATTAAGGAATTGGCTGGTCCTCGAGGGAATGTGTGGGTTATTGGGGCTCAGAATGCAGGCAAGTCTACTCTAATAAATGCATTGGCCAAGAAAGGAGGGGCTAAAGTCACAAAGCTTACAGAAGCTCCAGTTCCTGGGACAACTCTTGGAATTTTGAGAATTGGAGGGATTTTGTCAGCTAAGGCAAAGATGTATGACACTCCGGGTCTTCTACATCCATATCTAATGTCCATGAGATTGAGTAGGGATGAGCAGAAAATGGTTGAAATCCGAAAGGAGCTCCAACCTCGAACGTATAGAGTGAAGGTAAGTTTTCCTCCTATTTCTTGAAATGTATTTTAGTTTGATATATCATGGTCTGAGTTGGCACTCGGCATATATAGACTAATTCACTCCCACTGTTCTGGTCATTATCTATGTGTATGTATGTGTGAACCTAGGAAATGAACTAGAATAACATTTTGGTAAATGAGTGTGTATTTTTACTCTAATATGTAATGATTCAGGTACCAAAATTTTTAATCTCTGATTTAGGCTGCTAAATTGAACAGCTTCTAATTGTTCCTAGGGTGTATATACACATTTTTCGAGTTCTCAAGAGCAATGGAACTTTTGCAGGCAGGACAGGCAATACATGTTGGTGGATTGTTGCGACTGGACCTCAATCAAGCATCTGTGCAAACAATCTATGTCACAGTTTGGGCATCAACAAATGTTTCTCTGCACATGGGGAAGATGGAAAATGCTGATGAGTTTTGGAAGAACCATGTTGGTGTCCGTTTACAGGTAAATTTATGTATTCTTCAATAATTATGCAAATATAGAACTCTTCTAATTTGTTTATATGTAGCAATTGGTGGTGGATGTCATGTGGCCTTCATGCACATAGAATATTGTTTGCACAGTTTCTAAACTAGCAGAGAATTGCTACTCTCTTGTGGTAGAGGTGTGCTTGCTTCATTTGTAGTCAAGAACTTCAAATGGTAGATTATGGAGGAGGAAAGAAAAAGAAAGGATGTTAGTTCACCATGCAATTCCTTCTCTGTAGGGGCAAATTGTGCCTTGATCCCCTTCTAAGTGTGGTACATTGGCAGGCTGCCGGTCTATTGAAGCAGTCTCAAACTAGCACATTTTATTTCACTTGCTGGTTTTTTTTTTTTCTTATTTTTCCTGTTAGTTCCTTCCTGATTTTAGGGGGTGGGGGGAATATTTGGAGAAAACTTGCACGAGGTGGATCATGGATATGGATAATTTTTTTTTTTAAAAATAAATGTACGCAAGTAATAACGATCTGTTATGTATGATTTTCTTTGCTATGACAAAAAGATGTGTGGAAGCAAGTGTATCTTGTCAAATGATACCTCATCATTTTATCTGTTCTGGGAAATATTTTATCTTGACAATAAGTTGTCATAAAAAATCATGCATAACAAATTGAAATGGCTTGCATCTCATAAGAAGATTTCTTCAATAAATTTTACAGCCTGCCTAACTGTATTTAGCTTTCTCTTTGCAGCCTCCAACTGGTGAAGATAGAGCTTCTGAGCTAGGAAAATGGGAAGAGAGGGAAATCAAAGTAAGTGGAACAAGTTGGGATGCCAATAGCATAGATATTTCTATAGCTGGTTTAGGCTGGTTTTCTGTGGGCCTCAAAGGGGAAGCAACCCTGACTTTGTGGACATATGATGGCATTGAGATCACTTTGAGAGAACCTTTGGTTCTTGACCGAGCACCATTTCTTGAGAGACCTGGATTTTTGTTACCTAAGGCAATATCCGATGCCGTTGGCAACCGATCCAAACTAGAAGCCAAAAGTAGGAAAAAGCTTCAAGAATCGAGTCTGGATTTTCTAGCCGAGGTTTCTGCTTGAAGGAGAAGGAGATGATCAATTTGCCCCTTTCAGAGGTGCCTGCTCAAGGAGGAAAGAACATCAGTTTGTTTCTCTTCCCAAAGCGACTTGTGGAATGGGAGACGATGTATAGTGTAAGGTTAACCATCCATTTGAACAAATCAAAATTTTGGCAGAATTAGTACAACAAAGAATGGCGTAGATGACAGTTTCTTTTTAACTTGATGGATGAAGACTCAAGGGAACCAAGTGTGAAATGTATCATTTGGATGTATCTACTAGCCAAATGGTAGTGTTTGCATATAAAATAGAAATAAATTTCGAGTCAACTGGATAATGAAATTTACAGTCGTATTTTTTCCTTTCTTTTCTTCCCAGCTACGGCTAAACTATAGAGTAAATTATAAATTAGTACCTTTGGTTTTTAAAAAGAATTAAATAGTCCACCTAGTTTCAATAACTAATTAATTATTACTTATATTTTTAAATCTATTTATAACTTAATGTTTTTTTGTTTTAATAAATAGAAAAAATAAGTAAAAATGTATAGAGATTTATGAGAAAAGAAAATATTTTTTGAAACAAAATAATATTAAATTAATTAGGGTCAATACTGATCAATAAACTAATTAATTAATTTTTAAAACAAGTTAGAGTATTTAATTTAAATTTTAAAACTAAAAGGACTAATTAATAATTTACTCAACTATGTTTAACATCTTTTGTAGCCTAGTGGATAAAGTTGAATTTAGTCTTAAAAAACAAATGATAAAGGCATTGTAGCTCATTGTTGATTCCAAACAGAGACGACAATAGGTTGGATATATCGGATTCATTAATTTTAATTTTTTACTTTATTTATTAAAAAATTATTTTATTCATATCCATTTAAAAATTATCTTATAAATTCATTTCCGATCCATATTCTTTAACCAATCATTTAATATAAATTTAATAGTCCCTAAAGATATTTTATCAAAATATTTTGTTTTAATCTATGTATTCTTCAAAAAACTTATTTTGGTCCTTAAATTTTTTTTCATTTTTTTATTTATAATTTTTTTTATTCTCAAAGTTTTCATAAGAAACATCTTTCGGTCCCTATTTTATAAAGTATGTGCAATTAGGTTTTTATATGTTAAATGTTTTTTCAAAAAAAAAACAAAAACTTAGTGAGTTTTAGTAGGAGTGGAAGCCCATACTCAAAATTATATTAATGATTATATTTTTTTTATCCTTATCTTTCTGGATGTCATTCATTATTTTTAATGAATATTTATTCAGCCGTGTAGCTAGTTCCTGGTTCATACCGGCCATTACCATCCTAACTCCACATTCCTGCATCTTGTCACTGCATGCAAGTTTGTTTATGTTTCACTTATTCGACACTCACGGATCTTGTTTGCCAGCGAATGGACGTTTCCATATTTGCTTCCTTGTGATCATCAGGCAAATGGAATGATGATATTGTACTCTCTCATTTTTTAAAAGTTTAATTCCTAGGATTGCAGTCGGGTTCAACGAACTAGACAGGCAATGAAGCAAGTTCATCTTGAAGCTTTAGGTCATCTCATCTGCAAGTTTCTGGGCAAATTCTTATCTCACTTTTCTTTCACATCATTGCAAGACTGTAAGCAACAGTTAAGAGAAATAAAGTAATAATGTTTGCTACAATTAAACTCTCAGTGACAATCTAGTTATTTTCCCACTTTTACGCAATTAAAAGTGTTTGGTCAATTAAGAGGGCACCCAGCTCGTGACTGCCTACCCACAGGCCATCACATCTGTGAAGGAGACAAGAGGCTGGTAGCGTTGGGCAAGATTATTGCAAGTTACACTCCCAACCCTAGTTAACCTGTCATGCCATGAGGACAATGAACTAATCTCGTGTCCCCTGGGCGATGGATAACCATAATGTCTACCAAATTGCCAGCTTGAAATTAGGTTCGAACATGTATAAAGAAAAACATGAGGCAAAAGAAATCTCCATCTTTTTTTTTTTTGCATTTCTGACTAAATTTTACATATTCTTTTTTTACATTTCTGAACAGTTTCTTGGGTTGAACTAAAAGAAAGGCAATGAGAATGAACAAGGAGTAGTACAAGAGCTCCTACCTTGCTCTATACAGACTTACAAAAACTAGAAACTACATAATCTACTGTGGTTGGGAATAACTCCCACTTGAAATCATTGGCCATATCTTGGTCAATAAATCAAGCGCTGGATTTCAGACCTGTTTCCTTCTTTGGTGCCTCCGCTTCCAACACAAAGCCTATAGAATTAAAACAAAAGAAACCATCAATCCCAACATCCCAATTTCTCAATTTTCGACAAAGTAATACCCCTATGCCATTTCACATCAGTCTCAAGACATACCATTGGCAAGCATTCCGCTGGAAGGTGAAGGAGAAAAGCTTTCATCCACGAAATCTGGAAATTGAGCTTCCAAACTAGTAAAATAATCACCAGCATCAAGATCAAATGAATCCGGCAACAAATCAGCCAAATCATTCCCATCAAACCCAAAGTCCTCCTCGGCATTGTTATAGAATCCATTCCCATCTTGATTCTGACTTAGCCAATAATCCCGGAACCATGTTGTCGTCGTAACCAATTGCCACCATTCGGGAGAGAAATCCTCCACTTGCCGGTAAGCAGCAGGAACAAAAAGTGGTGCATCTGGGTTCAATGTTGATCTTCCTCCTGAAACTAGTGCCATCCTTTCAAACCACAATCAAATTCTACCTTCCAAAATCTGCAGTTCTATAACCCAAATTCACACAGAAAATAAGATCCAATGCAACTTCTCAAATTATCCTATTGCAAACAATATACTAACTCGTAACATTAATCAACTCATTAAGCATTTTTTTTTTTTTAAGAATCATTCAACGACATATTTACTTAATGATAAGTTCAAAACAAGTAAATCCAAGCCAAGGTTACAAAAAATTATAACAAGACAAACCCAAAACAAAATAAACTGCAGAAATAATCTTAAATAATTTACTCACAATTATAAAGAAAGACAAAGTTCGCCTCTACAAGAATTCTGATTTAGAGAAGGATTAAAAACTAGTATTAATCTGTTCTAGTAATTCAAGTCAAGAGCTTGAACATGATCGAGTCAAGTCAACGTTAAATTGACTAATCAACAAATCCAGCTCAATCAAATTTTATGCAAACTGATGGTGTCAATCTCACAAAAAAAGACTGATTAACAAGAAAAAATTCAACCTTTATAATCACATTAATCTAACCACAAAAAGTCACAGATCAAACAGATAAACGTCTGTTTGGTTACTGAGATTTTTTTTTAAAAAAAAAAAGCAGAGACAAAGAGAAACTAAACTGGCAAGAAAATTGGATAATCGCAGAGATCATTATTTGATATTGAACCTAAACTCAATTTCATAAAATCATTTTTTTTTCTCAATCTAATTTCAAAATCTTCAATTGCGAAAACCGATTATCCCTTCATTTCCTTATTTTTTACATTTTCCTTCCACTTTCTCAGAAACCAACAAAAAATCAGTATAGAAAGCCAAAAATCACGGATCAAAACAGATACGAAAAAAATAGCAGATCTGATTAATTCACAAACCGATTAAATTTTGATTTTTACCTTTAAGCGAAGAAGAAGAAAATATCTATTTCTTTTACGGACCGAAGAGCGAAGGATACGTGTACGTTAGGATAAAATGCGAAAGGCGTGGCTATTTATAGGTCGGACGATACCGAACCTGATGGTGCGGGTTTTACGAGCCTTAGGTTCGGAATTACCGAATCAGCCCATTGTTTGTTTGATTTGATTGGGTCTGACCTGTACGGCCTGCGTGTTTGTTGTTTTAAAATAGCCGGTAATTAGCCGGTAATGGGTTGTAACACGGAGTTTATTAGGTGTTTGCTTTTGACCTAGGACCTTCAAAGATAAGGATGGTTCCTGTGTCTGCATCGTCAAATTTGTATCACCCGTTAGTAAACGAGTGGAAAAAAAATTAAAAAAATAAATAAATAATTGATTTTGTAAGAATTAATGATTTGGATTCTTCGTATAAAAAATTAACAATCAATTTTACAAAAAAAAAAAAAAAAAAAAAAGGTTTTAACCACTAATTAATTTGTACCATGAATTTCATTGACACGAGAATTATATAACTAATAACTTGAAGAGAGTTTAATAAAAAATTGTAAGTAAGTTTATTTTTATATCTTAATTTTTAATCTTATTTAGGAAAGAGATTACTAAAATCTTTTTAGATATAAAACTCAGTTAACAGAATATTTAATTTGTAATCGAGAATTATATAACTTGGTGGTTTAATTTAAAAAATTGTGAGTAAGTTTACTTTCATATCTTAATTTTTAATTTTATTTATGAAAGAGGTTATTAAAAAAAAATTAATCCGAAACCAAATAAAATCTATTGTGCAAAAATTAATTTCAACGTATTTGGGCATTAGAAAGGGCCAAAAAAGGATTAAACGTAGTTTTTTTTTTTATCTGTATATATCTGTACACTTGTCATAGAACGAGAACAAGGCTTGATGCAGGCTCCTTTTTGCTTTTCTTTGAAGTGGCGAGACAAATATAGGAAAAGGACAACCAAATTCCTTTCAGGATTAAGATGGAATGTAATTAAACGTGGTCAAGCTCACTCGGTTAGTGTACTTGTAATGCCTAAGTGACAACTGGGAAAACCATGATTATTTTTGGTCATCAAAGCCTACTTGGTTAGTGTTTTTAATGATGTCTTTGTCCATTACGCTTCTTGATTTCTCAATGCAAAGTGTTCATTTTTAGCTCTACGATATTTCATCTCTTTTCTAATATAATTCCAATTGGTAATTGGAGTCGCATGTTTAAATTATCCGAATGTCCAACGTGTTTTCAGCAACATAAATACCTTGGGAACAAAGTTCTAGTCATTCTTAGTTCAATGAAAAACAATTTCCATCATTGTTCTTTTATTACAAAATAAGTGAGATGATTTTTTTTTTTTTTGATAGGATATTATTTCACTAATCATGAAAAATTAAAACTCACGATGGTTTTCACGGTTCAAAATAAATAATAACTCTTCCATTAAAAGAACGTCGTTTGGCTGTAATTTTCATTTCAATCTTCTAATTTGGCAATGTTAAATTCAGTCTTATTGTACACACAAACAGATGTTCATAAAATTCCATTTACTACTGCTCTTGGCTAAGAAAAAGAAAGAGGGAGTTGATTGGAAAAAAAAAAGAGAAGGGGAGAGGAAATTATAAAAGCGTTGGTTTTCGACTGCGAATGAATTTATTTCAACATCTATCTTATAACTTCAAGAATTTTAAGTCAATTGTAAGTATTTAGAAGCTAACTAATGGATCAAAAAAATAGATCGGAGCTCCGGATTAGGGGTAAGAATGAGGAATTAATTAGGTGGTTTATTGTTTAAATATGAATAAAAATAGATTTTGATGTTGAAAATGGATTTATAAAAATCCTTAGAATGACAGCAGATGTTTTTATCTGAAAAATGATAACAAGTTCGACGTTTGGATAAAAGAAATGGACAACTTCCAAAGCTTACTCGCCTTTTTTTTTTTTTTTTTGTGAAATTATGCTTTTCTTTTGGTTGTGGGTTTTTTTTTCCTTAGTTTTTTCATTTCGATTATTATTCAACTCTCCAATTTGATTTGTGTAAATATTTTGGAGTTTTTTTTCATGAGTTAAAATTCTAGATAAATATATGATATATTTTTTCTTTTTGCTCAAAACACAACCATATTGCTGTATTGAATGTATATTTAACAATATTTAATTATTAAGAATTAAAAAAAAAACAGTATTTAATTTTTTTAAAACTTATTTATTTATTTTAATTTCACGCATCTTTAATGGGTTATGTATAATTATATCAAATGTTTCAGATTTATGATAATGTAAAAAAAAATAATTGATTCTCTCTTTAATCTTTTTCACTCCATCCCTTAATTTAATTTTTTGTAACTTTTTCCATCAAAATTATTAATTATTTATTTATTGAAAAATTAAAATCCCCTCAAATAATATTTAGATTGTATTTTAAACTGGTGATTTTATTTAAAAAATTAAGAAATCAATGCATTCAATCATATATCAATTAAAAATATGGTTTGGATCAAATGCTAATAAATTAAAATTTATATTTTACTTAGATTAGAAAAAAAAAACATTGAAGAAAGAGACTAAAAATGATATTTTAGTGATTTATTTGATACATATACATTTACTTTCACAGTTCACACGATCATTATTTTATTATTAATACCTATTTATGGGATATGTTTTTGGGTATTTATTCAAAATTGCAATCAATATTATTTCTTTTAAATTATATTTGATTTATGTTTTTTATCATTCATAAAAAAAAATCTAAACAAAATGATACAAATGGCCTTGCAATGACAACTCGTGGGCATATTTGTTAATTTTTACATGAAATTAAGTTATTTTCATGTTAATTTTTTTATGAATAGTTTTTCTTTTAGAAAATTGTTTCATATGGGAAATTGAAAACTCAATCAAAAAATGTTGGAAGGTTTTTTTTTTCAATTAAAAAGTTTGTGAATTTTAGACTATAAAATAGAAAGTAGCTTTTCCTTAATAAATAAATAAATTAAAATCATTATGAGTCAAACATGGTTTATTAAAAAAAAAATTTATGGAGTCCACAGAGTTTCGTGTCCCTTTGGAAGCTTCTTAATGACATGGAAACCATGACCAAAGGGCCCCACCCATGTGAGCAATTATTGATTTGAAACAAAAAGCTACCTGCCTAATCAGGACGGCTGCAATGTAATTTTGAATTCATAAACGGCCAAGATCATAGAATCCGATGATGACACGTCTTCAAATGGGACCACATTAGGTAACCCAATAACCGGTTTGGCGCGTTTTACACATGGCATGCTGGTCGGTAAGATAAAGACATGATCCTGGAATGACACATGACATATCCTGCCAACGCAAAGGAATACATCCTAATCATACCGTCTAATCTAATAATTAAAGATCGAAAATACACATACTATAAAAATTTATGTATATGAACATCCACAGCTTTAGTTTATTTTTTTCGGAAACAGGGATTTCACCGGTTCAAGATAAGATGATATGTTCTGTTAAGATAAAGATCCTAATTTCAATATTCAAACTATTTAGGATTCTGCTCTTCAAACTTCAAACTTCAAATTATTGTTATCCCTAGAATATAAGCTTTCTATATATATATATATATATATATAAAATGTTTATTTTAAATTTTTAGGGACCAAAATAAAATAACTTGAAGATTAAAAAAAAAACTAAACCACAATAATGAACAGTGTTCATCACTATTCATCACTGTTCAAATAGTCATTTTACTTTAATTATATAATAATCTATCTCCTAAAAGTATTTTATTTGTGTCAAGTTATTTCTGATTTAAACTCCAATTTCCAAGTTAAATTAAGTTTTTTATTATTTGTTAACGACATTCCTTATTAAGGAGGATATTCCGTTAGGAATTTTAATTAATTTTTGTAAATAGAGAACCATCATCGGTTTTAAGAATTATGAGACTCGACAATTTGTTCACATATCAACTATTAATCTAATTATTGACATTTCAATGGAAAATCGTCATTAGTCCTTCAAAATTAAGAGACTCGACAATTGACCAACATATTAACTACTAAACTAATTTTAAAAAAAAATCCTAAAGTTAAACTTAACTATTGGCCTTCCTTTTTATCATTTTTATTTTTATTTTTTGTTATTTTTTATCGATGGAGAATCGTCGTTTGTCACTAAAAATTAGAAGACATGACAATTCATCTATCATTTGGTTATCTAACCTAATTATGAAAAAAAATTAAAATTACCTAAATAAAATTCCAAGAAAACTAGAATATTAAAATATAAGTTAAACAGAAAATAAGTATGCATAAGTAAACCTTCAAAACAATATTATATAAAACAAAATCAAACTAAAAGAAAAAACATTAGACATTTTTTGGTGGGATAGGCCCATTGGGCCGAGCCTATTAGGGCGACTACTTGGGTTAGCCTATTGGACGGGCTAGCCATTTCTTGATTCTTAAAAGCCTAGCCTTGGATATGTGGGACTGGACAAGTCCAACCCTCCTTCATGGGTTGTACATGTATAACCCCTTTCCCTTCATTTTCTCTTAACAAAGAAAAATAAAACAATTCTAGTAACATTTTCTCAAGCCAAACCCAAATTGATCAAAAAGCAAAAGCTTTATACCTCCCATCTTCTATTCTTTCTCCGTCTCTTTTTTTCGAAACCAACCGAGATCACGCGACCTTTTCTCCTTCTTCTCCTTTTGCTCAATTTCAACTGCTGCTTCCATTCTCTCATCCTTCTTTGCCTCCTCTTTTTTAAAACCGAAACATCTACATTTATGGTGATAGAAGAAGCCCCTCGATCCTTCATCCTCCTTCTTTTGCTTGTTGTTTGTCTTTGATTGCAGAAGGTAAAAAGGTAATGCATGGGTTGTTTTTTTTTTTTTTAATGCAATTAACTTAAATTGAAACATCAAACATAAATTTAACTTAAAATTAAACTTCCTTATAGTGTAGGTGAAGTTAACTTATTTAATTAAGCTCTAATTTGTCCTTTAAAAGTTGGGTTGTTTGAGAATTCTTTTTTCCTCTTAAATACGGATGAGCTTCCCTAAATAAGCATGCATAAGTAAACATTCCAAACAATATTATATAAAACAAAATAAAATCCAAATTGATAAAAAAGCATTAGATATTTTTTGGTGGGTTAGTCCTATTAGGCCGAGTGCTAAGTCGGCTCGTTGGACGAGCTAGTTTTGGGAGCCCATCCTTGGATATACGAGCTAGACAAGTCTAACCCTCCTTCGTGGGTTGTACAAGTGTAACCCTTTTCCCTTCATTTTTCTTAACAAAGAAAAATAAATCAATTCCGGTAACATTTTCTCAAGCCAAACCCACGAGTGATCAAAAAGCAAAAGCTTTATACCTCTATTCTTCTCTTCTTTCTTCATCTCCTCGTTTTCAAAACCAGCTGAGATCGCGCGACCTCTTCTCTTTCTTCTCCTTTTGCTCCATTTCAACTGCTTCCATCCTCTCATCCTTCTCTGCCTCCTCTTTTTTAAAAAAACCAGAAAACATCTACATTTATGGTGACAAAAAAAGCCCTTCGATCCTCCACCTCCTTCTCTTGTTATTGTTTGTCTCTAGTTACGGAAGGCAAAAAGGTAGTGCATGGGTTATTCCTTTTTTTTTTTTTATGCAATTAACTTAAATTGAAGCATCAAACATAAAATTAACTTAAAATTAAACTTCATTGTGGTGTAAGTTAACTTACTCAATTAAGCTCCAATTTGTCCTTGGAAAGTTGGGTTGTTTGAGAATTCTTTTCTTCTTTTTTTTTCTCTTTAAATTTGTATGAGCTCTCCTAAATTTCTCCTTGGAAATTTTTAGCTTTCAACTTGAAATTGATGTCTAATTTACTAATTTGGAGTACCTAAAATTAGTTGGAAATATTTTGGGTAATTTTTTAGTGAAAATTTTGTAAAAGTTTAGCTAGTATTTCTCTAATTTTCTTCCGTTTTTCATTTTTCCAGCACTCCTATTTATAGGCAAATTTGGTGGACTTGTTGACTAATCTCCATCCTTAATTTGGATAAATATTGGCCCTTAATTCAACTTTTAACCTCTTTTGCATTTAGCTTAATTTTTAGCCATTTATCCATCTTTTAATTTAGACCTTCCATCTAGCTTAATTAGAGTCACTAATTTAATTAAAAGTCAAGCTTAATTAATGCTCTAAGTTGGCAAAAGATGGATGAAAAATAGTTAAATTAGTGCTCCAAATTTCCAAAGATTTCCATAGACTAATCTTTCACAAGTCCTCCATTTATTCAATTGATCACTTTAATCCCTTCTTTTCAAGTTTTTATAATATTTTTTTGACCCTTAAAATCCGTATCTAATTTAATTTGAAAGTTTAAACTTTTGATTTTATACAATTGAGTCTACGATTTTATGCAATTAAGTCCCTAAGTCTAAAATTGCATCCCATACCTTTCCAAAAGTCAAATTCTTTTATAATAAATTCAAACACTTCCTAAAAGAATTTAATCATTATTCATATAATTTTTATACCTTTATTTAGGCCTCCAAATTAATTATGTAGTATAAAAATTTCCTATAGAAAATATTCCTTACATATAGAAAAATTCATCTAAATTTATTAAATATCCTTACACATCCTAGATGATTTTTCCATACCCTTGGGATAATTTTCTTTTATCTTTAAAGAACCTAAATTAATTAATTTACCTAAAAAATAATATTCATGCACAATAAAATACAAATAAAATATTCACGAGAATATCAAAAAAGTCATCCAACAACATAGAATAATCTAACACCTCTCTAGCAAATATTCTAGGCAAACAAAAAAAATTTCATGCACATTTAACATACTTGAATTAATTATTTCATATAAAAATCACTATTTATGTACCAAAAAATCCATAAAATATTCATAGAGCATGGAAAAACCATTTTAAATATTCTATATGCTCTAACACCTTTTTTAAGATTATTTCATGCTCGCAAAGTATTTCTCATATGCTTTTAATACTTTTAAATTTATGAAATTTCAATTTTAATTGGTACCGGGTATTACACCATCACTCGATCCGACATCGATTATGCGGTTCACATCTTGAGTTAGTTCATGCATCAACCATGACGGCCTCATTTTGATGTAGCCATTCGAGTTCTCCATTACTTCAAAGCTCGCTCCTGCCAAGGTATTTTGTTTCCCTTCAATAGCTCTTTATCTTTACTTAGTTATTGTGATGCTAATTGGACGAGTGTCCTACGACTCAATGATCTATTACAAGATACGTCATATTTCTTGGCTCTTCATCCATCTTTTGACAATCCAAGAAATAGTATGTTGTCTCTCGCTCTTTTAAAGAAGTTGGATATAAGGCCTTGGCCACCACTATAAGTGAAGTTGTATGGCTTCAACGACTTCTTTTTATTTGAGAATCCCTCATCCCGATCTTGTTTCTTTCTTTTGTGATAATCATGCGAGCACTCCATATCGTCGCCAATCCAATTTTTCATGAGTAGACTAAGTACATTAAGATCGATTGTCATTTTGTTCGTTGGCACATTCAAGCAAAACTTTTATCGGCTCGATTGATTTCATCTCAATCTCAATTAACTAACATCTTCACTAAAGCTCTTGGGAGGGGTCAATTTCGGTTTTCGTTGGCCAAGTTGGACATTTCAAGTCTTCATGCTCCAACTTAAAGAGGAGTGAAGGAGTTTATTTAGGCATCTTTTTATTACAATCTCTAAGTTTATTATTAGAATCATTCTATTAGTAGATCATGTATAGATATGGAGAATAGCTTAATAGTATGGATTGTTAACCCTAAACTTTAGCTAACATTATTAGGAATTTTATTCCCTTGGTAAATCTTATATGTATGTAATATCAAAAACACTAGAGATTTTATTTCATTAATCAATTCTTGACGTAGTTTTGAGGCTTGTATCATTTTTTTTTAATACCATTACTAGTAGAAATAGATATTGTTTGGTTTAAGATTTTTTTTTTTTTTACGTGTAAAACATATTTAATTATTGTTATTATAATAAAAAATTTTTACTATTCATGTTCTTGTTGATATATAATTTTTCGAATTTATTAAATTTATTCGTTTGCTTCTAAAAATACGAATGATTAATGGTTAACTGAATAGATAATAACTGATGGTTATGATCATAGTTATACCTTAAACGCAACCACGTTTAACCATTGCAATCCCTATTCCGGACCAATCTTTTTAAGGAGCGAAATTAAAGTTTAGAAAGTTTTTGGGCAAATAAAATGCAGAAAGATTATCAAGTTTGGCCCATTATATAAGGAGTCCAGGTCCACCATGGTTAGACTTCATCTTTGCTTCACAACGGGACTTCCTACAACTTCTTCTATACCAGTAACCGCAGCAGCGATTTCACAAAAATGAGAAACAAGGTAAGAATTTGGTGGCCAAAACAACTGGCTTCAACTGAACCACCTACAACTTCAAGCAACAATAATCTCTTGTTCGGTTGGTTCGTTTCTTGTTCTTCTGTTTCTATTGATGTAGTAGTGGCTTTTGCTTGTGATGAAGCTTCACTTTCTCACCCCAATTCTACCCTCCAGGTAAAAAAAGAAGTGATCTCTGTCTTTATTTTAGCATTTTATAATGTAAAACTTGTTAATTTTAACTGGGCTTTGCTTCTTTCTTGGTTTCGTTGCGGAACAATTGTTGTAATGTTATCTTAGCAACTTTTGGCTGAGGAAGTTATGGTTTAGGTTGTTTTATTTTGATGTTTTTCTTTCTTCTTCTTTTTTTTTTTTTTGTTAATATAGAATTGAAGATTGTTGTAATCCACCAAAATGTTAGATTTTAGTGATGGTGAGTGGGTTATCCGTAAGAAATTTATTTTGGTTGTTATTTATTTAACAGGAGATTCTCCCCCACGTAAATGGGAAAATGCCTGTGTTTTTACAGGAGAGAGCGGCCTTTTCTCTTTTGGGTCAGTGTGTTTTGTATGGCAGAGGTGATGGGAAAATGTTGAGGGATGGAATGGAAGGGGGTGATTGGAGGAATTCGTTTACCAATGGTGCTGATTCCGTGATGCATAGCTGGGATTTGTTTGTAGGAAATGATAGAGGGAGGAGTTGTAGGTGCAATGAACTTGATGAGTTGTATGAACAATATCGGAAAGGTTCTGTTGAAAATGGGCATTGGATTCGGTTGGTATATGATCCTTCTGAAGAATACGGTAAAGACATTCATTGGGTTCCGAAACTGCATCACTTTCATTGGAATGGACAGATAGTTTCTCATTGCGATGTCCACGTATGTAAGTCATGCTTACTTCTACTATGTGATATTCTGTTTTTGTTTGTAGTTCTTAGTGTTGTTAATGGTCTCTTGTTTCTTGTTCTTTGATCAAATTTAGGTTGTAGTTTATGAAATTCCTGCATATGGGGTGCACCATTTCTCATTGAATCTTTGGAAGTCATCTGAGCCAGCAAAAGATCCTGTCAAGAAACCGAAGTGGGTTAATGAACTTGAGAAGAATCAGCCTCTATTGGACTTGGTAATCTAGTGCCTAGATTCATTTTGTGAATTGGATCATTTGTCTGCTTCCTAAGTTGCTTTCTGTTTTTCATGAACAGGATACAGTCATTTTGGCTATCAACAGTGCTGCTGCAGCTAAATTAGCTCTTGAGACACATGTGGGCTCTACGAGATCTTTTGCTGGTTTCTACATTATCAACAGGTATTGTCTAGCAAACTTTGTTGCCTACCTTATCCTGCTTTGGTTGCACTTTTTTATGGAGTTTGCTGTGTCTTTTCAGGTCTATTGCTTTCACATGGCAAGTATTGGCCATTTTTGTAGCATCAATTTCCACTCTATTCTATATCGTTCTTCAGTTTTTCCATAATCTTTCAAGTTTCGGATCAAAAACATGGATGTACACCACATCAGCAAGGGTGTTCTGCACTACGTGGACAAACATTCAAATCCGCTGTTGTCAAATCTTGTATTGGCCCATCATTCTCCAAGATAATGGCCTTAGGTGATGGCAGGATTCTTTAGACCTGTTAAGTTTCAAATGTCACGACTTACAATATTTTACCATTTTGTGAAATGGAATATGGTGTGGGATTTTGTTGTTTAATACCAATTTTATCTATCAATATAGAATTCTAAGAATTATTTGATTCTTTAGCGGGAAAAAAATTGGAGCTTCATCATGGCCTGATTTCGTCCACTGTTGAGTAGTCCTCTGCTTGTGGAATTTTAATGAACAAGTACTCTGTTGAACCTGCATATCATGTTTTCTTTTTGCAACTGGGCTCACAATCGATGCTCCTTACATCTGATATTCTGAATCTTCTGTTGTCATGAGTTTTTGGAACAAGGCTAATTATTCATTCCTCATCATTCTGATTTTTTTCTTTTTACTCTGAAGGTCGCAATCGTGTGTGGAATATATGGAGAATGCTGCATTACGTAGGCATTCTATGTGGTCAAGTTTAGCTGTTGATCTTCTTTTGGGAAATTTGGTTGGCTTGGCACTCTTACTTCATGCCGAATCTGTTTGCTTATGGATTTTGACCTTTGCCAATGGGATTACCAATGAGTTATTGCGCTCAGGTTCTGTGTGGTTGATGGGAGTACCAGCAGGTTTCAAGTTGAATACAGAACTGGCAGAAATGCTTGGTGTGATTTCTCTTAATGCAATACAAATTTGGTCTACTCTTTGGATCTTAATTGGTTTCCTCTTCATTTATTTCATCAAAGGACTTGCTGTACTGGGCATTGTTTTTGGGGCAACTATTCCTGCTGCTTTGATCATAGATACGATTTCCCTAGCAACATTGCACGTGTCAACTCTTCACTGGGCAATCTCACTCTTGTATTCCCGGCAAATACAGGCTTTAGCAGCTCTGTGGCGTCTTTTCAGGTAAAACTTGTCCATCCCTTGACGATTCTATCTGCAATTGTAAACCAAAAGTAGTTACTGTTAAATGAACTATTGTCTGTGTTGTGTAATTTGTGATTGTGCGACTTATGTTGTGGGGGGTGTCATGTGGCTGATAACAAAGGTGCTTTGTATCTTTGCTTTCCACATGCTCAAATGCAAGCAATCAACATCTTTGTTATATATGTGATGTTATAGAGGTATTGTTTGTTTGGAAGATGCATGTATTGCATTTGACATCTTGACACTTTGATGAAACAAATGTGTGAATGCATAAAAAACCTAGGCCACTTTTTGGCTGCTTTACAAATCAGAACAAGACCATTTCACTTGAAATAATCTGCAATTCAAGGATGATTGTAGGTAGGCCAATTTAAATGTTCATCAAAGAGTAAGTGTCCGAGTGTCCTTAGGAAAAGGACTTTGGTTGTCTTTTTGCAGTCAGAGCTATGTTTTTTGTCTTACAATTCTAATGAACAAACATTTTTTACAAAGGCTGCTTCCAATGAAAGGCCGTTGATGAGCTTCCAATGCAAGAAAGATTTTTGTGCTACATGTAATGAGAATATTAAATTTTGGGATTTGGTTAGTGGATGTTATATTTAAGTGAAATAGAGAAATAGGTCGTTCTTGATAATCTTGTTATGGTCCAATACTTTTTGTAACAGAACCGAGAAGGAAAATCTCTTGTTTATTTATGTGCGCTTCAGTCTTAGATTTAGATACTTTAATCAGGGAACTCTCAATGTAATCAATAGTATGTCTATGGTTGTGTTGATTCTTTGATCCATGTTGCTCACAGAGTTCCTCAACTGTCGACAGGGGTCGAAAGTGGAATCCTCTTCGTCAGAGATTAGATAGCTATGACTACAGTGTGAAGCAACATATTGTGGGTTCCCTTCTGTTCACTCCACTTTTACTTTTGTTACCAACGACTTCTGTTTTCTACATGTTCTTCACCATTTTGAGCACAGCTGTCGCTCTTACTTGTATATTGATTGAAGTCATGATATCCATGATTCATAGCACACCACCTATTAAAATTTTCCTGTGGTTGGTGAGACGGAGAAGATTTCCCTCTGGGATATGGTTTGAAATTGTATCTTGTCAGAATGATTCTCTGGAGTTTGTATGTCTCGACAAATTTTGTTGTACATCTGATAAGTCATATCATAAGAATGACAGAGACAAAAATAGATCGAGCAACATGGTCTCCATTCTCCACAGCAACTTTTTGAGTATAGGTGAGTCCTCACTCTATTTTTCATTTAATTTTCTTACTTTAACATAATGCATGGGTAGCAGCAGGGATGTATTTGCATTTCCAGTTGGGGTGGGAGGATTAGATTACCATGCTGGATATTTTGGGCTTATTTTGAGAGATGTGTGATCATTCTATTCAAGATGGAGTTGCTCTCTTAGTAGTTAGTACTCTGCACGAGCTGTCAGTAGCTGAACCAAGTTCGAGAAGTGGAATCACTACAAATCAGCAAGGGTGTAATCTGTGATGAGATGACCATGAATTTAGAACTTCGATCCTAATTCAGGCATCACATTTCTCTAAGTATATCATTTAGCTTAAGATATGAAAATTAGGTTACCATCTGAATTTCAATCGCCATTGAGTTCATTTTAGATATCATCTACTCTTTTCCTCAGTTCTTTTCTTCCCACTTTAGAACTAGAAGATTTGAATATGCGTACAAATACAGATATTAATCTCAAGTTGAAGGAGGTCAACATGCTCACTTTTGCAGGATAACACCTACTGATCTTAGCGTTCTCCAAACTTGGTTAAAAGTTTTGAGGAGAAACTACGTGACCAAAATATCCACAAATCAAAAATACATTCATCTAGCACTTTAATTTTTGGAGCCTTTGTTAATTGGCGGGTTATGATTTATTTTGGGCCAACTGAATGTTGCAGGACAAGTAGTTTTCCCTCACTATAGAAAGGTTGTCTCTGGGGTTCCTGATTTTGCCAGTAAATCAGCATATGGAGCTCTTACTGGTAAAAGGTAAGTTAATTTATTGTGACTATTCATATCCATCTCATTTCTTAGGTTTCTAATAGCTGTCATTTTGTCTGCTTGTGTCATTTGCTTGTAGACTTTATTCTCCCCTCACCTCCCCCTCACACTTCCATTTACTTCACAGAACTGCATCGACTTTGGGAATCTGCCTGCCTTCAACAATGCCTTGGTTTTTTATCCCGGTAAGAGAGTATTGGTGCCTCTGCCACAATTCAGTTCTTGCATGCATGGCAGAATGTGATTGTCGTGAATGTCAATGATATAATAACACTTGTTTGACCTAATTTGAGTCTCTGAATCCTGCATCACTTCCTTGCGTGTGTTTTATTTGGTATTAAAAAGTTGTGGATAGCCCCTCTCATCCTTCAATCAGTTTTGGCGGGTTTTCACTTGGCTAGAAGGATGTTTTCTGGGATACCGATGCATTCCAGTGAAGTTTAGTGATTCGCTCTATTACATTTCACTGAAAAAATCTGGCTGGCAAAATGGAGCGTGCACCCCTCATCCCATCTTGGTCTCTGTTCTGTGCCTTGTTGACCATTTTAGCTCATGTTCCTGTGCCACACCGATCTTCAATGGGAAAATATAGCATGGTTTTTGCACTGCTATTTATAAATTGTAATTTGGTTTCCATCATTTAAGTGGAAACGCAATTTTGATTCAAAATGGTTTTGTACAGAACAGTAACCAGATATGATGACCTTGTTGGCTCTCCCATTATTGTAGTTTGTGGCTCTCCTCATGTAGGGATTAATTCTCTGTTGATGAATTATGTGAGTGAAAAAGGATTGGTGTTTTCTATTAGATACTTGAAAAGATTGAGATTATCCATACATTTATGTCATACTCCTGAAACACTCTTAACAGTATCCCTTGATTGCAGCAAGAACTTCTCTTGGTTAGCAGTGTATTAAACCGTGTAATTAACTAACCTGCATGTATCGACAACAGTAGCAGTCAGGATAATAACAAAAACAATGACCTCTGATTGTTTACTGGTAAAAACTAGCAAGTTTCTCAACAATTATTGAAGCCATGAAGCCACAGCATACTTGCCACGGAAGACTGGCCACATGCATGGTAGCACAAGTAGCCAGTCTCCACTTAGGAAACGAACAACAAGGAAAGATCACGAGAGCAAACTACCATAACCAACTGATAGAATACCTAACCTAAATGGCCTGGATGGACGGCTAAGACAGAAGAATCTCTCAGTGTCTTTCTTGCATTTCCAAGATTAAAAAAAGAAGAGCACAACAAACAAAACAAGTCACGGGAAAAAAACGATAAGAGTAATGCCAGAATGGTCTCTTACAATGTCTTTGCCTTCCCATGAAGACAAATAGACCAAATAGTTGAGAGATGAACGTATGGTATTTGCGTAGTTCTTCAATCACTCTCATTATCTGTTGTATTACTTGTTTATGTTGGGAATTTGATGGCCCTTTTTGCGAAACTCGGTATATTTTTACATGTGAACATGCACATGATGCACGTAAGGTTGAGCTCTATGTCACTGTCATGTGAACCCTTCTCACATGGATATAGAATCAAAAGAAGATTTGGGACAGAATTCTATCCCCCTAGATGTATAATGGTCAACTACATGAGGCCAATAGTAATGTGAGTAAGGTATTGCTAATTATACTCTTAAAAAAATTGATGGGATGACATTATCATCACCCAATAAAATCTTCTCTAATTTGTTACTTAATTACTCTAACTACCCTAATCTTCATTCTCACTTGTTGCAATTAATACTTAATCATGGATTAGATTGCTTCAAAAAGAAATTTTGATTTTATTTTTTTGAACGAGCGTATCTAGCTAAAGGGTTTCGTGATAGGCGTACTAATCCTTTATATGAAGAAATCTTTCCCTGTTTTTCTTATTAATTGCCACGATCTCGAGTAAATAGGGTAGGGTAAAATAATTCAGAATTAGACTTACTAATCAAACTATATGAAGTAATCTAAGAATATTAATCAACTTATAAACTATATATATTAATTTTGTTTGTTTCCATGCATGCTTTGTAATATTCTAAATCAGGAATCTTAATCTGTTGTGTCATGTAGCACTTTTCCATGCATGCAAGACAACACAAATTATTATTATTATTTTTTTCTCAAAATTGATTTATGGTCATCCAACTGCCTATAAATACCATTGAACACATCCATTCCTAAACAACAACTCAGTCTCACTAAATTAAAACTTCTCTCTCTCTCTCTCTCTCTCTGCGCTCTTGAGTGTGGTTAGTATAGCTTTCTTTGCTTAGAACAAGATGTCGAGGAAGCCAAGCATTGCGATGCTCTCACTTGTTTTGCTGTTTCTTTTGATAGCAGAGAATTATGTAAGCTCTCTCACTGTCTATCTAATGTCTTCTATTTCTTCATCAATGGGTACTGTTGGCTCGAAGGCAAGATGGCAACAGCATTTGAGCCACCATCCTTTTTATTTCTTCTTTTAGCGAGCTCATATATATAATTTTGACATTATTGAGCCCATTTTATTGAATATTTGCATGTTTTATTGATTCTCATGACCCTCCTTTTCTTTTTTTCCTTCTTTTTTCCCCTATCCTAAAGGATAAATTTCAAATAATTAAGGTTGGGGGGTTAATTTCTCAATTATTCCCTTAAAACATTTTTTCTTCTTGACATTTCACATCAACTACGTACTTTCTGCCATCACATTTAGTAGAGCTAACATAATTAATATCCTCAATTTATCATTACGAAATCTCAAGAAGGTAAGTTGAGAAATTACCAAAGATTGACCGGGAAGGATTTGCGATATTTGCTACCGGAGAAGTTATCATTTCCTTGGTTCTAGCTACTATCAAAGGGTAAAATTGAGTTATTTTGAAACCTTTGGGAGTTCATTGATATTGAAATTTATCCTTTTCTATTTTCAAAGAGACTCGAGAGCCTTTTCAATTAATATAGATAGTGAGACTTATGCCAATTGTTGATAAATACAAAACATACAATCACATCTGCATAGCTGGCTAGTATCAATTAATTTTATGTGACTAAATTATGCAAAACTTTTGAACCTTTTCAGGCTAGCATCACGGAGGCTCCAACTCCACAGCCCGAACCAAATACAAGTAGCAACCTTCCATCGGTGAGATTTCATCAAGTTAATTGGCCAAATATGTGTTTAGTTTTCTTAATCATCATGTGCTAATAACTTATCTTCATTCATTTGGATAATTTCAGCATGGTACCACTCAAGGCAGCCTACATCCTCAAGGTAATTAATTAAGGTTCTGCGATGGAATGTCCACAAATTGAATAAAAAAAACAATTATGCATTTCGAATTAACAAAAGGTGGGTTCGGTTCACTTGCAGAGTGTGGACCTCGTTGTACTAATAGATGCTCCAAGACAGCCTTCAAGAAGCCATGCATGTTCTTTTGCCAAAAGTGCTGTGCCACGTGCTTGTGTGTGCCTGCTGGAACTTACGGAAACAAGCAATCTTGCCCTTGCTACAATAATTGGAAGACCAAGAGGGGAGGCCCCAAATGCCCTTGAATACCTATTTCATTAGCTTTTTGCTACCTCAATCTACATAACTTGTTAGATTAGTTAGTTTATGTGTTTACTATTTACATATTTCTTCTGTGTTTTTTTTTTAATCATTAATTATTAATCCTATCAAGGGTGTTCTGTGTTCATAACGTTTGAAAGGATATAATCCAAAAAGTTTTCACCTTTTGTATTAATTAGATTTTATCAAAATTAAAATTTCATAATAAAAAATATGACTTCATCCTTGAAAATTGACAAAGTCTAAATTAACCTTTATCTTCTTTTCTTATCTTTCTTACATTTTTCACATAATCAAAATTATTTCCTTAACAACTCATACAAGACATTTAGTTTAATGTAGTGTTAATATTGTAAGAACTCCTATTATATACGGATAATTAACCATAATTATTTTTAGTGATATCAGACTTGGATTGATTTGATTCAAGAAGAAGTCCAATAGTCGATTAAAAACTAAATATATTCTGACATTGGTTTAGTTAAAAAAAATAGTAGATCTAATATTGATTGATACAAAAATTGATTAAAGAATACTTAACTACTTTTATATATATACACATACACATACTTTCACTAGTGTTGGATATGATTAATTTAATATTATTTTATTTCAAACAATGTCTTTTTTTTCTCATAAATCTTTTCACTTATTTATTTATTTATTTCTATTTATTAAAATTAATTAATTGAAAAGGAATGAAAACGATATTAAACTACAAATAGATTTTAAAATATAAATAAATAAATTATTTATTTAAATTAAAGAGATTATTATTTTTTATTATTTTTATTTTTCGAAAAAATAGAGGAACTGATTTATGTTTTACTCTGGAAATTATGAACTAGATGGTAAGTTCATGGAAATAATGTTGCGATTTGTACATTCCCATGGCGGGCAGTAGATTTATAACCCAAATTGACTAGTGCAGAGCCCAGCCCAGGCAAGCCATTTTTATGATTGAATGCTAATGATTTTTTTTTATTTAAAAAAATAAAAAAATAAAAAGAAAGAGGCGGCGGCGACGACGAATCTAATGAACTCCGGCCCCTCTCAATACTCTGAAGTACTCTGTCCATTCATAAAACGTTTTAATTTCATTTCATGCACATCCTACTCAAAAAACTAATATATGAATTGAAATTTTGGAATTAGTACCAAAAAGAATTTTAGGTTATGTATACTTTTAAAAAATGGTTCTTTTAATTTCCTTCTCTAATTTCCTTATTTATTCTAAAAAGATTTTTCTATGAAAAATTAAGAAAATATGTTTATTAAGTATAAATTTTTCAGAACAGAAAATAAGATTTTTGTTTGGTTTATCTTAAAAATAATAAAAATGAATGGCATAAAACACTAGGTGAACCAAGCAATACTCTTATTTTTTATTCCGACGAATTTGGAAAGCAACATTTTTTATGTTTTTCAATTTTCTAGAAAATTTGAGAATTAGAAAATACAAGTTGAAAAAAAATGGTTTTCATTTTCAATTATTAAATAAGTTTTTTTTTAGTTTTTAGTTTTCTAATTTTTTTCTCCTTCAAAAAACCGGAAAATTTCTCACAAGTAAACACGCTCTTGCTCTCTTGAATACAACAAGCTGATATGAGAAACACGTAAAAAAAATTAGTCTTGATTAATATATAAATTAGTCTAAAATGATCCCTGATTTAAAAATAAAATAAAATTTCCAAACATATTTGGACAGCACATTTCATAATAATAAGCTACCTTTAGGAATATGAGCTAGGCAAAGCACGGAAAAGCCCAATCTTTGTAATTGATTGACAAAAGCCGAAGTGTAAGATTGTTTTCTTGTGTCTTCTTCTTCTTCTTCTTCTTTTTAAAAAACCTTTTTTTTCAAAAAAGAGAATAGGAGGTAGGAAGAAACGGGCGGTCTGCAATAGAATCCCAATTCCTAAACGTTAACAAAACTGACCACGATGCTGCATGTTATTACTTCCCTGGGTAGGCATAAATAAGATATAACTAATTTCTTTGAGAAGAAAAGGATATAGCTAATTTAATATAAGATGATTGACAATACGTAGGCACTCATGCGGCAAGAAGCTTGAGAAAACGCAGGCCATCAACTTCTTCAAGGCAGAGAGGATGACGGAGGCTTAGGGGCTTCTTAGAATGAATTTAAAAATTAATGGTCAAGGTTTAACGAATTCAATTATGAAATATAAACAGAGTGGAAGAAGAAAGAGGTTCAATGAATATACCATTTTAAAAAGGTATTGTAATTAAATAAATAAATCCACTTCAATTAACAAGAAGTGTCTTGACTGTTGTGCCCCGCATCATCATCAGTTTTCTTTAATCAAATGCTACTAATTATATATGTGGCTAATGGAACGTACGAAAATCAAATGGTATGATGTTGTGTCAAACAAGATACTGCTATAGAAGTAATGATGGCAAAAAAAAAAAAAAAAGAAGAAAAAAATAATAAAAAAGCTAGAGAAAAATATGATAAATTATCTCTATTTATATTCTACTAGTTTTGATTATGAGTCCAAAAGGTGCTTCTTTTATAAGAGAATTTAATTCCATCTTTATTGCATCTTCTCAGTTATGTTAATTATCTCTATATTGATGTTTTTCAATAGAAATAGACTCAAGATTCTTTATTTTTATTCAAAATATCAATTGCAATATTATATGCAAAAATGTTATCAATATATATTTTTTTCAACCCAATTTTCTTCTTATATTGACATAATTTTTTGAAGTTTCTTGCTTTTTCTCATTCTAATCATTATTAATCATCCGTACTTCTTCTAAAAGTTTGCTATCGGATACATCTTTTATGAACATCAGTCTCTTTTATATTTTCGTCTTGATTATTTGTTTTTTTTTTCTTTCGAAGATTTTTTTTGAAACTAATTGGTTTTTCACGCTTCAAGCATGCTTTAGATTCAGCTTGCTCTAATATTAATGAGTTATCTTTTTGGAACATCAATTCTAATAGGAACATTCTTAGTGGAGACATATGATTTAGTTACTCTTTTTGAATTAGAGAATGTATTTGACAGTTGGTTTACAATACTTTATAAATGAATTATCCTCTAAATTTTTAGTTCACCCTATTTTTGTACGAGGATCGAGATAATATGAAGATAAAGTATTTCATGTAATCTTATTTTTTAACATTTACAACTCGTTTATTCTCATCGTTTAATATTGGGAAAAACTATTTCATCAAAATGAAAGTCGATAAATCTAATAGTGAAAATATTTTTTGTTAATGGTTTAAGATATTTAATTATGGTAAGAGATTCATATCCAACATATATTATCAATCTCCTTTAATGGCCTAATTTAGTTCCTTGTAAAGGAGCAATAAGAATATTTATTGTACATCTAAAAATTTTTAAATAAGAAATATTAGATTCATAACCACAAACCAATTAAAGAAGAGAGAATTTCGATAACTTATAAGTTTAATATGAATAAGTGTTGTTGCATATAAAATTATAAATCTCCAAACAGAAAGATGAAGTTTTGTTTTATAAAAGTAATGGTCTACCAATCAATTGGAGGCATTTGATAAATAATTCTGCCGTGTCATTCCAAGTTTAAACATAACAAATAAGTTATTCAACCTTTATGCTTAAGAGGTAAATTTATCAATATTATCAAGATGAATTGTTTTAATGGCATAATCTAAAAATTGTGCTTGCAATCAAATTATTTAAACAAGTAATCTTGAAAATATCAAGTTTCGAATTGATAAACATCATACATATGATCATCTTATGGAAGCATCTATTAAAACCATAAACTATCTAAATAATCCACATAGTGGATGAATTGGCTCACATATATCACTTGTAATACGTTCTAAAAATATAGAAGATTCGATCTCAATTTTACTTAGTGATAACTTAATAATTAATTTGCCTTGAGAACTTGCAAAACACTAAAATTTATTAGGCTGAATAATCTTTTAGCTCTTCAATGAATGATCATATAAAATTTTAATAATTTTTTTGCATAATGATAGATTTAGGATGGCCCAACTAGTCATGTCACAAAATAAAAATATTTGAATTATTAAAATTCTAATTTATTATAGTATTTGTTTCAACTTTTAGAAGGTAAAATTTTAATTTATTATAGTATTTGTTTCAATTTTTAGAAGAAAAAAATTGTATAATAATAGCCACACTCATTGAAATGATAATTACATTGAGAATAATATTAAATGTTAAAAAAATATGACAAAAAAATGAAGACAACCTTATTAATCGGGAAAAAAACCATCAACAAGAAGTCATGTTAATTTCTTCCTATCACATTTACCAAACTTCTACTTTTACGATTAAGAAATCTCAATTATTCATCGTATATAGATCATGCAAAATAGCTAAAAGATGTAGAGGATACATACATTAAATTCTATATGACTTTAATTAGAAAACAATTCTTATCCCTTTGCTAAATTCCTTATGTATAACATAGCTAACTTATTACTAATTTATAGACAAGCATAATGTTTCTTTATGATGAAAGAAGATTAACATGAATTTATAATGAGGGTTAACCAAAAAGCAAAAGGTAATCAATTCACTACAATTTTAATTATTACCATCATTAATCAAATGATCTTTTCCTTCAGAATTTTTTAAAAAATCAACGACTTCTAAATGTATTAAATTACTAAGACCATCAAGAGGATTATTGTTACAAGCATTATTTTGATATATAAAATTTTTCTTTATATATTTTTTCTTTCTTTTTCAACGAGATTTGATAAAGTTCAATGAAATGCTTTGATGTACAGCAAGTATGCAACCAATATCCTTTTATGTCACATTGATAACATTCATTTTTAGAATAGTGACTTGATCCACTTTTATTTTTTTCTTGTTTTTCTTCATAGTTTGTCCATTTTTTATGGTAAAGTGTGTTGTTGTGACCATCACAATTATAACGATAATTACTTCGACCACGACCACAACTACAACTATGGCCACATCTATAATTGTCAT